GCGGATCCCTCGGGACGGCGGTGGAGACGCTGTCGCACAAGGCAGGGAGGCAACTGAGTATATATACAAGGATACGAGGGGAAATACACATACCTGTCGCACAAGGCAGGGAGGCAACTGAGAGAACAAGTCTGGGTTGCTCCCTGGTGCGACAGGCGACTATATAGTAGATGAGTAATCCATCAACGCAACGAAAGATGGTCCAATGAGAGAAGGGGAGGGTCCTCGGACGCCCGACACGTGACCGGTGGACCGGCCTAGGAAGGCCGGTCGAGTGCGGAGGCCCTAGGAGCGCCGAGCGACGGAACGAAATAGGGGAGATGCCAAAAGGAGGGCGCGGGAGAGCGCGACCGAATAGGGAGACGGAAGTATTAGGGGGAGTGAACGAAACGGGACAGAAGCGGAAGCAGAAGAAGAGAACAATGAGACATGAGGCGAGTGTGGGAGCCGTGCCCTGACAATGACTGGTTGTGCATGGTCCTGGCGACGACGAACGAGACGATCACGATGAAGCGGCACTCGCGAACCACATCGCGAGCCCGAAGGACGTGATGGCGAGGAAGGCAAAGGTGAGCGGTACTCAGTGACTCCGAGCACCGACCGCGCATGACTGGTTGCGCATGGTCCGTGCGCGTGGTCCGTGCGCATGACTCCCCAAAACCTCCTTCCCCAGAACGGTCTTCGAATTCACTCGGACTCCGTCTTATCTTCCGCACTTCGTTACCTCGCCTGCTTTCGTTACCTCCTCGTCGTCGTTACCCTCGTCTGCTCTCGTTTTCCGGTCGTCCCTAGCTACGTCGGTAGGGGAGTGGTCTCCTATCCGAAGTTCGTAGGGGAGTGGTCTCCTATCCGAAGTTCGTAGGGGAGTGGTCTCCTACGCGCCATCGTATCTCGTTTCCCCATCGCCCATATTCGTCGCGTCGTCTGAGAGGAGTGGTCTTCTTACGTCCTCGCGTCGTCCTGGGTGTCTCACACGTCTTCGTCGAGTTCTTATTCGGTGCGTTGAAGTTCCATCTGGCGCCATATATTGGCTGACGCTCTGATTGCAGCATCGCCTCGCGTCGGTTCCAATTTCTCTACCCTTGAAGGTTCCCCTCCAGTTGGTAACCGACGTTAGTCCGCCGCTTTGTTGTCAGACATACCGACACTGACGCACGATTTGTTTAGCATGCTTTACGTATTCATCCGCCATGGGCAGTTATTTGCTTCCCCCACTCGTAACCACGCCCCAGCTGAAGACATACCATCCGACAAATACACCCCATTGAGTACGCGTCTGAAGACCATGCACGAGCGTGGATGGGTTCGCAATGATTGCTTGTTCGCTGCCTTCTTCCCCACCGTTCGTCACTTCCCTGGGTCTTTCCTGGCTTCCCTCAGTTATGTCCCTCGCTTCGCTGTCAAGTTGGAGGAGTATCGAGGGCAGTATCGCCCGGCGGCAGCTGGGGACTGGCAGTGTCTGGAAGAAGCTCTCCTCCCCGCAATTTCCACCCTGGAATTGTACCTCAGGAACATCCCGGACCGCGCCGAATCCACGCTTGCCAAACGCATTCCTTCGCTCGCTGAACCAAATTCGTTCAATTACCATCTTTTCGTCGACGATGCGCGCGCGCGCGATGCCGCTTGGTGTGCAAGGTTGTCGCTGTTACAACACGCTACGAAGCTGGCGTATCTAGCGGCGTTGGTCAATAACCTCAACAAGTCTAATGAGGCCTGGCGGGGTGTACTTATGAGTGGTGGCACATGTGCGGCCTTCATCGATCGACTGAGCCAATCGTGGATCATCGAGAATCACTTCAAATCATCACGAGCGGGATTTTTCATGCGTCCCGATTGGGAGTTACGCGAGCATCTCGATTTCTTCGTCAACTCTAACGTCCCCATATACATCCACTGGGGTACGCCCGACAACGTCATGTCGTTACCGTCCGGGATGAACCCTGCTCTCCGTCCAACGGAGCAACAAGTACGGGACGCATTTGATATCGGCAACCATCGGCTTTCTTGGCGCTCTACTCCCTCCAGTTGGCGCCCCGCACCCCCTGCCCGCAATCTCAAGGGCCCGCCTGCGTACGGGAGCGATGGCTATCTGACGTCGCCGGTATCATCGCAGATTTCCTCTCACGATGCTCCCTCGGGGGCATCCAGAACATCATCTAGTGGATGGGGCACTGCATGGGATGAACCCTCCAGATGGGTTAATCCCTTGGGATGGCCCATTGACAACACGGATTGGCTCGCATCTGCTCCGTCGCCGTCACGACCTGTTCAATCCCAACCTGCGTCACCCTCAGTTCCGATGGTCCCGTCCGCTACAGGATTTGGCATACAACCCGTCGTCGTCCCTCCCCATATTTCCGGGAACGTGAAGCCTCTAGACACGGCCGCCAATTACGAAAAGAAGAACTACAAAGCTGGCCAGGTTGTTCCTCGCATCCCACCCTGGCGCAAAGGAGAAAGTTTCATTGCATTCCATACCCGTCGCCGTGATTATCACGAATTTTATATCGAACATCTGGAAGTCGCAGCACTGAAACAGTTGCGGCTGAGCAGGGAGAGATATGCGAGCACATTTCCTCAGCCGTCGCCACGCGGCAGTGCTGTTTTCTATGTTTGGGAGGAGGATCCGGAAACGGGTGCGCTTGCGAGGAGAAGGGTCACGAACGAGAGGCGTGAACAATTATGGGAAGATTATGCCCCTCGGAAATGCAAATACGACTCCGTTTTGGATGAATGGGATCTCAGCGAACTGTTCGTTGACCCTTATGTCGAGCGCTCTCGGCCTGGTCGTGACCCATATGCCGACTCCGACGACGAATACGAGGATGCCGTCTCCCTTCCTGGCGATGACGATGACTTCACATCTGCTTTATATCGTGATTGCGACTTCGACCCACCATTGCCCCCATATCGGTCGTCACCGGAGCTTGTGCCTATGCCAGCTCTTCCAGGTCCGTCGCCGCCGTCAGCGTCCCCCTCGGTAACATCGTCAACACAGTCTACATTACCCTCCGCCACGTCAATATCTCCGTGGCTTTCCGTGACGTCGTCGGATGTGCCTTCGTCCTCGACGTGGTCCAATCTTTCGTCTGCCTCTGCAGCATTATCTTCGATCGCTCCAGGCTCCTGGTCCACGGCTACAATATCATTACCTTCAGACATGGATGTGGACGAACTTGACTCCCTTTCAGGCACACGCGACACGTCGTCGAGCGCAGTTTCGATGGATATAGACATGAAGGCCGCATCGGAGCATACCGTTGCCCCCGTGCCCGCCCCCGTCCCCGTGCCTGCCCCAACGCCTGCCCCCGCGCTTACAAGCCGTCAGATCGCTGCGTCATCGACTGTGGTGTCGATGCACGTAGACGCCAAGGCCACATCGGAGCATACCGTTGCCCCCACGCCCGCCACCGTCCCCGTGCCTGCCTCGACGCCCGCAACCGTCCCCGTGCCTGCCCCAACCCCTGCCCCCGCGCTTACAAGCCGTCAGATCGCTGCGTCATCGACTGTGGTGTCGATGCACGTAGACGCCAAGGCCGCATCGGATCATACCGTTGCCCCCACGCCCGCCACCGTCCCCGTGCCTGCCTCGACGCCCGCAACCGTCCCCGTGCCTGCCCCAACGCCTGCCCCCGCGCTTACAAGCCGTCAGATCGCTGCGTCATCGACTGTGGTGTCGATGCACGTAGACGCCAAGGCCGCATCGGAGCACACCGTTGCCCCCACGCCCGCCACCGTCCCCGTGCCTGCCTCGACGCCCGCTACCGTCCCCGTGCCTGCCCCGACGCCCGCCACCGTCCCCGCGTCTGCCTCGACGCCCGCCCCCACACTTACAAGTGATCAGGTCGCTACGTCATTGAACGTGGTTTCGATGAACGTGGATGGGGTTGGTGCGGTCTCTGCGCCCGCCCCGATCCCTGTTCCTCGTATGCGTGCCATCAACAGGTATCCTAATGACCTGGGGCTTCCGACTCGATCACCCGTCGACCTTCTGAGAGATCATTTCGGTTTGGAAGTCAACCCCGGCCCCATCGACATCGACATCGACTCCACGCTCGACGTCAAGGACCTCTCAGAGGTTTATAAAGTCCTTGGATATTTCTTCCCTCTTGGGCAAGGCGATCTTCATTCTGTGGCGGGGCTGCCGTCGCAGACAGCGTCGGAAGCTGTTGGGTTCGTGCGGTCAATCGTACAAGCGCATCACGTCAAGGCCCCGTTGAATGGTCCTAAGTACCCTCCGCCGAAGGCGTGGTTATACCGCAGGGACTCAGTAGGATGACTGGCGAGTCGCCTGACTCGCCTTTGGACTTGTAAACGTGTCCGCTTCGGTTCCGGCCCTGAGGGATGGTGTTTATACGCCAAAAGCCAACCAAGCGGTCCATTTCTCCGACTCAGCGACCCGATGTTCGTCATCGAGATCATCACCAATCCGAGCCTTACTGTCGTCGATGAGGCTACTATTTGGTTGCTCGAGAGGGGAATCACGTTTGGTTTGTATGAAATTCAACGACATGTTCATGACAACAGCATTGTGTTCGCCCCTCAAGTGCCTACGTTCCCTCGTGCTGTGGATCATTTGTATACCCCTGACGACTACGACGCCTATACCGAGGTTCGCGATGCGTATCTCTGAGACCATCCCTCGGTTCTTCGCGCAGCCATGCTGAGTGGCGGTATCTTGTGGAGGATAGTTCATCACTTGCTCGACTACAGCGTGGCCTTGGATGGACCATCGGCCAACGCTGACAGAGATGGCCATAGGATCATGCTCACCCTAGCCGACCGCAATGTGGAGTTGTGCGATGATCGACTACGGACCGCGGAGATCGAGCTGATCATCGGTCAAACTAGTACTGGTCTTTCGTGGTGGCCCCACCCCGATACGTGGCGCAATTCGGTCGTTGATCGAGGCTGGTGGTCCGAAAACGCGGAGAACTTCTTCCAGCATCAGCTTGAGCGATATAGCTCACCCCAGACGTGTCAGCCATCGTCGAGGACTACCTGGAAGGCGAAGCAGCTCAAGCTCGATCGGCGGGTCCGGCACCTCATGGATGGGGCCAAGAAACATGCGGCAATCGCCCTCGACCGTGTCAGTTCGTTGTCGTAAGTCGTTATTTTCTTCCTTATGACATTGACTAACATATGCCGCTGCTCTAGCTAATCACCCGATTGAGACGAGCAGCGCTCATCGCCCTTCAAATCTTCGTAGTCGGTCGCATATGTGGCAAGCGACGTCGGCCGGCGGATCTCGACGACGGGGGCTGAAGACCCGCTCATGGGGTACTGAGCGGGTGCTCACGGGGCGCTGACTGGACCTTTCAATATGCATCGGTATCGAATTCAAAATTCTCGCCTCGTCCGTTGAAAATCGCGCACTCAAAATTCTAATATGCACGTTCACCACTCGCATTCTTGAAGATCTGATGTATCATATATGCCCAATTGTTCTTGTAATGTAGCTGTAGATACGCGCATGGTGTTCATTTTAAATTCCCTATTCATTAATTCTGGAAATGCTGAAAGGCGTGCTGAATACACGAGATTATAAAATACAGATATTTGTTTCCTTCTTTCGTGATTGAGCGACCGATTTTCAAAATCTGGTTCACGCGTGGTTATAAATTCAACACATGTCGGAACTCTGATCCAACCGCCGTGTATGTACGCACAAACGCCTGTCATAACGAATGTGTCATGTTAGACCCTGAGCTAGTCGTATTTCATGTGCGGAAAAGTCGTGGCATCAGGCACATGGTTTGCTGGTGACGCGTACGAGACTGGGCTTTCCTCAAATTTCGCCCGTTCCCCCCTCCCCGTCTCTTCCATGGTTTGCACGGTCCTTGATTGTCGCTTCACATCTCGCTAATCCACATGCGCCTAGCCCCCTCCGAAGATCACCATTCGAAAAGAGGAATGGGAGCGGCGCCTACACGAAGTACAAGTCACCAAAGGGTGAGCGTTGCGTTCCACACGCCCTTTTTGAGGATGAGCATCTTCATTGGGAATCTCTCTGAACTTCCATTGCTGAGCCCTAACAATTGCATGTATTATCTGATTCACATCCAGTCCCGCTTTACGTTGTTGTTTTCGAGACTAACTCATCATCTCCCTAGTGACTTGAACCGGCTCATCATGGACTACCTTGTAATCGAGGGCTTCAAGTCCGCCGCGGAGGAATTCTCGCAAGAAGCCAACCTCTCGCCGCCAGTCGACTTCGACAGCATCGAAAGCCGAATGAGCATCCGAGAGGCATTGCAGCGAGGGGACGTGGAGAATGCGATTGCACTGGTCAATGACCTCAATCCCGAGGTTAGTCTTCGTTGCCCGAGGCTTGTTCTGGTTCTCTCAAAGGATTATACCTTTCATGCACCACTCTCAGGCGTTCGCGCCGATGAGGAGACCCAACCAAAAAACTTCAGTCTTCAATATGATTTTCCGGATCCACATGCCTGGCTCGTCGTCGATCGCACATGCTGATTGCACTATTGCAGATCTTAGATACAAACCCTGGTTTATACTTTCATCTCCAGCAGCAGAAGCTCATCGAATACATAAGACTCGGCCGTATCTCCGAGGCCTTGCAATTTGCGCAGGAGGAACTCGCGCCGCGTGGTGAAGAGAGCCCCGAGTTTCTCTCAGAGCTGGAGCGCACAATGGCGCTGCTCGCGTTTGAATCCGCCCCTGGCGCCCCACCTGCAATCGCCGAGCTGCTGTCTCCCGCGCAGAGGATGAAGACGGCGGGCGAGGTGAACGCGGCTATCTTGGAAAGCTTGAGCCAGGGGAAAGAAGCCAAACTGGTCGGGCTTCTCAAGTTGCTATGCTGGGGCGAAGGCCTTCTGGATGAGCGGGCCGAGTTTCCCAAGGTGCGTCTGGGCTGGCTGCTGCGTCCGGTCTGATGGCCATGGCTGCGATGGTGACGGTCTTACAGGTTGACCTTGGCGACGAGCTACCAGCATACCGCCGCGAGCCCGGTGGGGCGGGGCGAGCTATATAGCGGAGGAAGGATGTATTAATAGTAGGATTCGGACGTTGTGCATACCCTCGTGTTGTATCATGGTTCTTGACATATGCATGTGGAATTAATGGGACCCTCGTTGTGTCCTCGTTGCTGTCTCGTTGCCGAACGGTGGGCGTCGTGTGAGCGGACGAGGGAACGGAGCTTATCTAAGCGGTGGGCGGCTTTGCCAGTGCACGATGCTTGTTTAGTGCTCGTCGCCGAAAGACCGTCGGAGACGAGAGACGCGTCCACCGCTGCCACCTGGGACGACCGCGCCGGGCCATCTGCCCACACCGACCGCGACGCCGCGCCCGCCAGTCCGGCCTGAGTCCGGCCTGCGTCCGCCCACGACATCATGGACATCGACAAGTCCAGCGCTCGTCCCCGGCGCGCGCGCGAGAAGACGCAGATATTCATCGTCGCCAATCCCAACCCGGACAGCGACGAGGAGGTCGTCCCTGGACCCTCCATCAATCTGCCTGGAGATGTCTATCCGCCCGCCGCTCCTCCTCTTTCCCCTTCTTCAGCCAGCACAGGCTCTGTCGCCGTCGAATCTACACCTCCTCCAAGCACGCCTGGACAGGTCGCTCCTCCAACCGACCTACCCATGAAAGGCCCTCAAAGACAGGACCAGTATGGTATACCCTATGATCAGGTCCAGATGCAAGCCCGGGAGCCATCCCGCCCACCGTATCTCGAGAACGTTCAGACACAGTCCAGCAAGCCGCCTCACAGTCGTACTGGGTCAAGCACCAGTCGTCCTCCATCGGTCAGCCTGGCGTTTGTTCCACTGCTCACCCCGATGATTGATTTCCCATAGTCTCCCCTTTCCGATGCCTATGCTACTGCTTCCGTTCGCGCGTCGCCCGGGGACAAGGTCCTCATAGCTGTGACGACGGACTCGGAACAGTACTTCGCCGTCGACATCACAGGCGCTCAGGATGGCGCGTTCATCCGGGAGAAGATATACAGCAAGGTGAGGCATACTTACTGTTGGACAAAGAAACCCGCCTCTGAATGTAACTGGCAGGTTCAAATATCCGACGAAGATCAAGCTCAATTTTCCATCTATCGCACAGAGTTCGCTCAATACGCGCTCAGCGAGGCCTTATCGGACGAGCAGTTGTATTTTTTGAGCAGGGAGCAAGGGGATTCAAAGGGAAACTTGAAGTTTTTGGTTTCACACTCGTCAGCACAGGTTCATGCAACTCCTCCGCCGCGGATCCCGTCGTCCGGATCATCACGTTCTATCAACACTATTCCACCCCCGGTTCTACCGTACGGCACAGAGACCTATCCTTTACGTCCCAAACCTCGGCCTGTTCGATCAAGGACGGGTGACAGCATGTCTTCAACCAGCGAGCGATATCCTGCGGAGGCTAAAGGATACGACGCCTCGGTCTCTGACGATCTTGAAAATGCTGATCGCGACGACAATCGGTCCACCATGCGTCCTCCTCCACGGCAATACGCTGTACCGATGCCCTCACCATCATTCGTTTCTGCTGCTCAGGCATCGTTTGCGCCTCAATCACCGCCCGACGCGCCATCTCCTGTCAGGCCCCCAATGGGTGACGTTCCTCCTTTACAAATAGTCAAGCGTCATCATCCGACTACCCAGGCTCAAGCATCGCCCAAGACCGCGGATTTCGAACGGATCAATCAGCTAGAGGACCGTCGTGCCCGAATGCGAGCCGGGTCGGACGTCTCAGAACGAGGAGAACGTGCTTCTCGTCCATCATCCAGTCAGACGGATCAAGTTGACGTTCGGCGGCAGCCATCTCGGAAAGAACCGAGGCAGCGGTTCGAAGTCCACAAGAACAGATCACTGAAAGATCAATCGAGAGACGACCGCGTTCGCGTAGAAGGTAGTGATGGCAGCCAAGAATGGGTCATGGTGGACCGCGAAGCAAGAGCTGCAGACGGGACCAGCGCGTCAGCGCTTTCAAAACCTTCGTCCCATCGCCCTCGGGAACGTGACCCTCGACGGTCCCCCGCGCGCTATCATACTAACCCTGGTTCCCGGCTGATGCACATTCCGAACCCTCCTCGAGGACCCGCTCCGCAGCCGCCTGTGGACTCGAATGATCTTCGGGCATCATCCCGTCTTCCGCCGTCCCTGAACGATCCTCGTCATGCTTCCCGCTCTGGACCAGGCCAAGCCGTATGGACCAGGATGATGGCTAAGAGTATGCAGGATCTGCGGGCTGGGTACACAAATGGCAGTAATCATCCTAGTGCTTTGACCCCCGGACAACCTATGCGCAACCCCATGTCACCGTCTCGTCCACCTCCTACTGGACCCGTTACGGGAATGCTACCGAAATCGCCTGAACGTCAGCGTATGATGTCGCCCACCATCGCGCGCAACGTGCGTCCGCTGCCCAATTACAACAGCTCGCCGAGTGCTGCCCCTCCTCTCCCGTTCTCGTCGTCACCTTCTACCAACGCGGGCCTTTTACCTGGTACGGGTATAGAACCCTATCCGCGTCCGACCTCCAGTACCGGTGATAGAACTGCATCTTCCGCATCCAATGCTGTTCATAATGCAAGGCGTGTTCAGTCTCCTACGCATTGGACCGACGATGGACCATTCCAGGAAGACAACGTTCCCGCGCGTTCACCCTTATCACAGCCTCGCCCGATACACAGCCAATCAAGCTCTCGTCCATCCACGACCGGCCGTTCACTGCAAGCCCCCTCTCAACTACACGATGATTCCCCATCGGAGGGAGCACCTAGACCCAACACGACTCCTCCACGAAGTCCCTCAGTACACGAACCAGATTTTGGCTCTCCAGAGAGGACATTGCGCCCGGAACAACATGCCAATCTCATGAAAATGTTGAATCCATCAGGAGAGTCGACGCTGATCGCTCCGACCAAGCAGAAGGTAGAGAGCAAGCAATTGCCTCCTTTACCACCCCCTCCCTCTGCTCCTGCGCCGAGACCCAATACCTCACGTCAGCCATCGACTTTGGTTCCTTCCAACTCAGCACTCGCGGCGATCATAGGCTCGGGAACCTCAACGGTGGCAAGCTCAACCAGCTTTTCAGGTCAGAAAAACTACGACGATGATGACGATGACACCGGTACATCGCTGTGGCTCTCGCGACCAAAGTCCGTCATCAAAGGGCCGACGCTACCACCTCTACGCATTGAAGAACCACCGCCTCCTCCTCTTCCTCGCACTACTCTACCTCCTGCCTCCTCCTCACCGAAGCCACCTCCGTCTTTCCCCCCTCCTCCGGTTCCAGCACATCCTTCCGCTCAAGGCTCTATCGAGCCGTTCCGGAAAGCAATGGACTTTGCCCGCCCTCCTGCTGAGGATGTGTATGAGAGGCTTGATACCTTCTTTCCGGAGCATAATCTCGATGAACCGGTCATTGAAGCACCATCTGGAGGCACGTCGCCTACGTCTGTCGAGAACCCGGCCATTCCCATGTTGCCTGCTTCAGCCTCCTCCAAACAATTCCGTCACAAGAAGTCTATCAGAGTAGTTGCTGCAGAGCATAAGCGCCGAATCGACCGTACTTCACGCATGCAAGCTACTTCTTCCTCTGCTAATGATATGTTACGGAAGAGAAGTACAAAGCTGTGGGGGAGCAAATTGGAAGAGGTCACACCAGCCCAGGGACAGTCCATGATAACCGTTCCCGAGTCGCCTACCACTGCTGGACCCAAACGTAGGTTAATACCATCCATTCGAAAGGTCTCTTACTGAGCTCTGCATCCCAGCCATCTTCAAATGGGTGCGCGGAGAACTGATCGGGAGAGGTACCTACGGACGCGTCTACCTAGCGTTGAACGCTACTACTGGTGAAATGATTGCGGTCAAGCAAGTGGAAATACCACGCACGCTCAGCGATAAGGAGGACACCCGGCAGGTCTCTGTAGTGGAAGCGCTGAAGTCTGAAAGCGAGACACTTAAGGACCTCGACCATCCCCACATCGTGCAATACCTCGGGTTCGAAGAGACTCCGAGCTTCCTTAGCATGTCTGTATAGTTACTCTTTGTGCGATCCCCTCCAACTGACTGACTGCACGCAGCTTCCTTGAATACGTTCCGGGTGGATCCATCGGCAGCTGCCTACGAAAGCATGGCAAGTTTAACGAAGATGTGACAAAATCCTTCACGGAGCAGATACTAAATGGCCTGGAATACCTTCATTCAAGAGGCATCCTCCACCGAGTTGGTGTCCGGCGTTCTGAGATATTGCTCCGACTTGCTGACCCCATTGTAGGATCTGAAGGCCGATAATATCCTTGTTGAGACTTCCGGGGTATGCAAGATCTCCGATTTTGGGATCTCAAAGCGCACGGACGATATGAACGCTGGCGCAGCGTTCACGGCCATGCAAGGGACTGTCTTCTGGATGGCTCCAGAAGTTGTAAAGACCGGAAAACAAGGTTACAATACCAAGATCGACATCTGGAGCGTTGGATGCGTTGTCCTCGAAATGTGGGCCGGTCGGCGACCATGGAACGAGGAGGAAGCGGTTGCGGTCATGTTCAAGGTACGTTGAGCCGGTCTACGCATCCCTACAGCTGGATCAGCAGAGCTCATCGCCTGCTACAGCTTTATGGGAAGGAGGCGAGCCCTCCTGTTCCCGCCGACGTTGTGCTATCTCCTCTTGCTGACGACTTCCGCCTCAAATGCTTTGCAATGTCAGTGTCTGTCATAAGCCATGATGGTGTGTTCGTTGACGTTTATCACTATAGTAATCCGGATGAGCGGCCCCCGGCCGCCGAATTGCGCCTGCACCCGTACCTTAAACTTCCCCCGAACTGGGTGTTTCAGGGTTTCAAATAGGTCTTCTTTCATCCATTACTCGGACCTACGGTTTCCTGACATCACTCGTTTCCCCACCACTATTTTGTCTGTATGCGACTCATCACCTTTGTCATCGTCTTTGGATACTACATCTTTGCACGCGTATATTACTCACAGCGCACGTCGTCCGGTTTGACCCATGTACTACACTCTAATGCCCATGCACGAAAGGAATAAATGCATATTCATTCGGAGGCGATGAGTGAGGAGGGGCGCCGTTTTATGCATGCGCAGCTCTGCCAAGGGCAGGCCGCCGCTCTTCACGTACGCTGCGTTGCGCGGCCTTGGTGTTGCATTATTACACCGCCGCGTTGGAAACGTATTTGCACCTGCAGCTGTGAATACATAGCAGCAAGTTCTGCCTGTTCGCTGCCCCTGCCTCCCTTCCGACCCCAACATTGGCCACGGCATGCTTACTGTCAGTACGCCGGCAGAGGCTCATCGTATGAGCACTCTTGGCCTCGAACGCGAACCTTACTTCGAAAATGAACCTGCTGCGGCATCCCCTATAGCCCTTGGGCACTCTAGACGAAGTTCCGAGGACTCTGCCACTACAGGGGACCACGAAGACCGTGTTCGGTCTGGTGAACATCTCGCGCGGGAGCGGTCATTATCAAGGAACTCTGGGGATGGGCTGTCGCACTCCTCGAACTACTACGACCCGTACTCAGACATGCCACAGTCTAACGAACACGAGGATACGGAAATGCAGCACAGTCGTTCGTCGCTTGTCAAGGATCCAACGGGATCCAATGGTAGTCGGTTACCTCCGCAGGACACAGGTGCGTTGGTCCACTTGGGGCTTTCCCTTACGCTGACCACTCCATGCAGAATATCTTCCTTTCAGCAAAGGTGACAGTGAAGATATATTCGGTTCCAGACAGGAAGATGCCCGTCAAGATACTTCGCCTCTCGCGCGCTTCTTCCAGAAGGGAAAGTACCCACTAGCGCAACGCATCGAGGATAAGAAACGCGGTATTGGGCGGCAGCGATATCCTTTTGCTGGTAGATATGAATAGGCCGGTGTAGGCGAATAGGGTGCTCACACTCTGTTCAGTCTGGGTTCTTACGGCGGCCATGATTGGCGTTATGATCTACGAGCTTGTTTACAACGATAAGGAGCAAGGAAATCCGTTTTCCTTCAAGGTATGGGCAAGTGTGCTTTTCGTCGCTGCTTCTTCTAACCTCAGATTGTAGCCGGTCGTCAATCCTATGCTGGGACCGTCTTCAAGCGGTCTGATTCATCTGGGAGCTAGGTGAGTCCTGACCAGTCAGTGACATCTTTATGTCGAAGCATATTCCCAGATTTCCTGCTTGTATGAAGGACGTTTCTGCTATTCCCGTTGACACACAGCTCGCGTGTGAGGACATAGTGTAGGCGACGTATCCGGATCATACTCATTCTCAACATAGGTCCTAACAACACGGCAAATCCTGTAACTCGTGTTTGCGATCTCGAAGAAGTTTGTGGTTTCGGTGGCTTCCATAGCCAGACGCCCAACCAATGGTTCCGGTGTGTCAAGGTCTCTCTCATCTAGCTGCCACGAAGTATTGAGCAAGTAAACAGTTTCATCACTCCGATATTTCTCCATGCCGGAATAGGTTTGCTAGCAAATAAATTCAATCATCCATTTCGCTGATTTTGCCCCCTAGTTCACATATTGCTGAACATGGTGGCCCAGTTAACCGTATCGGCTCAGGTACTCTTCTTTGCATTTCGATCTTGTTATGTAACCCACTCTGTTGATGCGCAGATTGAGCGTGAGATGGGATCTGGGGGATTCCTGCTGACGTACGTGAGCATCACACCCGTGGATTTGGAGACTCTGACTTTTCCTTAAGTTACTTCGCGGCGGGGATATTCGGGTAAATTCCAGATGGCGACGCATCTTCCATAACCTAGCTAACACGTATATTGTCAGGAATGTTCTGGGTGGTAATTTCGCACTAGTGGGCTTACCTAGCACCGGTGCTAGCGGGTGAGTGTCGCACGTCGACCTAGTTACGTGGGTGTATCGACATCATACGCGCAGCGCAATTTTCGGAACAGTTGCGGTTTGTTTCCCTTTTTTTATAGCCTTTGGTCGTTAGACCGTTGATGCCTCATCCTAAGGTGACATGGGTAGACCTTTTAGCTCATTGGAGATATCATTATCGACCTGGCCGTAAGGCGAGTCTTGATGGGTTGATGCGTTTGTCTTTTGCTGATAGTCCTGTGCAGTTGGCGTGGATGATCGTAGAACTTCTGCTAGGTGTTGCAATGGGATATATACCCTGTAAGTGCAATTTATTGCTCCAGCCTTCTCATTATCATGCTTTATTCTCATATCCTAGATGTGGACAACTTTGGCAAGTCGACGATCACGTAAACAGTTCGGAGGCTGACACTGAATCTACCCTTAGCTCATCTTGGTGGATTCCTCATGGGCCTGCTTGTTGGCATGTTCTTCTACCCGGTGATTTCTGTGACGAAACAGCACAAAGGGGTTGTTTGGGGCTTCCGTCTGGTAGCCCTACCTCTCATAATCGTCCTCTTCGTTGTGAGTGTCATCGCTAATAGGCTCGTGCAGTACCCTCAACAATTTCCAGGTTCTCATACGCAACTTCTATACAACGGATCCAAATGCGGGTAAGATGGCCTCTCTTGGGCTGCGTGATACAAATCTGAACCTTTTACAGCCTGTCCTGGTTGCCGGTATCTGTCTTGCCTTCCTCTGAAACTGAATCAGGTGCGATGCCTGCCACGGTGCCAAACTCGTAACTGATCCCGCTTTCTCCCGCCGAACGCAGTATTGCAAAGGAACAGGTAAGTCGCGCACCGGTATAGGCAACAACTTGGACTGATAGAAACGCAAGGTTTGACGACGTCGACTACGACGAGTTAAACAATCCTAGCCACACGGATCGTTTTGTCTTCTCCATTCATCACGGACATCTGTTGCAATAGACATACTCATAGTCATTATTATGCGCTTGAACATGCAGCTGAATAATGCATTTATGTCGGCGCCTCGAGAGATGAGACTAAATTTAGCCTGAGTCCGCGTCACGATCATCCACCCACCCGTAATAAGTAGTACTCCCAACTCTCCCTCGCAAGTGATGATACCCGGCCCGTCCTTCGACCACGCACCTCGCTGATATTCCCGTCGAAACTAGTTAGAAATGACTCTCGTTAAATCCAGTTACTACTCGTGGAACCCCCTATGGCCCCATTACCTAGCAGCCGCGGCGCTGGCAGTCAGCATCTTCAGCGGTCTGGTCCGCTTCTTAGTATGGGGTACGCCCTTGGCCACACTGCTATGATCGCAATAGCTCACGATCAGGCAGACTATTATGATTCTCAACACTGCGGTGCTTTATTGAATGAGGGTCAGTGGTTTGATAGTGACTTCAAGGCCTGGCAGCCGAACGGTACGCGCTAGCTTCACTGTACGAGCGTTGAGGGTGACTCTTTTGCAGGTTGCATGATGCACTCGTATACCTCCGCGGACTCCAGTCGTTGCCCAGGGTCCAAACGAGTTGTTTTCATTGGGGACTCGGTCACTCGCAAGCTGTTCTTCCAGCTCTCACACATACTTGACCCATCACTCCCAACTGCACCCCCGGATGACCAACACAAACACTCAGACCATTCACTACAATCGAATTCTGGCACGTACCTATCCTTCATATGGGACCCATTTCTGAATTCGTCCAAAACTCACAACTTCCTCAACTCTCTGGATGAAACCGGCGCACCTTCCACCGCCTCTTCCCCGCCAAGGCCGGCGATGCTGGTTCTCGGAGGTGGACTGTGGTATTTGCGATATTCCAACTCATCTGGGGGCCTACCGGTGTGGGAGGCGCAGATCGAGGACGTGGTAACCACCTTGTTAGGGGCTTTGAAACCTCCAGCAGATCAGATTGTGATACTCCCCGTCCAACCGGTGGTACCGTGGAAGCTGTCTCCAGACAGAGCCAGCTCCATGAGACTGTCAGATATTGACGCAATGAACTCTGACTTGTACCATCGCATCAGCACTGTCTACGGAACAGCTTCGCGTCTTCTCATGCCTTCACCGAAACCCCTCATAGCGCTACCTTTGGTTTTCAACCAGATGCTGGACCCGCATGAGACGGACGATGGCCTTCACTTCTCTGACGCTATCGTTAGGGCTCAGGCCAACATACTCTTGAACTTGGCGTGCAACGATGATCTCCCCACAAAATTTCCCTTGGATGCAACATGCTGCCGTAAATATCCGAGCATATCAGGTCTGCACGGGCTTCTGTTGCTCGTCCTTTTTCTCTGGGGTCCTGGAACATGGTGTTTGTCCCGACATAAAGGTGTGTCTTCCCACTGTGGAACTCAGACATATGATGATGAGTGAGGCTCGTTTCTGTTCCAGGGTCCCCTTTCTATGAGGAGATGACACCATCCATGATCATGAGCGTCTCTCTTGCGCTTGTTTTCATCGCCGATCGCACAGGATTTTGGTTGAAGGAACACAAGCACTTTGATCCATGGATATTTAGCATCTTGGCCTTCTCGGCCTTACTTGCGGGTTTAATAACAATCAAACGTGCTGACAAGGATCTTGGATTCCTCAATCGAAAGCAAACAGATGAGTGGAAGGGATGGATGCAAAGTATGCCCTACACAACGTACCTAGCCTTCATGCTGAATTCGATTGCTGCAGTTGCCATTCTTATCTACCACTATTTTGGAGCATCTAAAATCCCCGGTATATACAATCCGATCAGGGTATTGGTCGCCTCCTACCTTTTCATGACTGGTTACGGCCATACGACCTTTTACGTGAAGAAGGCGGATTTTGGTCTCCGTAGAGTGGCACAGGTACACAGTTTTGGGAAGTCACGTCCTGAATGAATCTGACGCACTGCCTTCAGGTTCTCATCCGTTTGAACCTATACACTCTACTCCTCGCGTACGTCATGAACACCGACTACATATCCTACTATTTCGCCCCACTGGTATCCTCCTGGTATCTCATCATCTACGTCACGATGGCGCTTGGATCGCACCTCAACGATCGTACGGGTTTTCTGATTGCAAAGATACTCCTATCCATGGCGGCCGTCACCTGGTTCATGAGGGAGCCCCGTCTGCTCGGCATGATATTTGAATTTCTGGAACGTTTCTGCGGCATCAGGTGGTCCGCCAGGGAATGGGCATTTCGCTTCACGCTGGATTTGTGGATCGTCTACGTTGGCATGCTGACAGCGCTGGCGTACATCAAAATTCGGGAGCATCGGTTGACCGATCATGCTCATTGGCCAGCAGCTGTCAAAACCGCACTCGTGCTATCGACCGTCGCTTTGCTGTGGTTTTTTGTCTTCGAACTCTCGCAACCCACAAAATTCGCCTATAATGCGTGGCATCCATACATATCATTCGTTCCCGTGCTCGCCTTCGTTGCCTTGAGAAACGCAACACCTGCACTGCGATCGACCTCCTCCCGGTTATTTGCCTTCATCGGTGGCTGCTCGTTGGAGACTTTCATAATCCAATACCACTTTTGGCTAGCCGGAGACACCAAGGGCATTCTACTGGTTCTTCCGAGTACCCAGTGGCGATCACTTAACATGGTGATTACGACGATTGTCTTCATCTATGTTTCTCATCGCGTAGCGGACGCTACCGGGGAACTCACCGCCTGGATATGTGGCGACGTGAAGACAGAACTCCCGACGGCCGCAGATCCCCGTAGACCGGCATCCACGTCCGGAAGTGAAACGACCCTGATCCCGAACGAGGATAGCTTGGCGAGCAAGAATGACATGGACAGCGCGCAACCTGAACCTGACACACCGGCAAGGCCTATCGGGAGAGGGTGGGCGGAACGTCTTTCCGCCTCAGACACATCGAACCAAAGGTTGCGTGTGTGTTGCGGATGTTATCAATGGAGGTTCGGACTGATGGTGAAGTTGGGCATTGGTCTGGTCGCGATGTGGGTATTGAACATGTTATGGCCATCGTCATAATGTACAGTCGTACATGATTCTGGAGACGGTTTTCGTCACATACAGTAGACTACTCCTTGCATTCTCACCATATCAAACAAGCTGAAACGCCATTTCATTCGCCTACGTGGAAGGAGTAAGGTTAGCCAACAATCCTCTGGAATAGGAAGCAAGATGATCATTAATTAACAGCAGTGTGATTATCGTCTCGGGATAATTCGGAAGACATGGATTGGGTGTAATCATGAACGCGCTTCGCAACGACACTCACGATTCGATGCCTTCCACACACAGGAATCCTACGACGAGGAAGTCAGCAGCTGTATGTAGGCTTTAGGGGAAGCAGGACGATCATGTAATAGGGAACTTATGATCCTCATGCACTCAACAAGTGCTAGGCAATCTCGAGTAGAAAGTAAAGACTAATCCTTTCGGATGCGTGTCTGGAGGAAACTTACAGCAAGTGGGTGCGACAAAGCTATCACCCTTCTCAGGCCATGTATCGGAATCGCCAATCGCCGATTATGACTGTGGACCAACTCATTATGATTGCTCCTGGGCATTCTGGAAATGCCTCAGGGTTTAGCATCTGGACTGCTCCAAGGGGGAGGACCTGATTGGCGCTGAGTCCTGTTGATGACATGAGCAAGCAGGTATCAGAAATTTGCAACACTATGCTCAGAAATTTGGGTATATTCTTGCAATTCACGGGCCGTAGCCTCGATGTAGCGATTCGTATGGATCATCATGTTATGGTAAGCCGGAAGATAGAACTCACTCTGAAGTGTTCACATCGCCAAAGGAGAAACGTAGCCTGGATAGCGAAGGGAGTGAAGGTCACTAGTCAGGACAAAGCGCGAAAGAAAGTGACCATATAACATCACGTGCCGGATGCAGGGCAGGTTCCCCGTCGGCACGTTAAGGGCGCATTTCATTACTTGCGTCTTTCACTAACACTACGACCATTATGGCGGGCGTTCTGCAGACTCACAATCCCGCCTTTCACGCTTTCCCACTAAGGACAAAAAAAGACGCCCCTCCTACTCTGCAGTATGCGAACCCCTTCTCTGCGGCGATGGTAAGTGGCTATTCTTCTGGTAAAGCACATCAGCCGACAGCCGCTTCTGTTTAGAACGTGCTAACCTCATCGTCAACGCCTCCAAACACGACACGCCCTCAGAAACGTAGAATAGAAGAAGACGAGAACGATAGTCGTACTGGCCGGGATGTGGCGATGGACAGGAGTCCAACCCCGGAGCGTCCCAAACGAGCTGTACCCAAACGAGCACGGGTGGCTACCCATGCAAGCGGCGGTGGAGATGGCAAGGAGCCCAAAGCAGGAAAGAGCACGACTCAAGAAGATGGCTCGGACGTGGATGTTGGCTTACTGTTGGGTAAGGTGGCTCGGACTGGATCTACGCGCACGACTAGCTGACCTGGTTCTCAGCTAGTCTGCCGTCGGACGCACTGCTCCCCTTGTTGAATTCTCTGCTTACCTCTCAACCATCCCTCAAACCCCTCGTTCTCTCCCTCATACCTCGACCGACGCTCTCAACCGCCTTGCAATCAATCAGCATATCAGCCAAGAAGCTGCGCGATGCGTACCCATATTCGAACGCCACATCGTTCTCTTCGGCTTCATTTGGCACTCTCGGCTCGACGTCCTTCGGAAGTGCCCGTCCTAACGGACTCGGCGCTTCCTCGATGGGCTTTGGTTTCGGACAGCACACCCAACAACAGCACGTTCCTGCATCAGGGGGGACCCAGTCTGTCATGCGCGACGATTACGTGCTATCCCGTATTCGGCCCCACATATCCGAATTCGTTTCAACGTGTTTCTCGTACCTTCCGTACTTTTCCTTCATACCCACGGAAGATCAATCCACCTCCGTAAATACGGCCCTACGAACTCAACTCAAGGAACGAATACACCCGGGAGAAGGCTTCCAGTTCCTCCAGTCGCTAACCTCGCAAATTCTGGATCAACCTCCTTTAACTCAATCATCACTCGTCCCGTTGATAATGCCAAGACTGTTGGAAGAATGGAAGGCATGGGTGGATCGTGTGGACGTTGTGGTTAACGGAGAGGGCGGTATGTTCGGCCAGGAGATGGTGCAGAGTTGGATGCGGGCTTTGGACGGGTTCGCGCTTGCCAAGGGCCACGGGACAGAAGCGATGCGAGAGATACGGGATCGCTTTGTCGCGAGGGCGGGTTGGCTGCTGGGACGTCAGAGCCTCCCTGAGACGATGGAAGAGCTATGATATGGATGGTCACTCATTATTTTCCTGCGTCTGGCATATCACGCGATTTGCATTGCACAACGGTCCGTCTCTCGCTCAATAGTCCTGTATCAGTTATATGTCGCTTTGCCTCCAATGAAAGTTATGGACGACGACGTTGAGAGCGGGTTTCGGCACGTGCTGTCACGGGCTCTTCAAGTCGATCACCTCCGAGCTCACGCTTCGCTCGTTACCGGCTGGTGGCCGAATACCACAAAAAAAACCGACAAGCAAGGCCCATGCATGCTCCATCATGCCGCTCGGAACCTGAGCAAACCAGTCTCGCTCGCAAACATCTTCCAACTTGCCGCTGGCCGGGCGTGGATGAGACGTGTTCATGCTGCACCCGTCCGTGGACCGGTTCATCGTCATCGCGGCGTGTCAGTCCTACCTCCGGATGCGGATGGAGCAGGTCCCTCTCGCCAACGTTCTTCCCGGTACGCTCAGTGCATGATGTTGACAGCCTGCCCTTGCTCAACGCCAGCAGCAGACCGGAGAGTCGTGCTCCGGCTACCCGTCCCGCTGGTGACATTCATCGGGGCTCGTCCAAGGGAAAGCCAGGACCTCCGCTGAGCGCACAACGACAGTCTCGCCCCGGTACCGACCGTTTCACGCGACGGACGGCTACACACGGCGTTCGGAGCGCAGTGCATGGGGGCACAACTGTTGCACCAGCCGACATTGACAGCGTACGAGACAGTGATTTCACCGCAACGGACCCGGGAAGGTCTACGGCAGTGATAACTCCTGCACAGAACCTCAAGCCGCCCTGGGTTGACGCGTCAGTGACCCTACCTACAGTCGCTTCGGGTTCTTTTTGCACGATGCCAGCATTCCACGCTCCGATACCACAGTCACGTACACAACTCCACCAACTCATCCTATCGTTTCTCCAGAAAGTGGAGTCCCCGCCCACACTGCAATCGCTCATCGCCTACCATTCTTTTTTTCCCCCTGACATGCGCTCCACGAAATCATGCAATGTCCTACTTGGGCTCTCCATCAGGCAAGCCGCTTTTGGAACTGCCCGCGCAATACTTGACCAAATGGAGCGGGAATCGATTCCTTGGAACGGAGAAACGAGGAAGCTTGTGCTGCGGCTCTTGGTGCGAACAAACAAGTGGGACGAGGCGTATCAAGCTCTTGCCTCGCTGCCACCTACCTCCAGAGGCCTGTTGTCTTTATGGTTAGAGCTCTTTTACATGCCGAAGCGAGGGGCACTACGGGATGCCACTCAGACGCCAATGCGTTCCGATAATGATCCTGCGCGACATACTGCCCTGGACGCCGACCGCTACAAATGCCTTCTGCAGCAGATACCGCACATGACAAAGCAGCAGCAGATCAGGACGCCTGTTCGCATCCTCGAAATGATGGTACAGGCCTTGACGAGCATGGGACACCAGGAACTAGCGCTGCAAACGGTCATTAGATACTTTCGCGAGTTGTCGACCCCGCTGGATGATAGATATCGCGCGAAATGCCTCAAGCTCGTGCACCTTTTGCTACTGCCCTTCGCTCGTAAAACGCAAGGATCTCTCCAAGCCCATCGCGCTGCACGTAATGTTGTGGCGCAGGCTCTCCACCATGGTCCGGATATCAAGCCGACCTCCACCACCCTGTATCTCCTTCTCGCTTCGCTGAAGAGAACACGCATGTGTGGAACACGCGCGCTGAGGCTTACCCGCAAATTCATCCGTAAATGGGGCGATGAGATCGCAGATCGACGCGTCTGGCGTCGGGTGGCTTCGCTCGCGCTCAAGGAGAAACGCATTGGTATCGTCAATATGGTCCTGCGCGGAGAAGAGAGGATGGGATACCCAAGGCGGTTGTGGAAACTTGCGACCGAAGTTACCGGAGGGCAAGGGGTCGCTTTGGATGTTGGCCGAGGTTGTGTTACAGGTGCTGCCCTCGTTCGTGCACGGATCAGTCGAATATGGCCTAAACGTGGCGAAGAAGGGTGGAAGTGGAGGCAACTACGGACACGATACGCTAGGTTAAAAATCGGGAGACGGCGTAGAGCCAGCCAAATACGCCCCGACGCTCGTAGGATGGCAGCCATCCGTCCACTGTGACTAATGGACGTGTATTTGATCTACTAGCGAGTAGTGGGGGACTGCTATGGGACTACCGCGCCGGTCCCGGTATATGCAACGGCTTGGTAGCAATATCAGCCAGACTGCATAGAGTATGTTACAAAATACGGAATGGCTAATTCGGATGCCCAGACACTAAGTATTAACCTCCAGGATGGCATCCTCTGCTCTGAGTAATAACCGTTTCGTCCACCTTTCCGTCCATCGATATACTTGATACAGCGCTCTAAAAGCAAAAGAGATGCAGTCAGTGTGAAGTATATGGTTCGGGTGTATATGAACCTAGCAGCACCAGCGATCAGAAGAGCAAGGACAATCAGAGCAGCTACATCCCTGTTGTCTCCTCGTCTACGATTTCCTCGATATCTTGCTATCCAATGGACAGGTCCGAGCAGTTGCATTGACAACAGGAGCTGTACAACGCTTACAGCGCCCACGACCGGTAGGCCAAGAAGGAACCGGGTGATGAGGCGCCAAACCAGGCCGGGAGGTGAACCCGCTCTGCTTCTGGCACGAACGGACGAAAGCGTTGTCTTGTCGATTATCCCTGGTTCGTCCCTCAGAATCCGGAGGAATGCGCGTATTAAATCACGACCGACGTCCCATGGAGAAGTCCAGAAACCGCCATAGGATGAATAGTAGTACGTCGTTCCAGAATGGCGGGTATCGATATCGTCCTCGAATGGTGACAAGAACGCTGTGGTGATGAACGAGGAACATAGGACAAGAACAGTGAACAAGATAGCAGATCCCGCTGCGATGATGACTATGGCACGCACGCATATTAGTCTAACGAAACATAACATAGTCAGTGATATCCTTACCGGGATTGCTAGCCATGCCCACTATTCGAGTACGGGCAAACCTATATCGGTAGCCACATTGCGGGCACTTGAAGAACGCAGTTTCGGATTGGGAAGACATGCGCCACGTCTGCAAGCACTTGACATGTACATACTATACAATCTGACGATGAGATGGTGTCTACCAACAAGCTGTGGTCGATGATACCGTGATAGATCCTTTGCACAGGCAAGGCCGAATCAAACGACCGAGCAAGGGATCCTCGCCATCGAGACAGATTCGACATTGCTTCTCTTGCCTGTCCTCCGCTGCTGAGTCCGACTGGGTGTTCTCAGCGGGGAAATCACCGTTGTTGACCATGGCCTACTCAACACCCAAGCGGGCAGGTAGTGACGACCGGCGGAAACGTACGAGCAGGTTCACGGTGAAGTTGCGAGACTGGATCACATACGTAGCACGAAGCACAAGGCGGTGTACGTGTGAATATGTGGATCATGCATTTGATCGACCAAGGCTGCAGCACAGCGCCGCAATATCTGGCCCCCACGGATTTCCTCCTACGGTGTCGTTCCTCAGGGCTTGTTGGACTTGTCCGGTTCAACCTATATGTGTGTCTGGCGAGACGAAACGGTGGTATGGACAGCCAGCGGGACCGAATCGATTGTTCACGCCCGGCTCTGCGTCGCTAGGTTTTACTACTTTCTTGCGACTCCGATTGGGAAGCGCTGATCCTGCGGGGCATATCAAGTTTCCTTCACCACTACGTCCAATTAGTGTCTCTTGACTGAGGTCAGCGTGTGGATTCATGCTGTGTGGAACGCGTTTCACCTTGGATCCTCCCTCGCCATTGTTGTCTTCACCCTTCCTCGGGACTGGACAACGTCACGAACGGGAAATGTGCTTTACAGTCTGCGCAGTGACGCCACGGGCCAATTCAGTGCTGGTTCTCCAGACCGTCCGAGCTTGCCATCTACGCCTGGCATCAGTCGACTTGGTGTTACTGTCTTCTGCGATCTGCATCTAGCCCCGCCTCGTCATTGCCGATTATTGGAAGGCAACAGGACGGCATATTCTCCCGGTCCTCGGAACAGCGTGAGCCATGCACCGGGACGCGCTTTCCGCGTGCCATCAGTCATTATCGGTCGTCTAAAGAGCTCAGCGTTTTGAGTTGATCTTCGTGCTCCCAGCATTGCGTCCTGATCACTCGTCGCAACACCGAAGAGGCCAACCTATAAATAAAGTGAACCCGACAGTCAATTGCGAGTCGAGAGTCAGGTCCATCTGCTGAACTTGAACCGTCGCCGGCGCTTGAATCTCGGGTTAATCAATACACGCACAGGCAGGATTGCGGAGGATTGTTTTCTTGCGAAACCATGCCCCATCGCATATCACGACGAAAGATGCGGTTATGGCGCGCATGTGGTGCACGCATGCCTAATCAAGCCCATTTACCTGCTGCTTCCATATACGCCCATCCGTACACTCCTAGGCTTAGATGGAATCCCATGCCAAATCACTACTGGATACGACAGGTATCCGATGTCGCACATGTCGTTCGTTGATCCTCACGAAATCTGTTCTCCCTTCGACATTGCATCTCAATAAACAATCCGCTCTCCGCAGAGTATAAATGGCCCAGGACGTGGAGGCTTTTCCACCACACATTCATGGTGATGCCAAGCGCTGGACAGTTTATCGCCTTATCTACTAGCTCTGTAGGCGTTGGACCTGGAGGTACAACATCTATGGTCGCGTGCGTTCCTTCCCTCAGACTCGGACGCCGGTCCCTGACTTGGCCTCACAGAAGAGTCGCGGTGGTTGGTTACCGAGGCGAAATAATGTGGGAGGCATATATCACTCCCACTATGCCGGTGTCAGACTATAGGACCGCGACCACAGGCATCACTGCCGACAACCTTGCACCGGGTAAGTCGAAGTGTGACGTTCATGTTGTCCTGGGTTAATATGCATTCTGACGCACATCTCGCATAGGGCGTACTATTTACTTTTCTGACGTTCAGCGGCACGTTGCTATGCTCATTGAAGGCAAAATACTGATCGGCCACAGTCTATGGAACGACCTATCTGGTAGGCGCGGTATACAGTGCAAATAAGCTGTGACTGACATAATACACGACCCTTCAGTTCTCGGGATACCTCATCCAGCCATATATACGCGCGACCTGGCACTCTATCAGCCGTTTCGGAATACCCTACGCCAGCCAAATGCGACGATAGGTCTCCAGACGCTCGTTTGGCAGTTCATGGGTCGCCATATCGGAGAAGGGGCGCATGATCCCGTAAGCAACAAGTGTAGCCTTATAACGTAGCAACTTGCCGATCATCGGCCTAGATTGAGCGCGCGCGGGCAGCTATCGACTTGTATCGTTCTGCATCGACAGACTGGGAGACAAGCATAGCTCAAGGTAAGTCTCCTCCGCCGTTTCGAACTTGAGCCTCAGGCCAACCGCTGTCAGGTCAGTGGCCTTGTGCCTTGCCTCCTAGTTCATTCTCTCGGTGCTATGGATGAGCTTCAGCCCACGATTGACGGAAGTCGAGACCTCAGAATAGCCTAGACCACCATGTACTCTCCCTTGTATTGCTTTCCCAGGATGTAAATGCGAATGGCTGTGGCAATCTTGGTTTCCACAAAGTCACAAAAGCATACGTTGAAGTGTGACAGCTCCGGAGAAGCCTATGATGTTGACTCGACGTGCAATATTAAGATACAGCATATGGTTTACAGCGATATGATCCTCATGATCGACAACTACCAATTGCGTCGTAATTGACGTTTGACATTTTCGTATAAAGTTCTTGTTTCAGTTCGGCCTGGTTCGAGTTCCGACATGTATTGATCGATGGCCATGTCCATCCTGCTGACTGGTATCTCCGTTGATGTGGAGGACGTCGGCTGTCTTGCGTTCTCAAGCCAGTCGCTGAGCAGTACCGCGATATCCGAGGAAATTATCTGCACATTCGCCTGTTCATTGAAGGGCGGAATCTGCATATAACCAAAAACATCACTACGGGAAACCGAGCGTTCACATATTAATCGTACCTGGGATTCATACATCTCATGGAAAATGTCCCAAACCTCCGGGTAAGGCACGCCGCATTGCACGAGAATGCGAGGCGCCCAACCTTCGGGGACCGCATTTTTGTGCCGCAACACGAATCGCACGAGTAAAGAAGCAACGTGACCTATATCCCATCAGATGCGGAATTGGCGGGCAACTGCATCGAAGGTCACTCACGAAGAGGGAAAGCGCTTTCGGATGGGTAAAAGCGTTGCCCGAGGGGCGTAGTCTTGGACACGATGCGATCGGCAGCGACATCCGGTGGCCCATCCTCCGCGGCTGTAATAATCACGCCAGAAGTGAGGATGATTCTGACCGATCCCAAACAAGGCATCTGCTTACCCTCCTCGAATATTTGATTCCATATCGTTTGCGTCAAGTTGGTGTCTCGATGCCCTGACACGTGGAGAATCAAGAGCTTTGCGGTAGGGAGATCGAATGGTTCGGCATATTCTTGATAAAGCTGCAGTCAAGCCGCCTTCGATATCAAGGATGTTTGTGAATGTTTCGGAACGACTCACGTCGGAAATATTGAATAGCTTCTTGGAAAGAGCAGTAATCCGTTCAGTGACTTCGCCGCCTTCGTGGATGTGCGGGGAGAGGACGTTGTAAATCTCCAGCTGAACCTGGGCGACTTCAAGCTTCTCTTCCAGGTCGGTGAGGAACGCTATCGCGGTCTCGTGTCTTCCCCCCGCCGAGATTGGATGTGACTTCGCGTTACCCACTGCCAACGTAAGATACTCTAGACGAGCTTCGAGGGGGAGATCAAATCTGGGTATCGAACTCAGTGCGTGCTTCGCTCCAGTGGAAATCAAGCTCACTCTGTAGATTCTGCAAGGGCAGCGAGGACCTCAGCAGCACGGAGTGGTTGTCCATCCTTGACGTAGAACTGCCAGAGCAACTGGAACTTTTCCACGCTTACAGGCTCTCGCCGCAAGTGGGCTTCAAGGTATGCTGGTCGCATCTGGAGAATGGGATGTAATCTCAATTAAGATACGGAGACGCGCTAGCATACCTCTAGGAGCTCGTCAGCTAAGCCTTTCGTTATCAACCAGTCATAGAGCGTAGAGTGGAAGATTTCGTCGTCACTGAGGAACGCAAGTTCGTATGCGTGCGATCGTACTGCCTCCGCTTGTTCGGACGTTGACGTCGCACTTGACTGGGTAACGGCTTGCTCGAACTTCTCCAGCGACTCCAATACAAGGTCATAGCAACGCCGCCGCTCTTCCCAAGCCTCCCTTCGTGGATCGTTATCAGGACAGCCTGCGTGCCAGTACTCCCGTCCTTGAGATTTCGGATCCATGGCTTTTGCGCAGTATAGCGGTAATTCGACGGCCCCTGGTGCATGCTCAATGTCAGAGAAGGCTTAGTGGGCGGTATCGGGTGGTAAAACACTCACCTTTCGTGTAACTTAGTTGCTGATACTCCTTCACGACTTCCTTCAATTTCTCTGAGTCGAGCAATCGCGCGCCTTTCACAAACAAGCTGCAGTCCGATGAGCACAGATCTCGATGTGGGTGAATCGGTCTGACCTCAGCGACTCCGCAAGCCAGTCATGACGTTCGGTGGGGTTTCGGGCCTCAACAGCTCGCCGGACATCTTCCTTCGCCTACGTGCATGTGGTTGAGTGGAAAGCAGCCCGATCGGGGTCGTCGCGACTTGCCTTGTAAATCATGACATCGTCTGTACTGCAGAAAGTGCCGCATCGTTGTTGGAGTACTTCACTAATGGTGTCAACCTACAACGTATGTATATGAGCGAACTTCCCGATGACACACTGGTGCACGTACACCGATTTGTTGACCGATCTGTTGATCAATAACAACATTGACGAGAGCCCTAGATACGGCAACACCGTTTTGACCAGTTACCAGCTCTTCGAAAGTGAGGGAATCAACCAATTTCTGTACATCTTGTGCACATCTGAATGTTGATCGCTCAAGCTCCGAGCACAGAGTACACTGTTCGGCACAGAACTCACTGAGCGACTAATTCTCCCAAACGATAGTCGTTGAGGAGTAATACAAAGGAGATCGCCTCTACGGCCCGCGATAAGAGGGCGATAAGTGACGAAACGGATTCTTGTTCCACCTGGGTACGATTCGTCAAAGGATGTCATCTCAGACAGAAATGGCAGCCCACCCGCCACGCTTCTTGTTCATTACTGCCAGCCGACCTCGCGCCAGATTGATCTCCCGGGGTGGAGTGGAATAGCTGCGGGTTCTTATCGAGGAAAGTCTTCAAGGCGAAAAGATTTTTTTGGATAGTAACGAGTAGATTCTCGTCAACATTGAGCTGCCGCAGGCCCAGCGCACTATAGCAGAAAGGGCGTCAGACAGGACCCAGTAAGACGAAACGTTCGATTACCCAATCGACACCAACTTGGCTTTCCATATCGGACGGACCAATCGCGCAAGATAGAGGGCCAAGCCTTCTCTTCGGCCGCTGAAGATTGCCGTACCGGAGCCGTCACCTATTTGAAAGGGACGATTAGTTGCATATTGTATGCAAACTGCTCTCCAAACTTCGACTGACCCGTCCCGTATGTCATTCTTTCCGCCCATATCGGTCTCTCACCAAAGTCGTAGAAGGCCTGTTTCGCCACGGCAGCCAAATCGGGACTCACTGTCGCCAGTGTCCCCGAGTTTTGGAGTTCTCCTGTGTCGAGGAACGTATTTCCGCTCGCTAGACCGAGTAACATAGCGCACGTCTGATCTCGTCCGAAGCTGTGCGGGTATAATCAACGTAATGATGAGGGTCAACCACAGACGTGTACCTACCTATCTCTGAACTCAATGATCGATTGAACGTTTCCTTCTGCGTGGACTTCCTCGATGACGTCCCGGAGGTAATCCATTGGGCGACGCTTGGCGAGGAAAGTCAGCCCTACGTTAGTCAGGACCATAAATTGCTTCGTGGTTTCTGAAAATTGTAGTGCCAATTCGTTGATGACACCGGGAGATGGAGTGTTGGGTGGCGCCGATACATTCGACGACCTTGGAACGGCTGCCATGGCCCATGTGTTCCCTGGAACCACGATCAGGGTAGCGTATTCCGTCAGAGGCGGTCTAGGAGGGCCACCACCGTATGAGTTGTTGTATGTAGGTTGCGATGGATTGAAACGCTGGGGTTCCCCGGGAGGCCGAATTTGACCCAAAGAACCAACACGTGTCAGATCCGGTGATGTGCAGAGCAAAAAGTCGGCGCCGTCTGTATCGCCTTTCTGTGCGGCAACCAGGAGGCCAGCATCGTAGCATGAGCTCTCAAGCCCGGACACGGTGTACGGTCTTGAGGGAGCCGCAGATTGGCCGGCGCCATACCCTAGTACAGAAGTCCTGAGCGGCGCCGATTGTTCGTCGGGATGAAGGAGATTGGGTGGTGGAAGTCGGACGTGAACGAGCTGAAGATGGCGACCTCCGGCCGAGCCCGACCCCAGTCCGCTATAATACCCCGAGCTAGCAGCCGTGGGCAGGAAGTAGAGACGGACGCCAGTGGAGGTGATGGCTACGAGCTGGACGCCGGCCCTGGATTCGTTCGGTTCAACCACGTGAAGGGCTATGATCTGGAAGTTTTTGGGTGTTAACGCCGGCGCACCGGGAGCCTTGTCTTGGGCAGCCTTGTAGAGATTGTTCAAGGTCTGCACGTGCTCGACAGACTTGGGTCCGGTCGGTTTGTATACTGAAATGACATTTCGGGCGCTTAACGCGTACAAGAGGCCGCGCGCGGGGTCGGGGATGAGTGAGGCGATGCGATCTGCTGTGATCATGTGTGAGCTTTCGGTTGACATGAGGCGAGAAAGAACTGGCCATCGGAAGCAGACGAAGCAAACTTGGGTAGCAGACTGTGCACGCCACCTACTGAATGGTTGATGAGCTGAACGCGTTTGCCAAACCACCCCTCCTTCTCTTGATAGTGCAACTCGTACAGGTTTCCGTCTTGTGCACCGGCGAGAAAGATGCGGCCATCGGCCATCCCAGCGACACAAGTCATCTCCACCTCCGTCGTGATGGACATCTCCGTGGCGTAGAGCTGTATTTCCTTGTGAGGTCTGTCGTTGGGCAGTCTGCCGGTTGTGCAAGATACGCCGATGAGCAGCACCGTTATGGGTGTGCAGATGACGAGGACGTAGACGATGTCGTCAATGAACACGCCGGGCCGCGGTTTGACAATAGCCACGGAAGTGATGTTGTCGGGCTGCTCGTTGTAGGTCATGATGGTCTCACTGAATATTCGGGTTTGAGAAGCGACGCGGATCGTGAGGATATATCCTCACCCCTCGACGTAGTCCCATAGGAACAGCTGGTGGTCAATCGTGATCCATGCGCGCTCCAGTTCGGGCAGGAGCCCCATATGTGACGTTACATGGGTGGCTGCACAGAGAGGGGCTCATGGTCAGCGTGCGAGAGTTACGAGGAGCACGAAGAGGCGTACAATTGTAGTATTGGAACAGCCCTTCCGGAATGCCTGCAAGCCTCCGCTTCTGGAATGGCACGCGGTAGTCGTCCGGGAACACGCTGTACGACGCGGAGGATGGAGTGCCGGCTGTAAACGCCTTTGTCAACAGAGGCGGGTAAGAGGCGGATGGCGGGTGGCATACGGCTGAGCAGCATCTCCCCGAGGTCAGGGATGGTCTGGGCATCTCTGTTAAGCTTTTCGAGGAGAACCTGGCTGGCTGTCTGAAGCGCGGGGAGGTTTGCGGCAGGGTCCGGCGCCGGTGTGGGCTGGCGAAGAGAGAGCGGGCTGCTGGGACCAGCGAGGTGCGAGCCAGCAAACGAACGAGACATGGCGGGGAAAGCCATCCTGGCCGACGAAGGGACCAACAAGTCACTCAAAACACGATGTCCCAGAAAGGAAACCACCCGGGCGTGTGACCTCGACGCGTCCCGTCCGCCTTCACCGTCACACGCGTCGCGTCCACACACCCGGCCCTCTTTGTCCTCCTCCCGCCCATGTCCGCCAAACAGTCCGCCGCCCCGACTCGCTCTGCTATCACCCTCAAGGGCTCTACCAGCATCGTCACCGAGTTCTTCAAATATGCCGTGAACACGTCCGTTCAGCAACAAACGTGCTCGATCCCGGCCAAGTCACTGAGCTCTTGCTCAGGATTCTCTTCCAGAGAGGCGTCTATCCGGAAGATGACTTTCACATGGTCAAGAAGTACGGCCAGACTGTGCTCGTCACGCAGGATCTAGCATTGGAAAACTATCTAGACAAGTGCGTGGTTGTTCGTGACGGGAAATCATCAGGCTTGACGCATCTGCCAAGGATCCTGAAGCAAGTGAGCAGTGAGTGCTATGGATTCTCATCGTTGCGGTTCTGGGCGCCACGGAGGTCGCTGAATCTCGTGCAGAATGGCTGCTTAGCGGATCAGTGACGCAGCTGGTCCTTGCCATCATCTCCAAAGACACTCGAACTCCGCTCGAACGCTGGGTGTTTGATGTTCATCTTCAGGAGCCGCCCGCGGACGCGAGCGAGCCGCAAGTGTCTCTTCATCCGTCCGCGCGTGGCCGGCGACTGACGGCGGTCAACAGCGCGCAGCCAAAGCCCGAGTCTGAGATCCAGGCGGAAATCCGGTACATCCTGAAGCAGATCGTGTCGACGGTCACGTTTCTGCCCATCATCGAGGAGCCCACGGTGTTCAATATCCTCGCATACACGAACGAGTCTGCGGACGTTCCGGCGGACGAATGGGTGGACACGGACCCGCTGGCGATCGAGGCGAGCAAGAGCCAGCAGGTGAAGCTGCGGAGTTTCAGCACGGACGTGCATCGGATCGAGGCCATGGTCGCGTACCGCTACGAGGGGTGAACGGAGGCGTCAGATCGGCGGACGTCCGCGTGTGGCGGACTGTATCAGTTCTCGGTGTTGATTTCTCTCGATAGTCGTGCGCGGGGGAGAGTATGTACTGGCACAGCTCTGACTGATGGGAGTCTGCGGAGTGAATGATGATCATGCCGGGGGGAGATGCATGGAACAGGCGTGGAACGTTCTGCACTGTCGGAGGTGCCCAGGGGAGAGGTAGCCAATCCATGCCGCGCGGTGTGTCCCAGGGCGCGGGCACGGCGGTGATGGCGGAGAGACGTTGCCAGGGTGGCCACCCGGAATAGAACACTCAACGGCCATCACCCGCCCCGCCCAGGTCGTCCTTTATACCTCTCCCCCCTTCTCTCTTCTGTCCTGCTCGTCGGCCGGTTCGACTACACTCCTTTGTCCTGTATCCCGCAATCTTAGCGCTTCACTAATCAGCACTAGTCGCGATGGGCGAAAGCTGGTTCCAGAGAGAGTTCCTCACCGGGCGGAGGCTCGCCTTCAACGTCGTCTTCTACGGCATCCATTTCGCCCTCTTCGGTTACGGTTGGCACAGTCAGGTATCTCCTCCGCACCCTCTCTCTCGTACTCGTACTCACCGTCCGCCAGGCCGTCAACTCCAAGCTCGCCGGCCTCAACACCCTCCAGTGGTCGGTCTGGTCCTCCCGTGGTGCCGGTCTCGTCCTGGCCTTCGACGGTGGCATGATCCTTGTTCCCATGCTCCGCAACATCATCCGCGTCGTCCGGCCCAGGCTCACATGGCTGTTCCCCGCCGACGAAAACATCTGGTTCCACCGACAGGTCGCCTACTCGATGGCCTTCTGGGCCATGGTCCACACCACCGCTCACTACGTCAACTTCATCAGCGTGGAGGAGAGGCGTAAGTAGAGTGCATGCCCGTGAACGCTTCACGATCTGAAACCCTCATTCCATCAGAAATCCGCAAGCAATCCGCCGTCGATATCCACTACCATCAGGCGGGAGGCATCACGGGCCATTTCATGCTGCTCATCATGGTTCTCATGTACAGCACCGCCCACAACAAGATTCGCGCCCAATGCTTCGAGGCTTTCTGGTACACTCATCATCTTGCCTTCTTCTTCATGATCGGTCTGTACGCGCACGCTACCGGTTGCTTCGTCCGCGACTCTGTCGACCCCGACTACATCCCGTCCTTCCCTTTCTACTCGACGGAGCACTGCTTGGGCTACGAAAGCTGGAGGGCCACGATCTGGCCGGGTATCATCTACTTCGGTGAACGTGTGTGGAGGGAAATCCGGGCCCGGAGGGCGACTCGCTTGTCCAAGGTGTTGGTTCACCCCAGCGGTGCTATGGAGCTTCGCATCATCAAGCCGAGCTTCAAGTATGTCGCCGGACAGTGGTTGTTCATCCAGGTGCCTTCCGTTTCCAAGTGGCAATGGCACCCCGTAAGTTCTCCGGCGTCTTCGTGTTCTGCCTTTTTTAACCGTACGCGCAGTTCACTATCACCTCCGCTCCTGAGGACCCTTACGTCTCGGTGCACATCCGTCAAGTCGGTGACTGGACTCGTGGTTTGGGAGAAATCATTGGCGCCGGCCCTAACGTCGTGGCGTCGCTCACCCAGGCTGCGATGAAGGGACAGGAGAAGGACGAAAAGCTTACCATGATGGGCGCTACACGTGGCGACTTCGTCGAGATTGACTCTGGTCGATCCCTTCCGGTGGTTCGCATCGACGGTCCCTACGGTGCACCTGCCGAAGACGTGTTCAACGTCGAGGTCGCTGTCCTCATCGGCGCCGGCATCGGTATGTACCGTGTTTTCGTTTATTCGTTTGTTGATTCTTCTTCATGCTCATCTATTTCTCCCCAGGTGTTACTCCATTCGCCTCCATTTTGAAGCACATCTGGTACAGGCAGAAGCGGGGCAACGTCGGCTCACTCCGTCGTGTCGAGTTCTTCTGGGTTTGCCGCGACGCTCCGTCGTTCGGTTGGTTCCAGAGCTTGTTGCAAGAGGTTGAAGCCGCCCAGGCAGACCCGAACTTCCTTCGCATCAACATCTATCTCACCCAGAAGATTGGCGACGACATGCTGTGGAACATCGCCGTTAACGATGCCGGCGCAGAATACGACCCTCTCACCCTTCTCCGTACCCGGACGATGTTCGGACGCCCCGATTGGAAGAGCATCTACGGCCGCATGAAGCAAGCCATCGAGGGTGGTCAGTACATCGCCGGCAGCAACTCGCAGCTCCGGACCACCGTCGGTGTAAGTACTTCGCTTGCCATACGTCGAAGCGCGGCAGCCTAATTACGTCCCTCAGACATACTTCTGCGGTCCCAGTGTACTGGCGAAGGCGATCAAGGAGGCTACTGTTCAGCACACCTCCTCCCAAGTCAACTTTACGTTCGCCAAGGTGTGTTATGTCAGAGCCGCCTTTGACCAGCTTCTGACGGAATTGTCTTCCAGGAACACTTCTGATCGACCCCGCCAATCGTTGGATGCTGTCATATGTCGCGCCTCAGAGCCTGCTATGAGACGTTGACAGGAATGCTGGTTGTGATGGATGCAACAATTTACAGTGGCTTTGCCTCAACTGGTCATTGTGCAACCCTTCAACCCTTTTATTTATAATTTGATACACGCCTCGGCTGCTTCCCTGTATTACTTGATGAATGCTATCTGAATGCCAGCCGCAGTGCAGGTGAAATGATTAATGATCGTTTGGTATGCGTGCTGCCTGGCGCGATCACGTGGAGTGTGACTGTGAGTCGCGTATAGGGGGTTTCCTGGGGCTCCTCTTCACGCATCGTAAACACCATTGAACGAGCATGGAGAAGGCGCACCAAGTTCTTCATGATATCTTTGGGCACAGCAGCTTCAGACTGGCCCAGGAGTTGGCAAGCATCGTCATTCTGCTCACACATTTCAGTATTAAGTCCGCAACGCGTCTCCACCTTAGGTCGTCCACCGACTTCTCGTTGATAACGACAATGCCCTTGTTCTTTTTCCGACTGGTGGTGCGCTCAAGGACCATAAGTCCCCTCTTACCCTCTGATAACCTCATATCAGGCGGCAAAAGCTTGACGTACCAAGTACCTGCATTGTGCCTGGACGTTCGTGATTCATGCGCGTCGCATCATTAACCATATTTACCATACGCGGCCCCAGGGACTCACTCTGGTGATCTCGCCCTTGATCGCACTCATGAAGGATCAGGTCGACTATCTGGTCGGGCTGGGTGTCAAGGCTGCGAGTTTAGATAGTAGCTTGACGGGAGATCGAGCTGCCTGGGTCAAGCAAGAGGTAATGTCCGGACAGATGAAAATCCTGTATGTTGCCCCGGAAAGGTGAGCATCGTGCTCTACGTCGGTCTTCTCGTTTATCAAAGCAAGGATAGGCTCAATAACGAAGGCTTCGTGGCCATGATGAGCCGAGTTAAAATATCATTGCTTGCTGTTGACGAGTCTCATTGCATCTCTCAAGTTTGCAAATCATCTTTCTACTCGGTCTGCCCTTTGCTGAATGTCGTCCAGTGGGGTGCAAGCTTCCGCCCAGAATATCTCAAGGTCGCGCGCTTTGCTGAGGAAATGGATGTTGAAAGAGTCCTTTGTCTTACGGCAACAGCTACACAGAATGGTGTGGTGCTTCCTCCCTCTTACTATGCATCATTGACACGCTATTACCAGTATGCAACGATATTTGTCGTCAGTTCTTGATAGATCCGACGGACGGTAGGATAATATCCGTTTGATTGCTTGTCTTGAAGTTGCTGAAACCGTTCTAGGCGTAATTAGGAGTCCAATGTTTCGACCGAAGTGAGTTGTGTGATGTTCTTCGCCCGTCATTGAGCTCAACAGAACTTTCTAGCCTGCAATTTCGGGTGCAAGTTGCCGCAGATTTGAACGAAAAAGTGGCCAAGATCGTCCCAATGCTCGAGGCGAGGACAGGACCGGCAATCATATATGTCACACTTCAACGACATGCTACCGAGGTCATTTCATTCTCACGACAGTCTAGTAATATGCCTAACACAATACAGGTTGCGGACAAACTCAGGGTTCATGGATTGCAGCCTCTAGTTTATCACGCAGGCCTGGCATCTGAAGAACGGCGAAGAGTTCAAGAAGAATTCATGGACTCTGATGATGCAGTCGTCTGCGCGACGATCGCTTTCGGTATGGGAATCGACAAGGCTAATATTCGTCAGGTAAGACTTACCAAGCTCGAATATGCTGGACTGTTACTTACCTCGCCAAGGTTATCCACCTGTATATGCCGAAAACTATCGAGGGTTACAGCCAAGAAGTCGGAAGGTGCGTGCACATCTGATTGTGATGGGATCGGAATAATTGACACGATACCGCAGAGCTGGTCGTGACGGACTACGATCGACTTGCTTGATGATTCTCTCAGCCCCAGATATTCCCATTTTGGAGGGATTCTGCCGAGGAGACACTTGTTCAAAGAAAGACCTCCAGCGCTGGCTAGAAGAAGTTGCTTCCAAGGTTCCAGACGTCGACGGGACCATTTTCTTCAACTTGTATACCCAAGCCAAAGAGTGTGTACTAGCCGTAACCTGCATTGTTCGTGCCGTCCCCGCTCATCCACTTATGAAGTTATGACATACGGGTAAGGCATTGATCACCACAGCTAATCTTGACTCAAACTATCCAGAGTAATGTCTTAGGTCTCTCGTATGCGTCCTTGGAGCTTGACTACGGGTTCATCCGGGCTGTCACTCCCTTCTATGCTGTTTACGACATCACCCTTCGAGGCGGCGACTTCAATAAAGTCTTGTTGGACAATTCTGCTGCTGCGAAGGCGGTACGTGGTGCATGGGTTGCGAAAGCGGGCGGTTACCAGGTGCGGATGCACATGTGCATAAAAGCATACAAAATCAGCGTACTGACAGTATGACGTAGATTGATATGGTCAACGCTGCCGCTACGTCTGGAATCGACCGAGGAGTGATGGCGAAGCTTATCAATACTTGGGAACTAGACGGCCTGGTAACTGTGAAGGCATCCCAAGTCAGAAACGTGAGCACGACTTAGCATTCTACCGCGGTTTTGCTGATCCTTCGTCACAAGCGCTACGCTGTGCTGAAGCCGCTCCCGAAGAATGCGGCTGAGGTAGAAAGGCTTGCAAGCGAAATGCATGCCAAGATGGTTGATCGAGAGGAAGAAGCTATAAAAAAGCTTCGCCAAGTCATCGAAGTAGCCACAGCGGAAGAATGCAAGTTATCCGTTATTCCAGCGGCTGACTTAGCAGACACTCAACCTATTTTAGGTCTAGCGTACGCTATCGCCGAGTATTTCGGTGACGCCGCGGCCGTCCCCGAAGGGCTATGCGGGATGTGCACTTTCTGTACGACCGGAGAGAGCGTTACATTCGATTCAGTCGCGAAGACAAAAACGGATCCGAAGAAGGTAAAAGCGGTTTTGGAGGCATGTCCCGACAGGGATGATCCACGGTGCGCATCTTCCTCGAGATGCCAGACTATGAATAACGTTTTCGTCCAGAATGCTCGCACGTATGGCCTTCGGGATAACGAGCCCAAGGTTAGCATACCAGAAGCTCTCCACGGGCCATCCGCTCTTTGGTTGCATGGATGACGTCGACTTCAATTCGCTGGTAACCGCGTTCGAGAAGGAATGCGCTGCGGCACAATATGTCAGAATATCAGGCACGGGGGCACACTCCACAGGAGTCAAGAGACCATACTCTCAAGCCAGTCGTGGCGACTCAAACAACGTGCATGTGGTTTATGATCGCAGCACAAGTTCCCGGAGTTATAACCGTGGCAGAGGCTACAATCGTGGCGGAAACACGTCCAAGCGTGGCCGTCGTTACTGAACAATCCGATCGGGCGAACTGGCTTATGTCGTATTATTATTTTCTGATATTTTCCTCCCATGAACGTTGCATTGCTGTCGCCAAGTCCTTGAATCGTAGTAGAGTACGCACCGACTTTCGCTCAGAGCTTCACATTGAGTCGGGAATGAATCGGCAACCATGCCCCTCAAGCACTCCAAACACAAAAGATTGTTTAGCTGCCACTACTGTAGGTAGATGTATGGATCGCGAGGTCAAGAAGCCATGAGGGACACACAGACCCTGGAGGTGTCGGTTATGGCACAGACTAGTCTAATAGTATCCGGTATCGGTCAACGCCACAATCGCCATCCTTCGAACGGCAGATAACCCGTGAATGACTATGCGAGCCCTGCATCCTGCATGGCCTGTGTCGAATGGTCAGCCGACAGAAGTCCGTCTCAGAGAAGACATCATCACCTTGAGCATCGCGTGGCCAATCTTAGCCGGACTGTCAGTGACAATAGCACCAGCCTTCTGCAACGCAGCGACTTTATCGGAGGCGGCACCTAAGACCAAAATCATATGTCTTAAAAATTGTTTGGCCAGCTAAACCACTCACCCTTGCCACCGGAAATAATAGCACCAGCATGACCCATACGACGTCCCGGTGGGGCAGTACGGCCAGCAATGAATCCGACGACGGGTTTCGGCTTAGCGCGTGTCTTATTGTATTTTTCCAAATACTCAGCCGCCTCCTCCTCCATAGATCCACCGATTTCACCAATCATGACGATACCTGGCCAATGAGTCAGCCCGGTTCCCGAAGCCCTTGAGCGCAACATACCCTGGGTCGCTTCATCTTCAAGGAACAACTTGATCACATCCACATGTTTTGTGCCAGGGAATGGGTCACCGCCGATACCAACGCAAAGCGTCTGGCCAAGACCGACGTCCGTCGTTTGAGCCACAGCTTCGTATGTCAAAGTTCCAGAACGAGAAACGATGCCTGTACAAAAGAATTCCCTGAGTCCAATGGTACCCGTAGTGAACGTGAGACAGACCGATTTTGCCAGGTTTATGAATATGGCCGGGCATGATGCCCATCTTACAGCCAAGGGGGTTGATGACACCGGGGCAATTAGGACCGACCATGCGAGATTTCGACTGGCTGTTGAGAGCTTGAGCGACCTAAAAGGCTTGAGTTGCATCTTACATGTGCGACCCAAATGGCTAACCTTTATCTCGTCGGCTTGCGGGATGCCTTCGGTGATACAGACAATCAAGCCAATTTCATTCTCGATGGCCTCAAGAATAGCGTCTGCTGCGAACGGAGGTGGCACGTATAGAACAGTAGCATCAGGCTTGGTCTCCTTGACAGCCTAGAGAACCGGTGTTTGCACAAAATCATCGTCAAGGGAATCCACCGCACCTCCTTGACGGAGCCGAAGACCGGGAGACCAAGATGAGTCTGACCAGCTTTGCTGGGAGAAACTCCGCCGACCATCTTGGTACCATATGCTAATGCCTCCCTGACGTGGAAAGTGCCCTGCCCGCAGTGAGCAGAGAATAGTTAGTCAAGTCGGTACACGTACGGTCTTCCCCGTGAAGCCTTGGCATAAAACTTTGGTATCTTTGTTCACGTAGAGATTTTTGATGGTGTCTTCGTAACTCCTACGCGCGGCGGATTGGGAGAACGTCCTGCGTCCCACTGACGAGGAGACCGCAATGCTTGCTCAGTGCAGGCTCGGAAGCGAAAAGGTGCGTGATACACGTACAATTGCTCGTAAACAACTTCCCGGTACGAGCGATCGTGACCATGATTGCGTCTCGGTGATCTGAACACGAAGGAGAGAGGATACGCGAGTAATGAGGCGGGCGGAGGCAAGCGGTCTGAAGCGGGTGGCCGAAGCGGTGTTCGAAGCGGGTGGCCGAGCGGTCTGAAGCGGGTGACCGAGCGGTCGTAGAACACCTCGGTTCAGCCCGGCTGCGGGACCGGGTCACGATAGTCCGAACTAGCCCCACTACTACACACAATGCTTCTACGGTACACTTTTGATTCATACGATAATTTCGGTGCGAATGAGCTTCATTCCAACGGGCCTGTGCGACGCCTGTCCCGCGCCTTACGGGATGCCCTATGGAGGGCATGCACGCAGTACTTGACCTTGTCTACCTGCCGCGTTGTTACCGCGCTAAGAAACCAGTCAGCCTCGATGCCATGCAAGTCTGCCCGTGATATTCACCTCGTTATGTCAGCCAGGAACTGACTCTTAGCTTGGTTTGGCGCATTGGAGGTCGGAAGCTGCTGTAGCACAGGAGGCAGCCACACAAGTAGTTGGCTAGACCAGAGAGAGGCCAAGACCCGCATGATTGTGACAACCTTGTGCACAGTATCTTCGGGGAACTGACCCACGAGGCCCGCTAGTATGTAACCTGTGAATTCGAAACCTTCCTTTTGCATGACATCCCGGATGGCAGCCGCATATACGGGGAACTGCGGTGGAGGAATGGTGTTCTCCGGGGGTAAGAGACATTCATGCGTTAGGATCGCGCTAAGAAGATCCAGGGATGCGAATATGATGTCGGAGTGTACCAAGGTAAGTGCCGCCGTTGTAGCACGGAATGCCAGGGGGAATGCAGAAGAGTCGAAAAACACGTCGGGAGTATATTCGACCATCTGGAGGAGCATCTGCACGTAGTCCTCAAGCACTGTCTTACAGTGAGCGACAAGGCGGGAGTGCGCCTGCATAAGCAGTAAACCTCACCATCCGGTATATCACCTGGCGACTTCTCTTGCAATAAGGTTACCATTTTCTGCGTCGAGATTTCGTATGCGGTCTTGAAGGCGTTGCGCAAGACGGGGTCTTCCTCGCTTCCAAAACGGCCCATTACCTTTCCGCTAACCCATAGATAGCCTGGGTAGCCAGTTGCAGCGAAGCACGATGCCATCCTTGATAAGACTGCGGCTGCTACCGGAAGGGCGGAAGCACCGAATAGGCTGAGGCCATGGCGAAGAACACGGGTCGTCCGTTCGGAGAGCACAAAGCTGGTTCCATATTTCGCCAGGAAAGCGTCGAAAACCGCCCAGGCCTCGGCGCAAGTGCCTTTACACGCATTGGGTAGCTCGTCTCCGAATGTCTTCACGACATGCAACATAGCTTCCAAGTTCTCCAGCGCATCTATAATAATTCAGAACTGTGATGTCGAACTTGAAGGCGTCAGACTTACTGTCAATTGCCCTTATTTCTTCCTTGGTTGACACCGGTCGATTGGTGACATCGTGTATTTGTACCAGGATATCCGTTGAGAAGGTTCTCAATGATTCAGCAGCCTTCTCCATCGGCATGGCGGATATGACATATGCAATAGCCTCGTAAACTTCGACCTTTTCATCTTGAGCAAGTTTGGCCCCGGAGGTTCCGACGAAGGTATGCAATTGTGGTAGAAAATCTTGAAGATGCTGCCACGGAATGAGTGCATGCACGAGTTTGTACTTATTGATGCTCACCGTCTTGCAGTCCATACAAAGGTATTTCAATGCTTGCCCCGCTGCCGCACTAACCTCCACATCGCCGTCCTCGAAGCCCGCTGAGATATACTGAAGTTGATACGGGACATAGTTGGGGTGCATATTGATCCATTCACTGTATCTGGCAATGACCAATAACGCCGCGTACCGAACCTTGGGATGCAGTGGCAGGGATGGTATCAAATCCAATATTTGCCCTACCACCTTTGCATCAGTAGGATCCACTTCCCCACCCATGGATCTCAGCGAAAAGAGGGGGGCTTCGATTTCTTGCCAGGAAAATCCCGACGGACCGCGAGCAAGCGAGGTCGTGATCATTTCATAGGCCGCAAGTAAGCATTCCTCGGAGCCAATAACAAAACAGCAGTCTTTGAGAGTGTCTCCCATGACATGCCTGAACGAGCGGAAGCTGTCGTACTCTTGTCCCGATAGCGAGGTGATGTCAGCCGGAAAGTGGAGGCGGCGTATGATCACGGCCAGAAGAGACTTGTATGCATCGACGAAGAGCGGAGAAACGGAAGGCTTCTTCCCTATACTCTGAGCCAGGCGCATCCAGAATGGAAAGGTGATTGGAACAACGTCGAGGTCGTGGTACGCTGAGCATTCCCCAATGGCTTCTACAATCGGAAAGAACGTCTCGGTGTGTTGAAGGAGAAGAAGACGATACGTTTCCCCAGCTTCCGTGAAGATGCGCGCGTAGCCTTTGACCTTTTCCGGATCGTCAGCGTGCTCCCTCAACCTAGGTCTAAGTGCGATAACGTGAGGAACAATGATTTGTATGACATCCATGTTGTCATCGATCTCTTGCGTCTCGTGGATCAACTCGCATAGGACATCGACGGCGGGGTCGAAGAGCTCGTCGGATGCCAGAGCCTCGAAGGCATATGTGAAGAGGGGGGTCTGGGCCACTTCGGACGCGCCAATTTCACCAGCGTACACCCAAGATTTGAGGCAGGAAAAGACTTGGGCTTGGACAGTGTGCGTGACACCTGGCGTGTGGTTCATGCGTTGTAAATCCAGAAAACTACAGTAACGTACGGTATTCGTACCTGGTGCATTGATGTACATTGCAAGATGTTCAAGAATTTCTTTAGCATTGCCAGTCAACAGTTGGCTGCAACGCGTCCTATAATCTTCGTCCTAATCATCGAATGAGCACCATCGCTAACGCGCATAGCTTGACAAACGTACCGTTAAAGGTATCCTGGTATTCATAGTAAGTTCCTCCGGGAATACAGTCAGAAACTGTAGCAGCGCTGGTACAGTCTCCGGGTTTCGACCATAGGCTTCGATCATGCTTTGGACTGGGTTCTCCCACGCTGGTAGCTGTAAAGCAAGGCCTGATATAGCAAGACATAACTGTACGAGAATGTTTCTCGGCCCAGAGTGATACTGTTGGAAAGCAGATACGAGTGTGTCTCTGAGGGATAAAAGATGGGCGGCGTCAACCTGTTCGAGGTCGAACGTAACCTGGCAGCGACATGGTCAGCCAGCGCCGTCTCACGAAGGTGAATGAGACGAAATTACCTTCGTCCGGAAGGTCTGAGCGGCAAACACCTTCGCTGCCATAGGTAGTTCTGTGGTTGCAAGGATGGTACTACATGTTGCCCAGGCTTCAGACTAAGGAGCATTGGAATGGCAGCAAACCAGGTGCGGGTTGTTAGACGAGATCGGGGGTGGCCAGGCGAAACAGATTTACTGAATGCTGGAAATCTTGAAGCCATGCGTTGGCTTTTGCCAAAGAGTCCTTGTCCGGGGCGCTGCTGAACACACTAAGGGCGTCTAATAGAGCTGAAATCTCTGCCATCGGAGTAGAGTCTAAGGAGTGTTGTGGCGCTGCAGTGCAGTAATCATCTGTTTACTGCGCACGCTGATTTTTGCTACCCAAGTGAATCCATTGATTAAAACGTGAGCGGACCGGATGTCAATGATACGACGGGACATAGATATACGGCTAAAGGAGCGCAAGGGACATAGTCCAAATTCCAACAAACGGGCAAGGTAAAGAAGAGATCGGACATCTGTACTAAACAATATGGTATCGGCAGGATGGTAGCGACCGTTCGCAGCATGAATCGGGGTAAGGCTCCGGAATCCGGAAAGATGTCGCAGGTGAGGATAGACCCACAAACAATACGCTTTCACCTATGTACGAAGGAAGCCCTTCTTCCGGCCCGTCTGCTCGAAGGAGGTCAGAAAGATGATGAGCAAGAGGGAATCCAGACCTACGCTGGTCTTCTCCGGAGTGAGTGGTCGTCCGCTCTCCAGACGACGTTTCTTGTCCTCAAGGTCGAGGCGCTGCTTGTCAAGAGCCTCTTTCATTTCTCTGTGACGAGCATACAGCTCCTCCTCCGACTGCTTGAGCTTCGCTTCTTTCTCCTGGACTTTCTGCTGGAAGACCATCTTCATCTCAGCCTCCATCTTCGCAAGCTTAGCCTCGTGCATGATGCGTTCCTCTTGCATCCTGGCCGCGGGACTAACGAGAATGTCAATCACTGATGAGAGAACTCGTCATTAAGTAGACATACTTGACTTCCTTAAACACACTCGAATCCTGTGCGATGCCCATGCTGAGAAGTTTTTCGGAGCGCCAGTTCTCGTACAGCACATTGTTGGTGTGTTCCCTGAGCTCTTCCATGTAGGTCCGAATGAGCATCTGACGAAGCTTCACGAAATCGCAATGATCCTCGTTGTCGACTTCAACGACACCCCATGGATAAGCCCGACCCCGGACCTCACGCCCATCCGGAGTCTTGACCAGCTTATCCGAGCCCACCACAGCGAAAGGTATTTTGCTAATGATCTCCTCCATCTCGGCGATGCTCTCCTCATCCTCATTCTCATATGCAGGAGCCTGGAAAATGTGGATGTTGTGGTACGCGATGTCAGCGAGAATCTGGTAATAATGGTCAATAACTCGGCCGGACGACAAGAGGGTTGATCACATACCCGTGCTTTGAAGTCAGCGACTTCTTCGTCCGTCATAGTGTCAGCCTTCGCGATAACTGGGATAAGATTGACTTTGTTGTGAAGTCGGCGCATGAACTCGATGTCAAGCTGTTTCAAACTGTCCTAATGCATTGAATGGTAGCTCCGTATTAGAGAGTAGGTGCTCACGAGTGACCGGTAGGCTGAATGAAATAGAGACAAGCGTGGACTCGGTTGTCGACAATCTTCTGCCTGTTGACACGGTTCTCCTGGTCAAGATAGGAGTCGAAGCGCGATTCGATGTTATCCACGATGGGTTTCCAGCTGTACTCCGGTCATGAGGGGGGCATTCTTTCGTTTGTGCACTTGAACGCATACCTCTCATCGTTGTTGACGAAGTCTCCGAAACCGGGGGTGTCCACCACAGTGAGTCGGAGGCGCACACCGTTCTCCTCAATATCTGTCGGCAGTCAAGCCGAGTTGTCGTATGATGATGTGAGCAACCCACCGGCGCTTATGCTCTCGATGGCGACAGTCTTGGGCCGTTCAGCGCTGGGTGGAAGTGGCTCTTTGGGCGGGTACAACGGTGTGTTGAAGAGGGTATTAATCAACGTAGACTTTCCTAGACCAGACTCGCCTTCGTAGCAAGATAGAATGTTAGCATCGCCTTGCCACGACGCACGTTACACGTACCGACTACCATGGCCGTGAACTGGAAGCCTTTCCTCACGCTCTTGCGATGAACTTGGTTCGGCAGGTTGGAGAATCCAACGTAGCCCATGAGTTTTTTGCGAATGATAGGCGAGAGGCCTGCACTGTGGCCTCCAGGAGTCGCGAGGGAAGGAGTGGACGCGCCGGCCGCCCCGTTGGGAGCAGGGGCCAAGTCGCCATCTTGAGTAGAAACGTATGAATCTGTCATCTGTGCAATTACTCTGAGAGGCGTGGTGAACGCAAGAGAGGGCGAGCGCGCACTTTTACGTGGTGGGCAACGACCGGCGGGAACAGGTTGGACGACGCCCGCTCTTCGTGAAGCTTGACATGTTTGGCTCTGGTGGCTGAGTCGTCAGGTCGCCCCCACTCCCTCTGATATCAGCTTCATTCACCGACCGCTGCTCGAAGAAAGGACTAACCCAGGACAACTCGTTGTCTAGCAGTGTCTCCTTGACCTTCATGGTCTCTTGCTATCCTATTCTTACTCGCCTCCTTTAGGATGGCGCATACTACATGCTGCAAACGTGCGGCGAACTATATCGTACTGCTATCCATGAAGATCGAACTCCATCGAACATCAGCCCATCCGCATCTGTCTGAAATCCAAAGTTATCAATTATCTTGCATCATAGCCTTCATATTGGAAGATTATTTTCTGCCCAGGCGCCAACTACGTCCGGCGCTCCATCGCATGAAAAGAAGCCACTTTTGACGCAAGACTCATGGGTTTAGCAATTCTGATCAAGTCCTTTGAGATGCATAGCTATAGCCTGTTCGCCGACTTGGATCCGTTCGTTTCTCGTCCATGTGATAGTCAATGAATCTGGTATCCTGCTATTGTGTGGCAAATCGATCTGTGAGTGGTCTATGTGTAGCTTTCCATACTTAATTATAACATTCGTTTCCTGTCAGGATGGACGCCCTATATATTAGGATGAATGCACCGCCTATGCCATCTTGTGTTTCTTTCTGTCCGTGTCTGAATCACCCGCCGTCGTATCGAAGGATTGTATACGGAGCTCTCAGGATACTACTATTTAGCCTTGCTACAACAACGCTGCATATTCTGGTTCGTGGCATGGACATAGCGGAAGCTGCTTCGCTACCAACGTTCTTGTTATGTTACAGACAAGATTTCAATGCGAGAATCCAAAAAATCCTTAGCATGACTCACTCCAATTATGTTGCACCTGTAACACTTAGTTGAAAGACTTGGAGTAAAATGAGCTCAGTAAGTATTCGAGCAGAGGGATATGCAGTCACCATCTGGTCTCGCATAATGACCAACGCAGTCCATATCAAACTTGCCGCGCACTATGTCGTCAAGGTCAAGTTCCGCTGTCAAGACACCTTCCTCCCCCCACAGCGGGCCTGCAAGCACTTCTCCTAATGCTGAGACAATGACTGACCCTCCCCCAATCATGATGTTTTCGGGGTCCCTTTTTGAGGGATCTCTAACAGCGTGGTCCGCAGGAAAGTCCTTTTCCTGTGAAAATTGGCAAGCTGAGAGGACAAAACACCGTCCTTCCAACGCGATATGAACCATCGTGTGCTGCCACTGTGGCCTCGCATCGACAGTGGGGGCGCAATATATATGGGTCCCTCGCGAGTAGTAAAATGTGCGCACTGAGTGTTATCGACATCAATATCAGCACATGAAGAAATAGTAATGAATGTTATTTCTCTTACGTAGGGGCATGTAGTTCTCCCTACAGATCAATGTGACATTTATGCGAAGAGAGCGGTTGATTTACTTGCCAGCATATTGACGCCGTGATTTTCAACTTCTTCCACTCATTCGACGTGTCAAAATTCTTCTCTACGACTGCCAGAGTATCGGGACCCCCTTGGCCCCAGATGACTCGCTCCATGGCTGTGGGCTGTAGTTTCCTGTGCTTTGCCACAAAACCATCTTTGGGGTCGATGAAGACGACTGTGCAGTATAGGGTCCCTCCATCGCGCTCGATAACCCCGATCACGAGGAAAATATCGACCTCCGCACTGATGCTTTCAATTTTCGATATTGTGGGCCCAGGGATGTCTACCGCAGCATTGTGATAGCGAACAAACTCGTCTCGCCCAGCATCGGAACGCTCCCCCACGACGACACCAAACGTGCTCATCTTCGGGTATCCGCCGACACTGGTAGCAAGAGATACGGATCAGCAGATTCTAAAATTAGATACAGAGAGCGAAACCATGGGCGCTTCCCATAACGGTGGTCGTTCTTTAATAATGTTAGCACTTACAATGCTTCAGGGAAAACGGCCAGCTGGGAGCCGTCGCGTTCCTTGGCAATGCGAGCAAGTCGCTCAAGCTTCAGAAGTGTTTCATCAAGGTGAAAGCTTGCTGTGCAGGTCTGCACGACGGAGGCACGGAGAACGTTGGGCATGACCGTATGGAACGAGTTGGTCGGTGAGTAATGATCTGCCTGGTATGTTGATTACTACTGTCATCTGACCTCGAAGAGTACTCATCTGCAAATCGGACCCGTCTAACGTTTATCACACGTGGGTAACTACGATGGAACTCAACACGCGCTCACTCCAGCTTAGACCCTGCGTGCTGGCACCAGACGGGTGGACCCTCTGGACAGGCGAACGAATTCGCAATGACGGGATAGCATGACTCGCAAGTATGGATAGCATACAACACATAGATACATAGCACATATACTATGGTAACAATCTAAGCAATTCCCAAAAAATGAGCGATACGGCAAAACACTTATAAGTAAATCAAAAAATGGACAACGTACATGCAATCATTCAAACACTACCCTTGATACATGACATCTTGTCGGCTCGACTTCGAGACCTAAGACGCTGTACGGTACACGGGTGATTTGAGAGAATCACCCGTCTTTGCGATTTGACCTTCCATGAAAGGCAATAGATGGCTCTAGAAATTTCCGGTTAAGGCAACGTCGTGAGACATAGTTACCGATAATGGTAACCCTGAGTCGCAAAGACGGGTGATTCTTCTGAGTCACCCCTGTACCGTACAGCGCCTACACCGCCAATTTGGTCCCACGCCTCAGCGCACTGGGGATCCCAGCTGTGATCCAGCCAGTTGGTCAGCGTGTGGCTGCATGCCTACCACATAGCATCGCTCTGACTGATACAGCTGGACTCCAGATCTTCAATACACAGAGGACATGTGGTGTATACATGAACACCAGACCACCTCCCATGTATCAGGGACATGATAGAATTCCATCGTAGAATATATATGCTCAAGTAAAATTTGAAGTCGCTGACTTGTGCTCTCAGAAGGAGAATGATACATACATAGCTGCTAAGTTGTTGTAACTACAGCTGACTGGCATTGGGCTTTGAACTTGCAAGTGCGACTTGTCCCGTCGTCGCAACACACCATATCACGTGATATCACGTGATGGTTGGTCGAGCGTCGACGCTCACCGCTGCGGCCAAGTCCCCTTCCCTGCTTTGCCTTTCGATTTCCAGTCATGTCCTGTAGTGAAAATGGGTAAGTGAAGCGTCGATATCACTTGTGTTTTCGACGCTGAGGACGCGATCAGGCAAGTTGTGTATAGAGGTCAAGCCCTCAGATAAGATTGCCTTCATATCCTGTTGTCCCTTACTGATGATAAATCGGATCGCAGAGTGACCCATACGTCCGCGTTCTGGTCAACAACGTTACACAAGGTAGGACCGAGGTCATCAACAACAGTACGTTCTCATAATCATGTTTGTTCAGAGTCGGAAAGGAACATGGCCGAGAGCTGCTTGGCGAGCACGCGGATGGGTGTGGTCGGCGCGGTACCACCGGTGCGGGTCTTGCGCGCCTTCGACACCTTGGCGACCGCCGCGGCGCGCGTCTCCTTCGACATCGGCATGAAGGGCGCAAAGTGGCGGGCGGCCTTGACGGTATTCCGTCCATTGCCGCCCCAGTTCTTTGGGCATACGGGTAGGCCATGCGTCCTATGATGGCCTCGACCATGCTAACTACCATCCTATCCTCCATGCCGATCCCGTTGTCGGTCTGTCTCTTACGCTTCACGACCACGTCTCCCCGGGCGTCAGCTCCTTCGCGATCCCCAGCAGCTTGCTCTGGCTAACGACCGCCTCGTGGAAGTACACAGCCCGGTTCTTCGTCTCTTCCAGATGCTGCAGCACCGCGACCACCCCGCGGCCGATCGTCGGGAGCGTCGTCGCGCTGAACTCCTGATGCCCGCCGTCGTAGGTCTCCACCTTGCGCTCCATCAGCGAGCCGAGCAGGAACCCGGCGTACAGGCCCCAGTCGAGGAACGGTCCGGTGCTGACGATCGTGTACGTGAGGCTCGACTCCCGCCGCAGCTGCGCTCGAAGATGAACCCACTGCCGTAGCGCTGGAGGATGACCTGCCGCCTTGCCGCTGCTCTCGAAGATGACCCGTCGGCCGTGCTCGAAGACACCCCGCTGGCAGTGTTCAAAGACACCTTGCTTGCCGTGCTCGCAGATGCCCCACAGCTGTGTTCTAAGACAGCCCCTGCTGTGCTCAAAGGCACGCTCTCGTTGTTGCCAAAGAATTCCCTGCCCCCGTGCTTTGCCGATACCACTCGCTGTAGCACTCGAAATTGCCTCGTCTCAACCCCCAACCTCAAAGCCACCCACCTCCCATGCCTGAAGCCGGCTGTCTCCTGCCCTCGAATTTGTCTCCTGCCCCTGAAGTTGGCTGTGTGTACTACAGTAGTGATGATAGTATACTCCTGTATTTAGCATGATAAATGATATGACAATTTCTGTATATCACTAGTGGTGAGGAGCAGTATCATTGAATAAGGGGTGGATCCCGGATACCTGCCTATATGAGTCACAGCTGGTGACAAGCTGTAGGCTCACATCCCTGCCAGTTGTAATGGCACCACCCTGAGGGGATTGGACAGTAACTCTGGGAATCAGCTGGACAAAGGATGACCCCCATCCGGGAACGGCGGCTATCCCCCATGTCACGCTCAGCTGGCCACCACGTGAGGCCAAAATGGCAGTGTAATAGACCTTGCCGGTGAAGGTGGACCGTTACGGCTGTCAGGATTGAAGCTGAGGCGAAAGACGAAGACGGGCAAACACACCGTCCGACGGAGCACGGAAGGCTGTTTTATAGGCCACAGTAGTGAACACTGCAAAAGAACGTCACATGCTCAGGAGCGACGTAGGGGGGAAACCTCGTCAAAGCTCGGAACTATATACAGGCGTATGCATCATTTCAGCTGGTGGTAAAGAGACATCTGCGATGGCTTGAAGTATAGGAGTATTTTCGTCGCGAGTTATCACGATTACTTATGATTCTGCACTGCTGCTCCCAACACCACGTATACCAAAAAAGTTCTCAGATCGGCGTCCGCGAATGGGATGCTGAAATGTGGTTTGTTGGGTACGTTCGTCGGGATTTTCCTTTTATCGGCACAGCTTCTCACAACTTTCATGGTCTCGACGTATTTTTCGAACGAGCGAACAAGGGGAACGGCTTCAACGGCCCGCGTTACCTGCGTCGTGGCAGATTTACTTTCACCAAGTCTGCCGCTAGAATATTATTCCTGCATGCCGACGATCGCAGTTCTGGTCTTCACTAGTGGCTAGAATATGCGTCTATCGTATGGAACAGCAATCATGCGCAAAACAAAACGGCACAGAATTAGGAAAGACCAATTCATGACGGTGGTGCAGCGACTGGACCTGCAAGTACGAGAAAATCACGGCGTGATATATATTGGACGAGAGGGAAGCCATTCATTGGGGAAGTCACGCAGCGAGGGACGACTGCGAATCGGTCCCACCCTGTGCTCGCCCTTTTTGGCCTTCCGCAATTTCATATCTAGGTGCCGCGTATCCTGCGGAATGTCTGCAACAGCTTCTGGCTCATTCTGTGATGCTTGAGGTGAGCGAAGGGGCATACAGCAACAAGCGCAATACGCACGTTTGCTTCTTCAACTAAGCGATCTAGGACGTCGCTGGCCCATTTCAGGTTCATCTCGGCCTCCGGAAAGTCCTCGCACGCAATTTTGATGTATCCTTGCTCACGCCCTTCCTCGGAGTCCCCAATGCCAGAATCGCGTGGAGGTTCTGGAGACCATCGTACGCCGGCAATGAGTTTCGCCTTGTGAATGGCATGTTCATTCCTGAGAGCTAGACGAGATAGAGGAACGACGAGAACACGCTTTGCTTTGCCCGGGTGCGCATCTTCACCATAGTCGACAGACCGAACGACGATAGGTGCTCTGTTGGATGGAGGAACAAAAGGTTTCCGAAACGCTACGGAGGTTGGCTCAGTCACGTCACGACATTTGCGGCACGAAACTAACCAACGAGCTGAGGCATCTCATGTTCGATCAGACGCATGTAGTGCAATGCTTGTCTTTGCTGCTCTAGGATCTCGTGGCCGATGGAGGAAGTGTCATTGAAAGTGTCCTCCTCGCCCTCCAGCTCTTCCTCCGTTAACTCCAAGCCGGGTATATACGGCACAGCGCCCACAGCAGGCCCTTGACGTTTGGCTGCAAGCGCTGATTGTGAGACATGGATTGCTCGTCGATACATACGCGCCGACTGTGTCCGCGCCCGGAGCGCGGCACAAAGGAAGTGCATAGTCGGTGCTGGTAAGAGACGGAGTTGCTGCACAGCCACTTACCTGCCCCTTCACAAACTCAACAGCTCTGGCCGCGGAATGGTAGTGAGTGTTCAGCCCAGTGATGCGGCATTTTGCTCAGTACAGAGCTCAGCGACTGCAACTATCTATCAAAGCGGAGCTAGAGAACTGTACCTCCTTGTGTCCAGGATTCGATGATTACGAATTCTTCTTCCAGGTGATCAGATACGTCGTAAAATGATACTTATGACACTGATCCCGGTTACCACTAGGTTAAGTGCAGTTCATGCCATGAGGTACATCCGAAATTTGTATCTGTAAACAGACTTGTGAGTGATCATATGCGCCTGCTGAACCGAAATCTTTGAGCTAATCCAACAACAGGAGCAGCACGCTGTATCAGGCAGCAAAGCTGCCACAGCCAACTTCGTATGGAGGTGCGGGATGTGCAAACGAGAACATTCAGCGAAATTCGAGCCGAATGTACCTCCCAAACCCTACGATGCTGAACTCAACGGGCAATTTGCTCCCATTCTCACCGTCGATTGTCGCGGTCTCGAGTTTATCGGTTTCGATCCACGCGTAAGTTACATTCGTGAATGTGCGGGCACGTAAATTTTTAGATTGCCATAGGGTGTCTGGAAATGTCAAGGAACCGAGAGCGGGACGGTGTTCCCTGAGGTGGACCTCAGCGAAGGTTACTGGAGTGATTACGATGAGAAGGCGGCATGTCGACCACCATCGAGATGTATATCAGCTCACCATACGATTGTCTAGGCACTACCTGTCAGTATTTCGGAAATCGAGACGCGTTGGACTCGGGAGTGAAAACAGAATATGCGTTGTGCACAAGCGGTTGATGCACCGATGCCGATGTACTACAGACAGTGACCTTGGCGACTTAATGATCCCATGCACATGATTCATGGGATTTGTGGTATCCGTTCAAAGTATCACTATTAGGTGACGGCCGTGATGATGAATGATATGCATGTATGCATCTCGACGCCCTTGATGACGCTATCACATTCTGCGGTATTGGTGTACGTACACGCCTAATTGATGTCCAAACCCTCGCTAGTTTTCCATCGTGACATTAACCCATTAGACGGAATGGCGAAAGGATCCATAGCCTTCCTCGCTGCCTCCGCACCGGCAACAGGAAGCAATTTAGGGTCGAGCAAACCGAGCTACGTAGAGTTCAGCAACGCACTACACATAGTACGCAGAGCCAAGTACCTGCACTAAAACAGAAGCTGACACAAGCATTGGTGATTCCGTTTCTCCTCAATGAAGAATTATATCTCACCTTGATCCCAGTATCTGCAGATTACACGATTTTGTTCCAGAGTTACTTATCTCAAAGCACTTCGAATATGTTTTCTGACTTACATATGCTTTAAAATCCCGCGTACGAGACGATGCATGTGAGCTCGAATCATGTTGTTGAAGTTTTCAGACGCACTCGAAGGTCAACTTGTCTCCACGAAACGCCACTACTCCGACGAGCGCAATCTCAAGCGGCCTCCCTGTCGGAGGTACACCTGGCACGAGCCAATCGATCTCCGTTGTGTGCGTGCATTTGAAGATCATTTCATCGATGAGCCTGTCCGAGCCGACTGAAGGTGGATTCATAAATAACGCGTAGCGGTGGGAACAATGTATGACGTACCCGTGCGCGAAATCGTAAGCATCTCAGTATCCGGAGGTGTAACCTACCACCGGTTTGTGCTATGATACTCATAATGTCTAGGCAAGAGGCAATGCACACTCACTCTGACGGTAGTGAAGTGATACTAGGTAGACTTGATGAGCCTACGGTATTTGTGCCTTACTTTGCTTACCTTGTAAAAACGTGCCAGATCATCGTACCCAACACCACCGGTGAGAGTAGGTATGTGGTTCACTGTGAATGTATCAGTCACTTGTTAATGCTGCTTACAGCATAACAACCGTAGGGCGTTTGAACCTAATCATGATATGCTGTTCGGTTGTCCGGATTAACGTAAACACTTTGGCTCACGCACCATAGTAGCCATTGTCTCTGCAATCATGAAAAGCGTAATTGGTGATGCACAAGTCCGTCAAACTAGTTTCGACCTACTTGGTGCATCCCGCTCAACAAATTCCTGGAACAATGTTTCGGACGTATGATCAAGCTTTACAAGACGTCAAGCACATACGAAGTACGTGTGGTTCTCCCACAGCTACATAGAATGAAACATGAATATACCATGAAGTCGAGACATTCATCAACACCAACCTTCTCAAGATCAAAATGCGGACCTAGTTCGCGTCTCAGAAGTCTCAGGGTCCTCGTGTACGCAACTCCAGTAGCCGAGCGTATATATGGGTCAACTGTGGATGCCTCGCTTTTGTTGACTAACGACGGAGGCTGCATCGAAAATGGGAACGGGGGACTTGTTGGCACGGAAGGGTAGGTATAAACATCAATGATCGGGAAACCCGCCGAATTGCATCCACGAGTCCCTAGGAGAAACTTTAAGGCTTCAAGGAGTGAGCGTTGTTCTTCCGCAAGATGTACTAAGATGCTGTGCACGCCCTCAGCGATCGGCGTGGTCAGCAAATAACGAATCTCACGAATTTGAATTAACCCTGAACATCAGTTCTTCCGGGTTCTCCACCAATGGACAGTAGTGCACGCAGGCTCGCAAGGTGTAACTACGGTCGCGTACGAAGGTCGACAGCCCTGCGATGGTCGCAACAGTAGCGCCATAAGTAATCAAAACCCAGGGGCTGGTGGTATCCACATCGTTCCAGGCAGCAGCTCCTCCATCGTCAACATTTCCGTTGGGTCCAACCACTAAGTGCAAGACGTTATACCCTTCCTCTGCGTACTACGCGCCATTCAGACTTTGAATGCCATGCAAAGTCGGACCGGCAACACACCTGCTTACACCATCCGAACTGCTCTGATGGTAAACACAGAACCAGGGTCCGTGGGCTCGTAACAGATGACACTACGTTTGGGAACAAGCGAGACATGGTCCGGTGGACGAGCGATACTCGAAGATATCAAGAAACCGGCTCTGGTGATTACATGAGAACGATGAAAACGAAGCTATGTAAACCGCCTGACGTAATGGGGGTCATTTATAAATATTTACGATCGCGTGTTATGGGTAGACACATGCGAGCGGCATCTACAAGCTAACAGTGAAGATACGGGTAGAATAGTAAACATTGCAAGCGACAGTGTCGCGACCCGACAGAGGTAAGATAGGGATGACACCGCGATGCTCAGGAGGACGGACACAACCACTACAGAACACCGAGCCAGTCTTCTCTCCTCTATACCCATGCAATGATATCCCACCAGTGCACATTGCATGTGTCAAGACTGCGCGTCCTTCATCACCCCATTCGCAGGACCACTACCATCCTGGTCGGCAATTTCATGCACTACCCCTGCCATGTCCATCCTCGCGAGTTCCTATTCCTCCCCACTTCGAATCGGTTCGTACGATGCCCGGCCATCTGAACCATTCATAAACCGGCTCAGAAATCCTCGTCTTGGCCGGGGACTATCGGGTTTTGTCGGTGAGTTGATGGCTTGATGGGTAGTCCCTTCGCCGTTGGCTACGAGAGATGCACGTTCTGAATCATTCTCGTATCGTTCCTCCAGTTCCTCTGTGTAGAGTTACCATCAATATCTTGCAAAGAGGGACCCCCGAAGGCACTAACCTTCTCCGAAGACAGCATCCATTTCTTCTAGTGGTACGCCGGCAGTTTCTGGGTAGAGGAAGTAAACTATGGCAGCGTCAGCCAGCGGCTTAAGGGTTGTTCATGTTCACACACCCATAACTAGACTGCAAACGCAGAAAAATCCGTGCATGGGGTAAAGACGCCATCTAATGACATCTTGCAACACCGGAGTGGCTTCCCCAACAAGGAAATTGAACGCCCAGTTTGTGGCCGTAGAAATTGAGACACCCTTCGCTCGGAAACTGAGGGGTAAGATCTGGGGGCAAATGTGGTTATAGACACAGCTGCGGTCAGCATTGATTACTGACCTCCGGAGGGTAAAGCCAAGGGATAGGGCCCCAGCTACAGCGGCAGAATGAGCGATGGGTACACAGAAATAGGCTGTCTCACCTATATCCGAAGGCGGCATTGTATATCACAACACAGACTACGACTGCCTGGGGAGTCATCGGAACATCGATGTACATCCACCACCCCGTAGCAGTCAACATTAGAGCCATCTGGAACAACCGATCATTCCATGTTTCGGGGCTGATATGCCTGAGTTTACTCACCACGGCTGCACCGGAAAGGAGGATCGGACGCCGCCCCCAGTGATCTACCAAGTACCATCTGCGAAACATGTGTCAAATGCGCCAGTTGATTGCGAAAACACACTCACGTAGGGATTGTACTGAATACGTAAACTATCGCATTTATACCAGCCATGAGGATTGCATCACGGCCGAGCCAGCCAGCAGCTAGTCTCACGTCTCAGTGAAGGAGCGCGAATCAAGCATCAAATAAAAGTGACCTTCGAACACTCGAGCTGCGTGGAACGTGTTGAGCATCGACTGTTCAAACATTCATGCCATCAATCATCACTCACGCGCGTAGTATGAGATCACTGCATTTCAACAACCAGACCGTTGAGTTAATGTGTGAATACACGAAAAAAATCTCACCATTGATGCCATTCTGTCAACATGATTTTCAGTACGTTCCCTCAAACACGGGATGAAGATGAAGACACGAACCAGCTGGGCAAACATTTGCGAGGACATGGCAAGCAACACCCTGCGCTTGTACTTGGTCCACATAACACCATAACTACGGCCTTCACCTAATTCCCTCTACAGCCCAGGGCTCAGAATATTCAAGTAGGCTCACTATGAAATACGAGATCACCTCGGCGTTAATGGTCTCCTTGATTTCTTGGTATTCGGCCTGGGCCATGACATCTTCTGGATCGCCTCCATGTAAATCGGCAAGAACACGCATTCCCTCTGCATCTCTATCGGTATCGATAAGCCAGCTAGGTGATTGTCAGGATCAGAGTCCAAGACTACGACAAGGGGAACCCACCGAGGACTCTCCGGCATGAGTAGCGAGCCACCGGCCAGTATGGAACCAATGACGCATTGCATAAATAGCGGAATGCGCCATGATAAATCCGAATCAATGAATGAGCAGAAGTAGTCCGTCCACTGTGTAGTCTCTCAGGTGCATTGCAATGCCGAAACCATCACAGTCACATACAACTGAGACGGCATAGCCTATGATATTGCCGGTGAATTCCATGCAGGCCAAAGCTCCCCTCTGTAGCAGTAGTCATGAGTAGTGCGAGGGTGCGCGTTGGCAGTTACTAACGTGATTTGGTGGCGAAACTTCGCTCTGGTATATCGGCACGATTGTTCTGTATCTGATGGTTATACGCGAAGTCGAGAGCATAAAGGAACGTACGATAACAGCCCAACGCCAAAACCTGACACGATGCGACCGACGACCATAATCTTGAAGCCAGTGGTGAATGTTTGTATTACGCCGCCCAAGGAGAACACCACAGCCCCTGCAAATAGGGTCCCCCGCCTTCCATACACATCTCCAATCCTCCCGGCCGCAATCGACGTTACTATAGGACAATGAACGTTGAGATATGGTCTAATGTCGCCCGACTCAGAAGGAGCTCACCGAAAGCGCCGACCTCGAGAACGGCTACCATCGTTCCAATTTGGAAGGGGCCGGGAGAGCCAAAGAATTTCCGAAAGTGCGGGCCTGTGATCACCCCCGACATAACGCTAGTGCGGGTGTGAGGATGCTGTCTATCCTGGTAGCAAACTGCTTACCCCTGGTCATATCCGAACTTGAAACGAGTGTCAGACAAGCACTTCTACCCAATGTGATCTGAATGTTTACTGACCAGGAAGACGCCGACGCTGGCAAAGATCGAGATGGCATAAAGCAACGGTTGGCCGACAAGCCTGCCTCGGGAACCTGCCGCTTGCACTGGCATAGCTCATCAACGGTGAATTCGTCAAGCAGGCCGTAGTGGCGACGTGAACGTTGGGCAGAAAGAACAACGATTGGGATATCGCGGTGGAGTAATCGGCAAAGCCACAAAACACGCAGGCAGGCGGTGATGTATGGGGATCGTCTGAGCGTCCTTCGTTGTCACACTCACCGCGTTCGGCCCGAAGCGGATGGCGCCCCGTTTCTCAGTCGGCTCAGCACGTCCACCCATGCCGCGCTCGGTCTATTCGTTGGACTCGTCCTCCTCTGCCTCGTCAACAGATGACTATGGCTCGGACGATGAATACCTCGCTGCTCAACGAGAGTGGGAAGAAAGTTTGGCGCAGCTAAACCAGCTCGCTTCTTATGTGCTTATGCCCGTCCTCGGTCGCTGGCTGGGTCGCAAATGGAGCTTCTGGGGTGAGCACATTCAATCGGAGGCCAAACGTCCATTGACCCCGCGCTGCTAGCATATGCGCGATACCTCCGCCTTGGAATGGGTACATCGTTCTTCTTAGGTCTGTCCGGACCCCGTCGTGAATATAGCAATCTGACATGGCTTAGGGGAACGCGTCGCTCTTATCGCGCTCTCGTAGTAATGCGTATCCCTGACATCTGTCTTGATATCAATACAACCGTGTCCTCGTCCTGCCCTGTCGGATATCGCCGACTGCCTGCTGAAGTGGCCCCGAGGGCATCACACCGCTCCTCAACATCTCGTCCACCAAGCCTCTCGCAATCTCCCACTCCTGGCGTCTCCGCAGACCAGAAAGCAGAAGGAACCATGTGTCCTTGTCCACCGGTACATCGCTCTTTAGCATCTTGCGGTAATACGCCAAGGCTTGTTCCACACCTTCAGTGTCAGGATTCTGAAGGCAAGCTTTGATCAGGATGTGAAACGACGCTTGGTTTAGCGGAATGTTGCGTTCGCGCATCCGCTTAAGGATGAGCTCCCTGTAATCTGCTGCAGTCCGGGGCTCAACCCAACGATGCTTGTGTATACCGGCAAGGGCAGCCACGTATGTGACAAGGTTCGGCTGAGACTCCGGCGAAGTATTCCGCTCCATCTGCCACAGGAGCTCCATCGCCGCCTTGAGGTGCCGTTCGTCTCTCTCGCGCAGCATGGCGTCAATAATGGACGTGTAGATGGCAACGTTAACGTCCACCTCCATCTTGCGCATGAGAGATGTCACTATCTGCGGCGCGTCGCTACGACCTGCTTTGAGGAGGGCAGAAAGGATGACGGAGAAAGTGACTACATCGCCCTTCAAGTCATGGTCTTGAATCCTTTGCAGTATTTTGGCAAGCGAGTGCAGGTCGCCGATACGGCCGTAATGCGCGAGAAAAGTGTTGTAGGTGGTGATGTCCGGTTTCGGGCCGTTCGCATGGAGTTTTTCGAGCAAGGTGAATGCTCTTAAATCCTGCTTGCAGGCGAGAAGACCGTTGATGGCGATGTTGTATACGACGAGGATTGTACTCTGCTTCAGATCAGGCGCCTTGGAAGGGTAGGATTCGAAATCGGCCAAGCAGGACAAAGCTTCATCTAGCCGTCTTGCCTTGAATAGTATCATGATCAAAACTTGAAAGGTCGAAGCATCGGGTTTCACATGCTTACGCATGCTTGACCAGGTAGCAAGGGTACCTTCAATGTCTCCAATTTGGCTGAAACCCTGAAGCAGGCCATTCCATACAGTCGTACTTGGGTGAACGCCGAACCGAACGAGATCATCCCATATCGTTCGCGCGTGCGCGGTCTGACCGCACGCGATGGAAGCGGCAAGCAAGGCAGCCCATCCGCTTTCCTGCAGTACCACAGGGTGCGAAGCGTTGGCCAATGAAGGATGTGGAGCTATCCACGCGTCGGTTCCCGACAACCCTTCCAGGAGATCGGCATAGAAATTTCTGAGAAGCGTCCATTTCTTGGTTTCGCCCATGTTGCCCACGTGCAAGACGAAAGCACGGGGATGACCCACAGTCCTGCTGACGCGGAGCTTCCGAATGAAATCGCTAGTCTGTGCGGCCAGGGTCTGATCCGAGTCGAGAGACTTTATGAAGTCTTGGACGGTAAGACGCAGGAAAGGTCGGTTCAGCGGGAGGACGAGCTGAAGCGCGGTTCGTATGTCGTTCCTCGCGGCATGACACGCGATAACGGCGAGCAAAAGACGAGTCTCCCCGAGGGGCAATCGGATTCCTGCAGTGACAACGTCTGTGTCAGCTGAGGGCGTTTCTTCCGGCTGATATCCCTCCATGGGGTCATGATCTTCGACAGCTTGTCCCGTCGGAACCCGCGATGCTGCTATGAACCGCTCGTAAAGAGCTAATACCGAGTCATACTCTCGCGAAAGTAGGCGGAAGAGCATGCAAGCTTCTAGAGCATGAAGTTCGCCCCGAGACGCGAGGGATAGCGCAATCTCTTCCGCATCTTTCCTGTGATCCGGAGTCCAGGTGTTCCGGGCGGCGGAAACGGCGAGATATCTTGCCATCCTGTCTAATTGCGCAGGGCCGAAATATTCTAACTGGTTCCGTTGTTCGAGAAGAGACCAAGCTTTCCGAGCGGAATCGATGTCTCCAACAGCGAGAGCATTGTGTAGCTTGTCGGATAACGCATTGTATTCTTCGGTTTGGGCTTCCGACAGATGAAGGATACCCTGATGATAACTGCTGAGCTTTGCTCGAAGCTCGCTGAGCAGTTTGGCGGGCTTTGGCGGTGGCCTTGAAGATGTGCTTGTAGAATGCTCGATGCGTGTAAAATCCACAGGTTTGGGCACTGTGTGCGATGCAATGCCGGCAGAGAAATATTCGTGAATCAGCGCCCTCCTAGACAGCCGAACGACATGCTGTAGGATCATCTTGTCGCACTCACATCAGTATAAATAGGCAGAAGGGACTGGTACACGCACGGGGTGAGCCAGCGCTATAGCTGAGCGCTGAGTGGTCGCGCGTGAGGCAGACTGCCAACGCGTCTCGCACAACCTTTCATGCTTTCGGTTTCCTGCATTTCCTCCAGCACCTCTATCCTGCGGACGGGCTCATGCTCACGATCTATTACCACTGTTGCTGCCACTGCATCGGTCGCTTACAAAGCAACGAAACACAATGGAAAGCAACGTTTGGCAAAACCGAAGAAGGGTCAGGCAAGCGGGGCTCAGCTCCCCTTTGAGGCCGTAGGTATACGCCCACCATTGGCGATAGCTCTCCATGCTGCCTTTCCGAACGTGCAAAATCCAACGGAAATGCAAGCGGCGTTTATTCCGGCGGTACTACAAGGCAAGGATGTTTTGCTCGCGGACAGCACCGGCACCGGCAAGTAAGTGCAGATTCTTTCGAACATTTTTTCTTCTTGCGAGCCCAACTTCCTTAGGTCTTTTGGCCTCGTGTTAGCTCTTCTGAATAAAGCGCGGGTCGGACCACTTGATAGGGACTCGTACGACAATGGCACGAAACCGCCTATCAACTCGCTATTCATCGTCCCGCATCGTGACCTTGCGTATCAGCTACACCATTGGATAGGTCGTATCGTTGATCAAATGCCGCCTTCACCATTCCAAACCATCTCTTCTGTCGCCACTGTTCTCGTTCGCAGTCAACATGTACCCCTAGCAACTCAGATCGCCCAGCTCCATGCTGACCCTCCTCACATCCTCATCGCTACCCCGAATGCCCTCGCCGACGTCTTTCTGGAAGATGAAACTGCGTTACAAAAGGAGCGCCTCTCCTCTGTGGTCATTGATGAGGTTGATAACCTCATCGAGTCGATACCCAGAAGTAAAAGCAAGTTCGAACAGCAGAAGTTCCTGCAGAAACAACGCAGACATCCAGCTGTCACCTCACGGATTCTGAAGCACTTATTCGCTCATAGAGAATATGATCCTGCCGCCGATCCCGTACAGTCCATCGGGCGACCTTCGGAGCACCGAAGGCCATTGCAATTGATTATGACGAGCGCAACCTTTCGGCATCACCTCCACGAGATGCTTTTCCGAGAAAGCGGGCTCTTGACGCGCGACGAAGGGAATTTGGTCAAGATCAACAGGAGTTCGCGCGAAGAATCGGTACTGAGCGACTTGGGGGGCTCAAATATTGGTCATTGCGTTCTGCTCGTCTCCAAAGACGGCGGGGTGCGCAACATAGATGGCTCGATGACTATGTCCAGTGTATCTCCGTCGCCGGTAATGGAGGCGCATACGAGCGAGAATATTTTGGCTACGGCGAACTCTCGTGCCCTACCTGCCCATAACTTGTCCGAACAACAATTCGAGAGTACGAGACACCTCAAATTACCGCGGAGAATATCGCTGACAAACCAACTAACCAGTGTTTAGCGTCACGCCGTCTCCGTTCAACGCGGATGTGATGGAGGTTGTTGCCACAGCTTTTGCTCTAGACGTTCCACGGCTGGCCCTCCTTGTGGTTCCGGCGGATGCGCCGGTGCAACGCGCTGTCTATGACCTGCGTCAACTTGGCGTGAACGCATACGGTTTAGATCTGTCATCAGACAGTCGAGGGCGGACGCATCTACTTCGGGGCCCATCCGACGTTGCAGACGAGAACCCGACATTGCTCGTCTCGACCCTCGCATCCACCCGTGGGCTGGATCTCCCTGAGCTCAGCCACGTGTTTGTGCTGGGTATGCCAACTAAGCAACGAGTAGACACGTATCTCCATATTGCTGGTCGCGTTGGGCGGTTTGGACGGGGCGGTAAGGTGGTTACGCTGCTGGAAGAGGAGCGGGAAACAGTGGGGAAGAAGGGGGAAGCGAAGGTGGTGAGGGAGGGAGAGAGGATGTCCGCGTTGTTGCGACAACTCGATATTACGCCGGTTAGATTTGAGCATTTCGATTAGGCGCACGACACTTGTGCTATGCCCTCGGAGAACGACCACGCATTGCGCTTGCGGCTTGCTGCAAGTTGATCCAGAGCGGGCGCCGGCAGCTCCCGTGAAAAGAAGCGTCCGCCTTGCCACGGACGGGAGCAGTTGACCGACACCGGTGGCATCCGCTCTCGCGGTGGTGGTTGACCCCGTCAACGTTCTCGCTCTTTCTCGACTGTAGTATATGGCCTTGTCCTCGAGCTAGGCGACTAGCGACATATCCACGACTTTGGCCAGACTCATCTCTACGCTCCCTCCCGACCATGCGAGTAATAGCACTCCTGCTCGCGGCCACGCTATCGGTCCTCTTGCCGGCGTCGGCCCAGTCGACGGCCAATGCAACATCGTCCACCTCATCGAGCGGCAGCACCACAGTCTCATTGACCACCAGCACCGTCATCTCCACGTCCCTGAGCCGGTCCGGCACTCAGACCGTAGCGGTCACCACGGCTATTCCGACGATCTTCAATGTCACCGTCGTAGCTACACCCACAACGTCCGCCAACGCCACCAGAACCGCTTCCGCTTCCGCCAGCGCATCGACCACAGCGAAACCCATCACTCTTGATACCAAGATAGACCCGGCCTTTGGCGTCCTTGGTGCTCTCCTCATTCTTACGGGCATCCCTAGTGCGTTCCTCGGTCACAAGAACAGATGGTGCGTATCTCTTGTGAACAGCAGATAGCGATACCGACCTGGCTATGTTCAGGACCTCGTTTTTCCTCATCGGCTTCTACACTCTGGCTCTGGTCTGCTGGGTACTCATCGTGCGGTTCGGTGTCATCAACGCCATCAAACCGCCTAACAAGACGATACGGGGTATGTTCGTGCTCGCATCGGCCGTAGCTGGAGTAGTCGGCGGCGGCGTCGCAATTTTTTTCTGGAAAGCATCCAAGTACTTCATCGGAGGATGGGGCGGACTTGCGTTTGCCTGGTATATCCAGTGCTTCAGAGATGGGGGTCTCATTGGTCCCATTGGTTTCCGATGGATTATGTACATCGGTGGGTCAATTCCGGTTCCCCTTAGGGTTTGATGGCTAAGATGCTCCCTAGCCTGTGGCGCTGTCGGCTTCACCCTCAGCACGATCCCCAAGATTCATTATTATATCGTGCTCGTCTCTACTGGATTTGTCGGTGCAACCGCGTTCATGTTGGGCGTGGATTGTTTTACGACCGCGAACCTCAAAGAGGTCCGTAATACGTGCACGTGCTCAAACATAAACTCATCGCGCTCTCTAGTTCTACATGTGGAATCTTGGTTTCCAAGCGCTCTTTCCCAAGTACACCAGCCACGGCATCAAATTTCCTGTAACCCAAGCTATGGAGATAGAACTCGGTTTGATGGGAGCCGTCGCTCTCATGGGCATCGCTGTGCAATTCCAGGTGCTAAAGATACTGCAAAGGAAGCTCAAGGAAATCGCCGAGGATCAGAAACGCCGAGACGCGGAGGAAGAGGCAAGAGCCGCGAAGAGGTTCCGCTCTCTGGAGCGCGAGCGAGACGAATGGGAAAAGGAGCATCCCGGCCTCGCGAAGCATGACCGTCAACACAGTGCACTGTCTGGCATGCCTCTTCTTAAGGACCAAGAGCATCCAGAATCACCCGCAACTCCTGCCACCGAGTATGCAGGATCCAGCTGGGATCTCCCTACCCGGCGTCGTCTCCCCTCGGGTCTTTCCGACTACAATGGCCGGCGCTCGCAAAGTCCTGGTGCCATTCCGGCCCTGGACCTCGGAGAAGACATCGAGGAGAACGTTCCGACGGACTTCCTTGCGCCAGATAGACAAGTTGAATCCTCGACGATGCCTTCGACGAGTAATGCTTCTGAAGAAGAACTGAAGAAGAAGGAGCAACTGCTTGCGGAGATACAGAGTATCCGGAAGTCCATCGAAGTATTGAAGGATTCGTCCGAGTCGCTCCCCAGTCGTTCTCGCCGACCATCCATGGCGTCCAAGAGGACATTGAGCACGGACCTATACAGCACGCTTGTGCCAGAACCAACTCATTTGCGACCCCCAAGAGCCAGAGACCCGCGAGCACGGGCTCAGTCTATGGAAATGTCCGACCTCGTTCGTCAATATCAGCTCGGCGAGACGATCAGTCGTCCCACCAGCGTACCTCTCAAGGACGATTGGGACTCGTACGTCAATGATCGCAAGCTGCTTCAACCGCCTTCTGGAGCCACGGCACCGATCCCAACGAATCCTGTGCTTGATCACAGAGTATCGGTCCCTCCGGCTGTTACCGACGCACTGAAGGAACGTCGTAAACGCGAAAGCGCCATGGAGCTGGCCCAGATCCGTCAACCCTCCCCGGGTGTGGCTGCCGATTCATCTCCCCTTCTCGGCATACCTGCGCGGGTGTTGTCTGCATCGCCTCGTACGGGACTGAACGATACGCCTCATGTGGATGTCGTGCAAGGACACCCTCGGCAGAAGACTGGATCCGCGATGACGCCGGTCACCATCCTTCCGCCTCAAAAGATTGCCGCCCCGCAAGCCCAACGTCCCGCGCAGCCGAGGACAAAGACTTTCGAGGAACTCGCCGAAAGGCATCGCGAAAAGATACATGGTTTGCAAGCTCCGCTCTCTCAGGCCGAGAAAGAGAAGGCCGAGTTGGAGGCTGCAAAGGCGCGCTGGGAAAGGTCCAAGGCTTTGGAGCGGGACGCGGTTTTCCGACGTCAGGCAGAAAAGGAGAAAGCTGTCGTACGGAAATCCCAGGAGGGCTTGGAACATCCTGGCAGGCGATCGGCGACTATGGACGATCGCGGAAACGTAGGGAGGCATTCGCGCTCCTTGAGTGCCGACAAACTTGCCGCGCTTGGTAATATGACATCGTCCAAGCGTGCATCCACGATGAAGGTCGAAGATTGGCAACGATATCAACAAGAAGCTGGCACGGCGTCGAAGAGAATCGATGATCCTCGAAGACTGTCCACCGCGCCCCGCTCGCCAGGGACGTCGGTACCGTTCCCGGATTCGAAGTCGCGCCGGCTATCGAACATGCCTCGCGATCCCCCCGCGTGATATAGGATGAGCGCGTAGCGCATCTTGAATGTTGTGTTGTGTGTTAGTGCAGCATCGCGTTCGCTGTGCGGTCTCCTGGATTGACTGATACTCGTGGCGCTGATCATGGACTTGAGCGCGTCGCGGCATTCTCTCTAACTATTTTTACTCTGGACGTTGCACTTCCCTGACTTGGACGCACGACTCGCTATCGGAACACGGACTCCTCTGGACAGTACTCATATCAGTCATTACAGCTTACAGTAGCCTTAATCTATATTTGTTCTTCGGTTTCCTAGGGTGTGTTGGGTTAATTCTCTAGATCGCACGACTACTCTGAAGTATCATAAGTTGCTCCTGGAGCGCTTTCCATACCAGTACCGGGCGGTTGCCCCTTGGCTGGGAGGCATACTGAAATGCTCCTGCTGGGCACGTCCTGGTGCTCGACAGGGCCGGCGAACATCACTAGCAGTCTAGCACCGACGCGCCAATGCGCACCGGCCGTATGATCATTTCCGACGGGCCTCTAGGGGTATTTGATGGCTCCGCGAGACGAGTGTATTCTAGGAAATTGAATGGATGGTCGGATGACAGGGGTTTGTTGAACAGTCAATGGACCCTGGGGAAGCTCCCGTTATTCCTGGACTTTTTTCTCACTGGCTGAACACGTGGGAGTCTTATCTCCCAGGACCCCGCGCTGGCGACGGGACTCTCGGGCAGCGTGCATGTCTGCTGCAGCGCTGCGTCCGTCCAGGGGGAGACCAAGAGGACAAGCAGGACCACATCTTTTCCGCTGCTGACCGAGCGGCCGAGCTCCAGGCGGAGGTGACGGTCGGGGCTATAAAACACGGCTGAGTCGGAGGAATTCAAAGGGCGCCTCCTTTCCTCCCACTCCCACGTCGCCGTCTCTTGTCCCACGCAGCGCTTCCCCCCTCACTCTGTTCCCACAATGGTACGGACTCTAGTATCCCTTGACGGAGGTTTCGCTCCTCCTGCGTTTCCCACCTCCTCGCTCGACCACCTCGACCACACTGACCCAATGGCCGCGACCACCGCCGCGCCCCCCTCAAACCTCCAGAACGGTTCGCGCCCGCAATCACCAGCGCCCCAGAGCCTCAACCTGCTCGTAAACGCTATCTCTGCTTCTTCTGATGCCCGGTCGAGTACCAACCGCTCTCAAAACCAGGTTAACAATGGATCTCCCGCACAACATCACCCCCCGATGCCGTCACCAGGGCCGCCCCTACCGTCTGCAACCGCAGCGGAGTCGGTCGCGTCCATCCACGCGATACTCGCGAATAACAACAAGGTGCCGCATATGAACGGTCAGCCGCCTCCTTGGAACCACCATCACGCGTCGATCCCTCATCAGGGTCATAGCGGCGTAGGCCAGCCAGCTCTACAGGTGCGAAACCCAATCGTATAGTTCCTATGTCGCGTCTGAACACATCACATCCAGTCTTCATTGGGGAAACGCAAGGCGGACTCTTCGGACGGTAGCGACGATACGCACGCGAAGATTCGGCGTGTCGTCAAAGAACATGTTTCGCAAGATCCTGCTCGTGTCATGCCTATGACCACCGTGGTATGCTTGCATGCGGCCGTCGCTCAGAAGTCGTATGGTAGCGAGAAACGCTTTCTCTGCCCGCCGCCCTTGGTGCACATTGAAGGTCCTGTATGGCACATGCGTTCGCAGCAACTGTCTATGGCTGTCGTGTCGGAACAGGGGGAACGCTCCTTTGAGCAGAAGGCGCCTCTTGACAACAACATGACCGCTAGTTTCAAGTTCCTCCATGTCACCGGCACTGCGAAGGCTAAGAGCTTCCAGCTCTCGCTCGACATCTCCGAGCCTGCGCACGGTTTAGAAGCGGAACAGTCCACTCCTGGTCGCATTTGGGCAACTTTTGAATCCGCCCCGGTGACCATCATATCCAAGCCGTCGAAGAAGACGGCCAAGACGCGTAACATCTCTTCCTGTATCTTGGCCGGGGGGCCTGTCTCCTTATTCAACCGTATCAACTCCCAAACTGTGCGCACCAAGTATATGACCATCGACCACGCGCAATTGTGCGCCAGCAACGTCACCTGGTCTGCGTTTACGGTCAACGTCGTTCGCCGCCAGACCGAGGACAATTCCTACGGTGGGTACCACGTGACCCTGGTACCGATCACTTTCCTGGGCTCACGGCTTCGTTCTCAGCTAATCCTCAACCAGTCACGTATGGCGCGGAAATCGTTTTGACCGATACCAATTCGGGCATATCCACCTCCCCTCTCTTCATCCGGAAGGTGGACAAAGGAAAGATTGTCCCTGAGGACGGCGGTCCCGTCAGCCAGATGCAGAAGATAGCTTTACAAAGAATCAATCCAGACGGCACCAGGCACTACCTTTCAGCGGCGGGCCCGATGCCCGGCACGCCTGGCGTCGTCGCTCCTCCTGCCCCCGGGATGTCGCAGCAAGCGGGCTCTCACCCCCTGTTGTTCCAGTCGCCTCGCATTCGGGACGAGGTCAAGGATGGTATTCGGCAAGTCACCGATGAAGTCGATGACTACCTCTGCTGGACTATCGTGGGGATTTGTAGGTGGACTATATTTGTCGCTGCCGTGTGTTAATGTTGCTACTATTGTTTAGCTAAGTTTCAGTACACATTCTTCGACGCCTTCGGCCGTACCGGCGGTATCCCGGAACTACCGATTACGCCATTCCCTACCCTCTTCACGGCGCCGCTCTATCGCCCACCTAACAACAGTTTGGAATTGACGGTTACGCACTTTTTCTACGAGGACCCAAAAACCAGGCAATCAAATTCCTTGGAGGTTTACCTTGGGAGCCTAGGACCTCTCAATCAAAGAGCGTATCAAGCTTCACCCGCAGGTCCGTTGATGAACATCTCTTCATATTCATAGTCTCACGGGGCCCTCAAATGGCCTTTCAGTGGATCATCATGGCCGTGCAATCGCCCCTGGACCACCTCGCTACTCTCCAGGTGGTCCTTTGCATAGCATTGTTATCGTCGAGATGCCGCCAATAGCGGATATTATCAAGGCGTTGCAGGAGGACACCATACCCCAAAGCGACGATTCCAACGAGTCATCTCCCGACAAGTCCACACCTGCTCCCGATGGTTCTCGTCCACCCCCTGCGTCTCTCGCTGGTCGTACCTTACCGATACTTTTCATACGGGCGTGCGATGGCGTTGGATACCATTCGGGGAGGACAATCGCCTTGGAGAATGTCTTCTCCAGTATGGACCTAGCTGGCATGGGCGGCAACCCGGGCGGTCCCGCCGACGCTGGGTGGCTGGCAGCCGCTCAGGCAGCGGTGGCGGAAGGCGGCTTGCAGGGCTGGACCCTGCGAGTGTTGTGACGGCGAGCTGGACGATTTTCCTTGGTTGCGTGAAGGAGGGGTATCCCCGAATAAACATTATATTGCCGTTGTGCTCTGCTATACCGCTGTTGTTTCGTATGCTTTCTTGTTACGATTTGACTCCCCTTGCTCGTGAACATGTACGATGTTCTAGGGAACGAAGGTGTAATGGTTGATTAAGACGTGCGCGTGGTGTGTTATTCTTATCTGGCTGATTCGTCGATAAGCGTCGGAAATAGAGCACCGAACGTGTCTTGAAGGTTTGCGTTCGCTTGCAATTGAACGTCAGCATAAACCTCCATCATAAACGCGAGGTTGAAAACTTCCTCCACATCAGTGAGATTGTGAACCTTGGTCTTCGCGCTCGGCCGCAGCCCACTCCACCTGCCTACCTCTCTCACCCCTCTACCGCCGCCCCATATAAAGCTTAACCCCCCTCGACTCCTTGTCGCCAGTTTCAATCATGTCTTCCAAAAGCACCATCACGTCACGCCTTGAGTGGCATGCGGCGCTCGACACCACGAAGGCCCCCAAGACTACAGAGAAGACGAAGTTCCATCGCAAGGTATGCATGATCTGTAAACGATCGTCGCTCGAATCTCATCCTATGCCACCCCCACTAGAGTTCCATCATCGCGACCATCGGTAAGTCTGCATCACTATATCGTTCAATGGTAGCTGATAGCACCATAGGTCCTAAAACTAACAATGTCGAAAAATTGACTGAACTGATCAAGGCCGGCGTGAACGTCGGTTAGCAAAACGGACATTGGACTGTGCGTCGTGTATTGATCGAGGACTGGATAGTGCGCATGAACTTCTCGCACGGGTCCTATGAATACCACCAAAGCGTGGTTGACAACACTCGCAAAGCCGTGGCTGGTGAGCCCCTCCAAAGACTCCTTCCGGACAGACTCTCATGATGCATTACAGGCATGCAAAGCCCCCGCCCGGTCGCGATAGCATTGGACACGGTACGGAGAACCCAAACGGGTTACAGAATCAGCTGACAACGTGCTTGTAGAAAGGACCGGAGATCCGGACGGGACTGATGAAGGATGACAAGGACGTGAGCGCCGTGCCCGTCCAGATGCTGTTTCGGTTCTCATAAGCGTTATCGACAGATACCTATCCCTGCCGGTCATGAATTCATCGTGTCTGTTGACCCCAAGTATGCCGAAGCCGGGGATGAGAAGACGATATTTGTGGACTACGTCAGTTCCGATCCTTCTCGTTTAGACTCTCGGCATCTCACATGGCTCACAGACCAACATGCCAAAAGTCACTGCCCCTGGCAAGCTGATTTACGTCGATGACGGTGCGTTTTATTCGACATACACTTCGCTACCCGTTTTGACTGATCCACATCCCAAGGAATCCTTTCTCTTCTCGTGCTTTCCATTGACGGGAGCAACATCCATGTCCGCTCGCTGAATAGCGGAACTCTGTCTTCGCGCAAGGGTGTTAACCTACCCCAAACTGAGGTCGACCTTCCCGCTCTCTCTGAGAAGGACAAGAAGGACCTTCAGTTTGGTGTCAAGAACAACGTCGACATGATTTTCGCGTCATTCATCCGCCGTGCGGACGACGTCAAGGATATCCGTAAGGTTCTCGGTCCTGACGGCGCGAACATCAAGATCATTGTCAAGATCGAGAACGAGCAAGGCGTCCAGAACTTCGACGAGATTCTTGCCGAGACCGACGGTGTCATGGTCGCACGTGGTGACCTCGGTATCGAAATTCCTGCCAGTCAAGTTTTCCTAGCGCAGAAGATGATGATCGCCAAGTGCAACATGGCTGGCAAGCCCGTCATCGTCGCTACCCAGATGCTTGAATCTATGACCGTCAGTCACTCCGTCCCCTGTCACGGCACACCTGATACGATATATAATACCTTGTCTAGTATAACCCCCGTCCCACTCGTGCGGAAGTCAGTGACGTTGCGAACGCAGTTATGGACGGCGCGGACTGCGTCATGCTTTCGGGAGAAACCGCGAAGGGCTCGTATCCCATTCAAGCAGGTGAGTGAGCCGAAGCAATACTCTTAATGATATGACGCTGAACTCTATCCGCAGTCTTGATGATGGCTGAGTGCTGTTTACTGGCTGAGTCCGCTGTCTGCTATCCTCCTCTCTATGATGAGCTCAGGAACACCACTCTCATGCCGACGGAGACGACTGAGACTATCGGTCTTGCTGCCGTGGCTGCTGCGCACGAGCAAGGCGCCGGTGCAATCGTTGTTCTGTCCACAAGTGGGAACACTGCTCGCCTGATTTCCAAGTACCGGCCCAAGTGCCCTATCATCGTTGGTGAGTAGACTGATTGGACGTTTCTTCGCTCATGCTAATGCCGCGCAGTCACTCGCAACCAGCAGACATCTCGTCAACTTCACCTCCACCGCGGTTGTTATCCCGTCTGGTACCCTGAGCCTCGCAATGTGCAGCCTCACCAATGGCAGACCGATGTATGTGCCAGACGAAATTGCGATTGTGAACGATACGTTGCTGATCTCCTGCTCCTAAGGTTGACAATCGCATCCGGTTTGGTCTCCGCAGCGCTCTCGGCCTCAACATCTTGAAGCCGGGATCGACGATCATTGCTGTTCAAGGCTGGAAGGGTGGCTTGGGTCACACCAACACTTTGCGCATCCTGTCCGTCCCCACGGACCAAGCTGACCTGGAGATGCAACCTCTTGGCGCCTGAATACCGACGGTGTAAAAGGAACGGTTGCAATTGTGTACTTCGTAGTCGGAAAGCATGTTCGTTGTGTTGCGTCTGAAATAGAACCTCGCCTGAATAGACCTTGTATGCGTTTCAAAGATGTGAAGGATATTATTACATTCCTGTTCAGATACACATTGTCAACGGGTGCATCTACTGCTTGTTGGCAATCCGCGCTTGCGCAGTATTAACAGCGTCCTTAAGTGTAGTGATAACATCTTCAGGGTTCTCTGCGCCGAAAATCGCGGTACCAGCTACGATGACATTGCTTCCTAGATCACGGGTTGCAATTGGATACAAACGTTTCAATGTAAGATAAAGGCGTACCTGCATCCGCACAAACGCCAATCGTCTTCGGTCCCACACCACCGTCGACTTCGATATCCTTATCAGGGAACCGGGCGCGTAGCTCTGCGACCTTTGGGACGCAGCGCTCGAGGAACTTCTGACCCCCTCGCCCAGGATACACCGTCATGACGAGTAGCATATCGGCCGCCTTTCCGACGTCATCTAAGATCGCCGTCGAAGGTGTGTCAGGGGAGATAGCCACGCCTGCCTTCATACCCTTTGCGTGGATGGAGTTGATGAGCGCCAAGGGGTCAGCTGTCAACTGTGAGCCAGAATCACCGCTCGAGGTAGAGGATAATAGGAACGTACACGTCGCTTCGAGGTGGAAGCAATACAGAGCACCGCCCGCTGCCGCTATATCGTCCACCCACTATCGTAGTCTATCAGCCGCGATCCGCGATCCGCGCGCGGTGAAAAGCCGACGAGGGGATCTTACCTTCTCGGGCTGGGCAACCATCATATGGCAATCCATGAAGATATCTGGTATTCCCTTTTTCACGCACGTCAGAATGGGGGCGCCTTGATGGTCTTGAGCTCGATGATAGGATTCCAACATAAATTGAGGTAGGCCCACCCATTGTGATGTTGGGCACAAAGTGCCTAGAATTACATGAACAACCGGAAGACATTGAGCAGGAAGGAGACTGACCCGTCCATGACATCTGGATTAACAACGACAGTTGATCAAGCCAGGAGCATTCGAGTCAGATGGGGGTAGGCGTACCCATGTGTAACCATTCGGCACCTCCTTTGATCATCCTTTTGCATTCAGCAGTCAGTTGACCAAAGTCAGATGCCAATACAGAAGGAGATATGATTGCGCGAGGCATGGTACGCGACAACGGTAACGATGATATGCGGGATCGAGGCAAAGGAGAGGAGATCTTGAGAACTGAGGCTGACAGAATGACATCTACATCTACGCTCTCGATTATGGATTTGAGATTCGCACAGGTTCGCACGGGTTCCGTTCACTGGTTTCCCCGGCCGAGCCGAGTATGGACAACAAGGCGGGAATGCTCACTTGCCTATCGGATATAACACCGGTGTGCAGGTGCGCACGGACGTTCGGATGCGCGCCGCATAGTCCAGGTTGCGTTGCTGGTGAAGACGCTCATCCGTGGCGATAACGTTGGGGGATGCTCGAGGTTGGACCGCGGGGCATCGCAGCATTCTCGCGAGTGAGGGCCTCGGCGGTTGAGCTTGAGCATCCGTGTCAAACCGCAAGGCAGCTGAGTCACCAGCCTCACTCAATAATATTATTGAGTCAGGCTACTTAGTGTGCGCTAACAATCTGTGTTGCACCGCGCAACCTTACGCAGCTCGGAAGACAGAAGGCGATGACGTCGCGCGGTTGATCCGAAAGGAAGCAGTGCCCCAACACCGCCCCCAAACCTCGGGGCCTCTTGCAACACATAATCGCGCTGGGCTGCGCTACAACCGTGCCCATCTCGTTTCTCATATCCCCGCTTCGTTCAGTATAGACGCTGCCCTCCCTCATGTTCGCCCGCATGCATCACCTGTTCCTCTTCTTCACCGCTTGCCTTGCTCTCACGGCGAGAGCTGAGGAGAGACGCCAAGGTGAATTTCCCTGCAGTATCGCTTACCCCTGTTCTTGCTGACATCGGCTCGAAGTCGCATCCATATTCAGTTCCTTGACGTCTGAAGCGGGCTCAGTGGTCAGCGACGTGACGTCCGTTGCGGGCAGTGTCGGTAGTGAGGCCACCAGCCTTGGAGGCGATCTGACTAGCGTCGCTGGAGGGGTGTTTACCACTGTCACGTGTAAGAGCTCCTACGCCTGGACCGTAGCGCTCATGTTGACCAGTATTCTTGTACAGCGATTGGTGGCCAAGCGGCTACAATTGTCACCAGTGCTGGGGGACATGCCATCACCCTCGCCTCGAGCGGAGCCGGGAAGGTCGGTCGTTATTCCCCAGCTGCTTGCACTCATGAAATTGATGAGTTTTTTTTTCCCCAGCTCACCTCTTTTGCCGGGTCCGAATACACGATTGCAACGAGCGTGTTGGGACAAGTGGTAACCACAGTTACATGTGAGTACAGACACCCAGGAGTACATTCAGTACCCCCCCCAGTAACGTGAGCCACCCTCCAGCAATCGGCGGGGTAATCGCCACCGTGGTCACCAGTGAGGGCGGCGAGGCCATCACCCTCGCTACAAGTGGTGCGGGTAAAGCCACGTCATTTGCCGGCTCCGAGTACACTGTCGCGACTGCCGCTATCGGGTACGTACCAGCGTGATCACATCGTAGCCAAACTATGATTCTGATCTGGCGCTGTACTGCAACAGGTCGTCAACATCCAGTGCTGCAATGGCCGCTCTTGACTTAGGCATATCCGAGGCTCTCGTGACTGCTTTCGCTACCGTGTTGACGAGTATGGTCGCCGGTGCGTGGATCGTGCTGTAAACCTGCGTAAAGTAGTGAAATAGGTACATTCCCGATCTAATGTCATTTGCATTCCAATACATATATGATCCCTCTATTCAAGTTATTCGCAATCGTTTTCACCTCCTTAGTCCACCATATATGCATGAAGTGTATTGACTTGCGATGGCGGCCGTCGCGGTCCAGGACTCCCACAAGTCGGGCCATTAGGCGGTGTTCGGTTCAAGGTGACTGAGGTAAGTCACCCTGATTTAATACCAAAAAAGGCAAATCAGGTCTCAGTTGAGTCTGGTAAAACTTCCAGATAGAGTAACACTGTGAGACACACATGCCATAATTAGTAGCTTTGGGTCGCAAAAGACAGGTGATTCACTTGAGTCACCGGTGAACCGAACACCGCCTTATTGATTTTTCAAGGCTAGCCAATACAATTCTCACTCCCAGAGCTTGATAGATGACTGTTCAGATCAAAATCGGTCATGGATCAGAAACATCTGATGTTCTGATAAGTAGTCAATTCAAGGTTGAACACAACTAAGATGGGAACGGACTGTTTACTTACGCACGAGTCAGAAAACTTGGAGTCAGCATGACCGAGGCCAAACCAGTATAAAAGGAGTAGATGGGTGATGAATTGGACTAGAGATTTATCCCTTGTCTGCATATCCATTATTCTCCCTTATGTCCTCTGCAGCACACTCTTTCTCAAACATACCCCCGGAAATTCTCGCGGCCAATTGGCCGCCCGAGATCTTGCAGGAATACATGGCAGAATTGCAGAAGGATCACGAGAAGGGCACCGTCGATGACGACGATGCCGTTTTAACCGAGTCCAGCGCGTCTGACGCCGAAACCGAGTCAGACGTGTCGATGTCCTCCGACATTGTGGAGCTTCCTCCGCCGTCACATCCCCCCAAAGACATCGCGTCCGACGACTCTGCGTTCAGCAGTGATGATGAATATGTGGACGATAAGGTGCAGACCGCGATGCGTATGCACCGGGGGTTGGTCCTTGGGCGACCAGTACCCGAGCTCGCCCACACGTCGCAGAGAGACCTCATGGGTATGGTGGACAGCTACCTGAAGCAACTGGACGACGCGGATGGGGAATTAGGCGAGATCACCGGTACACTGGTACAGCTCCCACACCGCCGGCCCAACGCCAACGAGTATCTCGCGCCGGAGCCGTTACCGACCGACTTGCCGAAGAAGGAGCAGGCATTGCGCGAGAGATCTCGCAAGGAGTGGTTGGATTTGGGCAAAACGAGAATGTTGGAGGAATTACAGTTCCTTGCGCAGGCAGTGTTCCGCAAGGAACGACGCGTTAAACATGCTAGAGAAGGAAAAAGAGAGGCTGTTGCGTGATGTTGGTACTTGGCGTTGCCTTGTTTTCATCTGCCCCATTCATGAGTAGTTGGTCATACTTAGGTTTTCATCACAAGAGCGTGCAAGGAGATTGAGTTAGATTGATACCGCAAGGCCGATCACGATTGACAACGCGGTGTAAATCTCTACTCCTCTGCCGCAGCCTCCATGTCCTTGTTGGTCTGACAGTGCATGTTGGGTATCAACGAACAAGGGACGATACGCAACGGTAACATTGAGACTCACGCGCGGGTTGAAGAAGAGCGAGTTCATTCCCCAAGGGTACGGCTTCACCCTCCTGTTGAGATACTCATATGCAGGCGGCTCCGGAAGCTTTCCCCCGTTCTCCTCCATCAGATGTCTGTTGTGCTCTTCATGGTCAGCTTCGAGGTTGTAAACCCAGGCCGAGCAGACGATAACTAGTGTAGAGGCACGTCATGGTCCGAACAGCAGTAAAAAATGGATCACGACGAACTCGAGGGGAGGCAGACGTAGTAGCTGTGAAACAGATTGAGAAGTCATGTCGCAAGGTCAGCTCGGATTGTGCGTACCTGATCTTTCGCCAGAGCTCGGACGTCTCTGCTTGCGGCTTTAGGAGCTGTTACGGTGCGTAGTGCGAACAGGACTTGCCTGCAGCGTGGTGCTCTGCAGCGGCGACCTTTGCCCTGTACTCACTGGCAGCCACAGAGTCCGTGGCAACTCCACGAGTGCGAGGAAGAGCGCGGAATATAACACGACGAGCCAGCATCGACATGGTTGCGGTGGTCAGTAACGGAAAGAGTCGGTTGGGATTGGGCGAGGCGAGGCGGCGTGTGGATAGCTCAGGGGTCCGACATACTTTTTCGGGGGTGTGCTTAACTTGGTGTTTAGCGAAGCCTTCACGCGACGAGGTGACGCGTCGCTCACCGCTCTTAGCCACTCCTTCAACTTCACGATGGTTCCTCGTCCCCAGTCTTCCGCGGCTGGCGTGCTCGCATTACTATCGGAACCTGAATCTGTAATAAGAGAACATGCTCTCAAGACGCTCAATACGCTCGTCACTCAGTTCTGGGCCGAGATTTCTGAAGAGATGCTGCTCATGTACGTCTCGCATCTAATTACTGACCGATTATCTCCTTGACATAACTATGCTGTAGAGAATCACTCTACGAGGACGATACTCTGCCCAAGTCCGCAAGGGACGCTGCCGCGTTGCTGGCGAGCAAGGTTTATTACTGCCTGGGCGAATACGACGAAGCGCTTTCCTTTGCGCTAGGCTCAGGTAGCGCGTTCCATGAAGAGTACAAGAACGCAGAGTCCTGGGAATACGTGGAAACTGTCATCTGTAGGCTCACCGTGACCCTTCTCTGCAACAAGTCGCTGATCTACCGTAGCCAAAGCCATTGACAGGTATATCCAAAACCGGTCCGACGATCATTCAGCGAAGGAGGCGAAGATCGATCCCCGCTTGAACGATATCATCGAAGGCATTTTCAGACGCTGTATTGAAGCAGGAGAATTCCGTCAGGTGCGGCTCAATTACCGCACAACCGAGTGCTAGTTCAGACGAGATACCAGGCTATAGGGATTGCGCTAGAGTCTCATCGACTAGACATTGTTTCGGACATATACAAACACACCAAGGATACCAGCCTCTTGTCATATGCGATGGAGGCCGTGGTCGATAGCAACTTCTCTCTTTCGTATCGAGACGAAGTGCTACATTTCCTCCTTCCCCTTTTCCCGCCACCTACCGCGGACACCAAATCACCTCACGTCCACGCGCTTACCCGACTTCTTGTCACTTTGAGTGACCCCTCGTTGACGCTCCCCCTACTCACATCCCTCGTTCCGAAACACAAGCTCCTGGCGTTACAATTTGCGTTCGACTTGGTTGAAGGTGGTGCGCAAGATTTTCTAGAAACTCTTCGAAACGACTTGCCACAGGGGGAAGATGTGAGTTTCGGTCACGTTTTATGGGGTGTGGGCTAACATGAATCCGCAGGAATCGAAGGAAATTTATGATAACCTTCGGCAAATCTTTACCGGCCAGGAGTCGGTGAAGCTGTATCTTGAGTTCCTGAAACGTAACAACAAGGTCGACATGTTGATACTAAAGAATACTAAGGTAAATTATCCATGGCTGTTGTCGGAACTGAGGACTTAACGCGTATACGCAGGACGCGCTCGAACCTCGCTCATCGATATATCACACCGCACTCACGCTCCAAAATGCGTTCATGCACTCCGGGACAACATCGGATATCTTCCTTCGCGAGAACCTGGAATGGTTGGGCCTCGCCTCCAACTGGTCGAAGTTCTCGGCCACTGCTGCGCTAGGCGTCATTCACAAGGGTTGGTTCGAACAAGGCATGACAATACTTGGGCCGTACTTGCCGTCAGCCCAAGGTGGGGAAAGTAATATCCCTGGTGCAGCGTACTCGGAGGGTGGCGCGCTATACGCTCTTGGATTGATCAATGCAGGATGCGGGAGTGGAGGCTCCGTTGAAGGATACCTCCGGGACACACTCAAGGCTGCACAAGGTGAAGTTGTGCAACACGGTGCTGCTCTCGGATTGGGTATCGCGGTCATGGGCGGCAAAAATGCCGAGGCTTACGACGACCTCAAGCAAACACTCTTCAACGACTCTGCCGTCGCTGGTGAAGCTGCGGGCTACGCAATGGGCCTCATCATGCTCGGCACCGCGGATACAACATGTGCTGACGAAATGTTGGCCTATGCTCGTGAGACCCAACACGAGAAGATTATTCGTGGTCTTGCAGTTGGTTTATCTTTCATCTACTACGGCCGACAGGAGGAAGCAGACAGTATCGTGAAATCGTTACTCACAGAGAAGGTTCGGTACACAATTTTCAGGTCGTTCATCAGCCTCATCTCTTGCACAGGACCCAATTCTTCGCTACGGTGGTGTCTATACCCTTGCATTAGCGTACGCGGGAACATCAAACAACTCCGCCGTTCGCCAGCTTCTTCATATCGCCGTCTCTGATACGTCGGATGACGTCAGAAGGGCTGCGGTGACGGCGCTTGCATTCCTGCTCTTCAAGAACCCTGGGCAGGTACCTAGAATCGTGCAGTTGCTGAGTGAGAGTTACAATCCCCATGTTCGCTGCGGTGCGACACTCGCGTTAGGGATCGCGTGCGCTGGCACGGGATTACAGGTACGAACGCTCATCAGCATACGATGCAGTACAGGGTTCTGAGGTTTCTGCCAGGATGCCGTCGAGATCTTGGAACCACTGACAAAAGACGGTGTCGACTTCGTTCGACAAGGTGCTCTGATCGCGTTGGGCATGGTTCTCGTGGAACAGTCAGAGGCTTCATCACCATCTATGGCGGCCACTCGCGCTCTTTATAGCAAGATCGTCTCGGACAAGCATGAAGATCCCATGGCCAGGTTCGGAGCCGCAATTGGTCAGGGTTTCATAGATGCTGGCGGCCGCAATGTCACCATCAGCCTTCAGAGTCGAGCAGGTAGCAAGAATACCAGTGCCATTGTTGGAATGGTGTTATTCTGCCAATTCTGGTACTGGTATCCGTTGGCACACTGTGCATGCCTGGCCTTCGAGCCGACTGGCATCATCGGTCTGACTGCTGAATTGAAAGTATGTGCGCATATCAGTGTTCTCGTCGTTCGTTCTTGACAAGATGACCCAGGCTCCTCGATCTTTCAATTTCGTTTCAAACGCGCGGCCCAGTCTGTTCGCATACCCGCCGCCGATGAAATCCGCGAAGAAGGAGGCGCCGACTAAGGTTGCGACAGCCGTTCTCTCGACAACGGCAAAGGTTAAGGCACGAGAAAAGAAGAAGGCAGATGCTGAGAATGAGACCATCGACTCGGTGAGCTCAAATTTTGTATATCCTAGCCATAGGTATCATGGACTGATTGCTCTGCTCGACGCCCAGACTGAGGCCAAGAAAGACGGCGATGTTGAAATGGTTACCGAGGAGCGTTCGGGTGAACATGACGAGTCACCTACAAACGTACCCAATGGCTCGGCGGTACCAAAGAGATCATCGCAGGGATTCGAAGGAACTGTGAAGCCTGACCGCAAGAGGGAGCCGTCATCTGAGGAGTTGCCCAATTTCTCTCGTGTCACACCCGCGCAGCTCGCTTATATAACCTTCAATCCCGCTGCACGGTTCCAACCTGTACGTCCAGTCTCGACGAAGACCATTGGTGGTGGACGCGTCAAGAATCCTATGGCATCAAGGACACCGGATGCTACGCTCAATTTGGCCGCCGAGAAGTATGCCGGCGGTGGTGGTATCCTCATTCTCGAGGATACGCGTCCAGACGATGCGGTCGAATATTTGATCTTCGAAACGCATACCCCGATACAAGCTGCTGCTGTGGAAGCAAACCCACCAGAGAGGTCAAATGAGGATTGGCGGAGGACTGCCATTGCATTAGACGAAAGCGCACCTGAAGCCGACCCTCCACAACCGTTCGAGGTGAGTTCCTCGGCTCTCAATGTGTGATCATCTGCTCATGGTGGCCCAGTACCCGTTTGATTCCGAACCTTAAGAGATGTTGAACATATTTAATGTAGCATAGTGAGGTTTAATGACGACCTGTGTATTAGTCACGCGACGAACCTCCCGCGTCCGCACCGTTCGTACCGCTCTTCCTTCAACTATGCTCGCGATGACACGCCTACGCACTGCTATCCTCGACGATTACCAGCGCGTCGCCTTGACATGCGCAGACTGGTCACCGATCCGAGACCAGCTAGAGATTGACATTTACACGGAGACCATTCACGACGAGGATCGACTGGCGGATCGTCTGCACCCCTACGCTATCATTTGTGCGATGCGAGAGCGGACCAAGTTCACAGCGAGCTTGTTGGACAAGTTGCCGAACCTTAAGCTTATCGCCACCACCGGAATGCGCAATGCCGGGATTGATGTGAAGCATGCCCACAAGAACGGTGTGATTGTTTCTGGAACAGGGAGCAAAGGAGAATCTACCCTCGAACATATCTGGGCCCTGCTTCTAGCAACTGTTAGGTACGGCAAACTGGCCTTCGTTAGAGGCTTTCCGAACTCTGAAATGCGCTTTGTGAGGTACATCACGGTAGAGGATGCTAATGTCAAGTCACTCCACCCTCGATGGCAAACAACGCTGCCCCTGGGCCTGACAGACAGGACCCTCGGAATCATAGGCGTAGGACGGCTCGGCATTAAAACAGCCAACGTATGGGCCGTTTTGACTCAGTGCGCGATTGATGCAAACGGTATTGGCAGATCGCGAAAGCTTTCGGCATGAAAGTTATTGGATGGTCTCCTCACCTGACACCGGAACGGGCTGAAGAAGCAGGAATCGAATATGCTTCCAGAGAGGACCTCTTCACGCATAGCGACATTGTCTCAGTGCACATGGTTCTATCGCCCAGCACCCGGCACCTCATCACTGCAGATGACTTGGGACGGATGAAGAAGACTGCGTTCTTCATCAACACAGCCCGAGGACCGATAGTAGATGAGAAGGCGTTGATCCAAGTCTTGGAGGAAGGAAGGATTGCTGGCGCAGGGCTTGATGTCTTCGATATAGAACCACTTCCTCTTGACCATCCAATTCGACAACTGAAGAATGTTGTTCTGAGCCCCCATACAGGTTACGTCTCAGATTCCAACTACGAGGTGGGTTACTGCCGAGAGAGTAGTAAGAGCATTATGTTGACAGGGTCCCGCTTGTCTGTTCATAGGCATTTTGGGGCGATACTGTGGACAACATCGCGGGATTCCTCCAAGGTATACCAAAGAGGGTGATTAATTCGTAGATCGTGGATGCGATGAACAGTGGTCGTTGTATGTACTAGTACCGCAACACATAACTTAACGGCATGTTGCTTGAGGGTGACCGTGGGAATGAATTTGTAACAGGGCAAAGGGAACGCGATCTTCGTCCAAGACGCGTCGTTCACTCCCTTCATCGCAAACTGCAAGCCACCCATACACATCATGGAAGCACGCGCCCAAGAGCACCGCAGAAGAGGCGAGTATCTATCCTGCTGGCTAGTGGAAAGGAAACTGACGAACCCTATCAGATTATAAGGCCAAAGGCGGTTTCAAGGCAGACGAGCTGCGCCGCCGACGCGAAGAACAGCAAGTTGAGATCAGACGGCAAAAGCGAGAAGAAAACATCTCGAAAAGACGCAATCTCATCGCCGACACTGGTGCCGACTCCGATGAGGAGGTTTCATCCGGCGGATGGGAGCCCCCAGTACGAACCCTTCAAGTATTGCACAAGCAATGTACTAACCTGCTTATGCAGCTTGCCGAGGAGATGATCAGGGATGTATTTGGTAACGATCCGGAGCGGCAGTTGGACGCAACCACCAAGTTCCGCAAATTACTCTCCAAGGAGAAGAGCCCTCCTATCGATCGAGTTATCGAGTGTGGCGTTGTACCTCGTTTCGTTGAATTTCTAAAGGGCGGTCATTCGATGCTACAGGTGCGTATGCTCTGATGCGCCTTGCCTTCTGCAGCGACTCATGGTATATCGCAGTTTGAGGCCGCATGGGCGCTCACAAACATCGCATCAGGGACCGCCGATCATACCCAAGTCGTGATAAACTCCGGGGCTGTCCCGGAGTTCATCAAGTTGCTGTCGTCACCGGTTCTTGACGTGCGCGAGCAAGCCGTCTGGGCTCTAGGCAATATTGCCGGCGACAGCCCTCAGTGCAGAGATTACGTTCTCCAGCAAGGCGCCCTTCGTCCTCTGCTCAACTTGCTAAGCGAGAACCACAAGTTGAGCATGATGAGGAACGCAACCTGGACCCTGAGTAACTTCTGCCGAGGCAAATCGCCCCAGCCTGATTGGGAACTGGTGAGAAAAAAAGTCCTTGCCGCGTGTCTGCCCACTGACGAGCTTCCTAGATCTCCCCTGCACTCACTGTTCTCACGAAGCTCATCTACTCTCTTGACGATGAGATCCTGATCGACGCATGTTGGGCGATATCCTATCTGTCGGATGGCTCCAATGACAAGATCCAAGCCGTCATCGAATCTGGTGTTTGCAGACGACTCGTCGAACTCCTGACGCATCCTTCGACGTCGGTCCAAACTCCCGCGCTGCGTTCAGTGGGCAATATTGTAACAGGCGATGACCTCCAAACTCAGGTAGTCATCGCTTCCGGAGCGCTTCCTGCACTGTTATCGCTTCTGTCTTCACCCAAGGAGGGCATCAGGAAGGAGGCTTGTTGGACCATCTCCAATATCACGGCTGGCTCACCTCCGCAGATTCAGGCGGTCATTGACGCAAATATCATCCCGCCGCTCATCGATATTCTCCGTCATGCTGACTTCAAGACGAAGAAGGAGGCGTGCTGGGCGCTCTCCAACGCAACCTCGGGTGGTCTGCAGGAGCCCTCGCAGATTCGCTATCTTGTTTCTCAGGGTTGCATTGGTCCGCTGTGTGATCTGTTGCAAATGATGGACAACAAGATCATTCAGGTCGCCCTGGACGGTCTCGACAACATACTCAAGGTCGGGGAGATGGACAAACAGGCGGCCGGACCCGGTGCAGTCAACCAATATGCGGTGTTCGTCGAGGAAGCGGGTGGAATGGTTACCATCCACAACCTCCAGCAGCACGACAACTTGGAGATCTACAAGAAGGCTTTCAACATAATGGACAAGTATTTCCCCGATGAGGAGGAAGATGCTGGCATCAGCGCGCCTAATGTGGACGCTTCAGGTACCTTCGCTGTGCGTATATTGCATCCTGACTATCACCTGGAAAATGAGCTTACACTGTTGGTTGTTTAGTTCCATTCGGATGTCAGTGCTCCGCAGGGAGGTTTTACCTTCGGCGGACAACAATAGGCGGGGTATCTTGCTCTCATCCCTCTGTTCTGTTTCTCTTTCCCTGTATCCCGTAACATCCGTTACATCCATCATAAGTCATACGTCCATCTGCAGTGAATGCGGTTTCCGAGCTCAAGTGCCATAATGCTTTCTCGTGCGTGTATTCTCGTGTTTCGTAAGTGGCCTCGTGTAATCGCAAAGGATCCAATACAAAGTCGGCGCGAGGTGGTTATCGTGGACACCGCCACAGCGTGAATGTGTATGGACGTAGTTTAACACCTGTGCCGTGACATTCCACGATTCTGAGCTGACATGGGCCACGGCAACAGCAACAAGCTCTATATTACTCACTCCGAGCACTCCGGCCTTTACGGCCAGCATACTGCGTCGACTGCTGGGTACAAAGCGTAAGTATATGTCACTTAGGCTATCCCAGGCATCGTATACCAATCGTACTCTGACAGAAAGGCCCAAGCACCTCCCCCTGGAGCGCGGACCCCGTTCGACTGCTGTGCTCTGACTTTTCAACCGTGGACTCATCCAGTCTGTGCCCGAAACGATGACGGTACAGGTTATGTATTTGATCTCCTGAATATCATCCCGTGGTTGAAGTGAGTACACGCCATCGTTGCTTCCGGTGACTACACTAAACGTGCAATAGACAACATGACAATAGACATCCAATAACTCAGAAAACGTTGCAACCATCAGATCTGATACAACTTCACTATTCGAGGAAAGCTTCGGGCGAACTGCATGACCCAATCACCTTCAAGCCGTTCAGCGAACACTCGCACATAGTCGCCATTGCCACCACCGGCAACGTGTTCCTTGCAGAAAGTATAAAAGGAGGGAAAGATCTGGTGGCTGATGTGAAATTCAAGAAGTGTGTTGGCTTCAGCCATTGGTGTGCTCGTCTAATGAATTCTGTAGAGAAGACGTGATCACGCTTCAAAATCCTCATGGACTCCCTACGGCCTCGGTGGCGGCGACCCCTCCGAGAAAGGTTGAGCTTGAGAAGAACAAAGTCGTAGCAAAGCCAGCCCCAGCAGGGGGAGTTGCCAACGTCAAGAAAACGGCCGAACCATGTACGTTGTTCACTGTTTTCACTAGAATTAACCTCACCTTCCATCCCATTTCAGGGAACGTCTCGCCTTACTCCAGTGGTCTCCCGGGAGCATCTCTCACATCCACATCCATCGACCCGACGACGCAAGGCACAAAGCTGGTGTGGGACGAGGTGAGCGCCTTCTGGGTAGAACCATGAGGTTAACCAACTCCATGCCTCAGGAAGAATTGATGTACGAAGCGATCTCAAACCCACCCAAAGGCAAAGGCAAGGAAAAGGACGTGGGTAAGCGGCGAGCCTATGTGCGAGTCGTCACGTCGTTGGGGGGTGGTAGCCTCAACCTGGAACTGTTTTGTGAGAAGGTACGCACCACGTCTGACACATGCCCGCTACCATCTAAAAATACCATATTTACAGGCTCCCAAAACATGTTACAACTTCCTAATGCTGGCCCGCCAAGGAAAGTACAACGATTGCCTCTTTCATCGCCTGGTACCAGGATTCATGGTGAACCTTCCAACAAATATTAGTGGTTCATGAGCGATGTGCTGAAGTACATACCGATAATAGATACAGACCGGTGACCCTACGGGAACTGGGGCTGGAGGACAAAGCTATTGGGGAACGCCATTCCGAGATGAGTACGATCTCAAGGGTGCCGCCAAGCACGACGAGCGAGGCATCCTTGCTATGGCCAACAAGGGTAAAGATTCAAACGGGTAATGCACATGTTTTCTTTCATCGGACCGATGTGTCAAACATTTCGCGATGTTTAGGTCGCAGTTTTACATCACTTTCCGTGCCACACCACATCTAGATAGGAAGCACACAGTTTTTGGCAAATTGGTCGGCGGAGAAAACGTGCTGGATGCTCTGGAGAGATTGCCCTTGAAGGACGGCACTGAGCGGCCGGCCAAGGCTGTTCGCATTACGGAGGCTATCATGTATGTCTCAGGCGCCTTTCATCGCAGCGCACGATGCCATTGCTTATCCTTGCTGCTATAGCTACCAGGACCCATTCGAGGACTACAAAGTCCGACTTGCGAAGAAACTCGCGAAGAAAGCGGAGGCTGCGGCCAATCCTCAAGCTAAAGCAGACCAGGAGAAGAAAGAAGGCGACGACGTGAACTGGTTTGGGGTGAAAGTTGGGCAAGGCCCGGAGCATACTCAAGGGACAGAAGCTGCCGGAGGTGTAGGTAAGTACCTGAATCTTGGCACGAAGAGGAACGTAGATGCCGCGGACAGTACGGGAGAGGAGGAGGGGAAGAAGAAGCGGCGGATAGGATTTGGCAATTTCGACAGTTGGTAATGAGTGCATTGCTATATAGTCATCCAAGTGCACTTGCAGTGACCACGGAGAATATCCCTGATGTAATGGTTGGGCACTGCCACCGTAGTACTCGAAGGATAGGATGTGCTCATAAACCATCTTGAGTCGATCCTATGCATCACTTCCCGTAGCATGGGCGTAAACCAGTCAGTCCCGAGAATAACCGCTCAAGACAAAGCCATTCTTGAGTCCGTTCGTGATCACTTGCTCTCGCATGCTTTGCGTTATCATAGTCCTTACGAGTCGCTGCCAAATCCAGCTTGAAGCTGCAACGCGACAAGCTCAAGCTATATCAGCGTAAGGTGCGTCTATATGGCGACTGCTGGCATGAGCGCAATGATATGATGACAGACATGGAGCCTAGATCCAAGCTATTCTTGATCGTGAACAAGAAATTGCGCGGCAACACCTCCTTGCGGGCGAGAAGGATCGCGCACTTATCGCGCTGCGAAGGCGAAAGTATCAACAGAGCTTACTGACCAAGACCGATGCTCAGCTGGAGACCCTGGAGCAACTGGTCCGCTACCTTCTTTGCCACCCAAGAACCGGTTATGCATCGTTATCTTTGACCATGTCTTCTAGGTTTCGAACATCGAGTTCTCGCTGGTGGAAGTCTCGGTGCTGCACGGGTTGAAGCAAGGGAACGCTGTACTCAAGGAACTGCATAAGGAAATGAGCGTAGAGAGCGTAGAGAAGCTCCTCGACGAGACGCAGGAAGCTCGGGCATACCAGCAGGTGAGTGTGAACTTCGTTAGTCGCGAATGCGTGGTAGAATGGATTCATAGGAAATTGGGGATATGCTCGCCAATAATCTTACCCTGGATGAGGAAGACGCCGTTCAAGCCGAGCTTCTGGAGCTCCAGAGAGAGGCAGCAAGTATTCTGCGTTCTCGTCATGTTATTGCGCTGATTTCTTTGAGTATAGCTGGGTAGCGCGGAGCCCGATCAAGGTATCCAATTGCCATCGGCACCGGTGTCCGAGCCCGTCGCCAAGCCTGACAGCGACGTCGATCGTGAAGGTAAAGATCCCATCCCGCATAATCTCGCATTGAAGGCTGAGACCATTTGAACACGTACAGAAGAGGTTCGCGACTCATCCAAGAGCCGCGTTCCCGTGTCGACCTGAAGACTTCGAACGAAATACATCGCTGGGCTACACCATACATCTAGCTCCAATCACCATTAGTGTCCATCTAAGACCTGGGTCTGGGGATCGTAGCGTATATCTATAATACAATGCGTGGTGCACTCTTTGAGAGTACTAGTACTAGCTCCTCCCCTAAGCAACCTCGTGCGACATGTGATCAATCATACATTCATCTTCGTATCGAGGCCAGTTTCTGTTGAAGATAGTGCAAAATGATTCGGTAGTTTGATATCGCCGAGGGCCTCATCCCAGTTTTCTTCATTCATGGGGAGGGCCACGCTTCGACGGGAGTACGATGGTCCATAACTGGAAACGACGATTGTCGCGACCGGCATCTTGTTCCATCGCACAAGCGCGGGCCTGGTCTTGAGGAAGAGCAGGACGCTCAGAAGGCCCGAAGACGCGAAGCAGACATCCGCGAGTACCGTTGCCCACAGAGGCACAGAAATGGAATTGACGAAGTTGATCCACCGCACCACGGCGATCGGCAAAATCTTCACGGATAATCACGTTTTAGATGGTATGCTAGCAAGGGAAGGTTATAGTCACTCACAGCGAAGATGTAGATCGCGGGGTAGAGGAGCATCCGCATTGCGTATTTCCCCATTCTCCGTCGAGGCGCGGCCACGGCGGTAGCTACATGCACCCGTTCCTCCTTCGGAGTGAGCGCTAATCGCCCGGATCTGACTTCGATGAAACCGCGAATCTTGAGATAGACGGGTAAATAGAGCAACACGTTCAGGAATGCGGTCGTCCACATCCAAATGTACTCCAAAAAGAGCCGTTCATAGAAGTAATTCTCTGAGATCCAGCACCCTACAGGTATCGGGTCAAAACGATATCTGCTCCGAATGAAAGACGCGACGAACAAAGCCCAGTGTTGGCGTAGTAGCCCGGGTGGATCGCCGCTGCAATGACGACGATAAGGGTGATGAACACCCATATGGAGGGTACCACGGTAAGTGGAATCAAAGACGAGCGCGAGGCATCCGGTCGCCACTCGCACACGATCACGGCAAATGTATGGATGCAAATCGCCTGTGTGATGCTGGTTAAGCGTCATTTGGCGGTGTAGCAACGATGCTCGCATACCAGATTTCTGGGGGGAGGAACAGATCAGTCAACTACATCAAGAATCCAGTCATGACACCTACGCCAAAGCAGCACCCACATCGCCAAGTTGCTTGAGAGCACCTTGCGCTGAACAGTAAGACCCCTCCACCACGCTCTGCAAGTTGTCCGATAGTCAGCAACGGCAGTTGATCTCACATCTGGCAGTTGACACCTTTTGCAAGATCCAGTTAACGTTTAGTATGCCGCCTGCAATGAGGCTCGTGTCAGCCGCGCTTGAACGGGTCATCGAAGCCGTCATTTCGCATACCGACTGCCTGGACCAGCTCAGAAACCAAGAGACTGATGACATAGTAGAACTGTGGCGATTTATTTCGTGCGCCTTGGTCGTCAACCGCGGCACTATACTGTATCAAAGCAACAATGAGCCTAGAAGCGAGCTGTGCGCTGATAGCTATCACGTACACCGATGTGCAACAGGAGAAGCAGAACGGCCAAAGCAGATACACCGAAAGCGGCGGTGATGACTCCGATACCAGCGAGCGTTCCCGAGGTGAAATCTCCGTCCGTCATGGTTGCGCTGACGCGGAGGGTTTCCCTGAGTGTAGGGGATTATACGCCGCGGACCAGCGAAGGGCAGTCGGGTGCCGGGGACGAGTTGGTGGAAAACGGGATCACGGAAGATCTCCAGGACATATATGAGGAGTTAGAGGTATACGCGTCCATGTGTATCTGACAGGCATGATAGCACTAGTGGGCGATGTAGTGCCGGAGCACGGAAACGAAAATTCTTCGCCATGGAAATTTGCGCTGCCCCTTTCCGTCTCCATGCGGTGATCGAAGGATTAGGTTCGTGTGCGGTCGGTGTTCCGGTTCGAGCCAGAAGGATGGAAGGGGAGTAGTGGCGTCGCCTGCCGACGCTGCACTGCAGTGGGTCGAAGCACAAGCACATGGTGTTGCCAACCATTCCACCGGCCTCAGCCGAGAGCGATGCTCAGGGACCGTGCAACATCATCCCGCTAACATGCTAATTCAGCATGGGAACGAGCGCGAAGTCTCCGAAGGTTGGTGGATTCATTATGAGAAGCCAAACGCATGAATGATCAAATACAGATGTTGTCTACGAGTCTACTGGTACATATAGGCACTATGCTATCGGCTCAGGGAAATTCAAGTCCAGTATCGATCTCTTGTGTTCTGGAGCAGGAGTAACGGTCGATTGTCGCGGTGCGACGGCCCACGGCTCGTGTATGAAGTCCTCGTCGTGGTCGAAGTATTCGTGCGAGGGATGTAGGCTACGAGAACGCCCAGAGGGCGAAGACGCGTTATGTGAGGCAAGAGGAGTGATCAGGATTTGCGTGGATCGACGGGCTCGTTTGGGAACGAGGGTGGGCCGAGTGAGCGAGAATAGGAGGACGTTAAGCAAGCCGGAACATGCGAAAACAAAGTCGGACAGTATCGTTGCCCAGAAAGGGACGCGTACGCTGTGGAAATATGCTGCCCACCGCACGATGGCGATCGGGATAACGGTGATAGTGTAGACAGCCGGGTACTAGATGAACAGCGTGAGACAGCCCCCTGAACGACACGACAATCGGACACTCACGAAAAGCATGCGCCAAGCGATACCTGTGGCGTCTTTTGCTGTGGACCCCATCGAGGACCGCAGCTGCACGCGTTCCTCCTGCCGCGGTACGTGAAATTTGATGCCGTCCACGACGACGTAGCCGCGGATGACGAGCGCGAGGAGGGTGTAGAGCACCAGGTTGATCAGACATGCGAACCACATCCACCCATACTCAAGTCCGATGCGCTCCGCCGCGTATGCGGGTTCGATCCAGCACCCTATGCAGCCGACTCGTTAAGTGACAAGAAAAAAAAGCGGACACTTCAGTGGACGACGGACAAAAACCGGTATCGCCATAGTACTTCTTCTTGCGACTTCCAAATATCACCCTGAACGCACAACTCAGTGTCGGGTGTGTACGGTCGAAACCAGGTAAACGTACACTTGGATGAGTATGAGAAAAGTCCATATGCAGGCAAGCACCGCAATCGCAACACGAGGCGATGGCTTCGGTTGCCATCGGAAGACTAGGATGAGAAAGGTATGGAGAGCAATTGCCTATGAAAAACGTCGTTTAGCACATAACTTTCGCCACCTGGTGAATACAATCGTACCAACGATCTACAATGGCCGGTTCAGGATGTCAGAGCGTCGACCTACAAGAAGACACCAGACTCACGCCAGCGCGACGCCAACATCACCCATATTTTTCAGCACGCCTGCGCCCACGCGTTCAGTACAGCCCTGCGGTCTTGGCACCAAACTCATGCTCAAGAAACCTTACCTTGGGCCGTGCAATATGATCCCGTGGTGACACGTGCTTCTATTACCCATTTGATATCGAGTAAACCGCCTGGACGAGCCCAGAGATAAGCGTCGATCGCCGCGTGCATACGGGAAGCCTCACCGATCGCTTGTATGAGCTCCGATACGAGCAAGCTCAGGAAGTACCAGTGGACGTGGGTGACGGTCGACCAGTGCCGCAGCGCGCCTTTCTTGATCGTCACCGCGCTGTACTGCAGGCAGGGTTTGAGACGTCTGCGGATCTTGGATGAGGAGGAGGTCGACGGAGACGGACCGCAATATAGCCTAGCAGCCCCAGGACGGCAGCGGCGGAGACGCCGAAAGCCTACGCAATGCGAATACCGGTCAGCGTCCTTCCAACGATGGATCAAACAACGCGCACACGCGCACCTCCGCCAGGAACACGATCCCAAGCCGGATGCCAAAGTCGAAGTCTTGGGTCTGCGTGGCATTGCCACTGGCCATCGGCGGGGAGGCGCAGGGGGGAAAGGGGGATATATGTATTCAGCCGTAGACTACAGAGGACGGTGGTGATATGACGCGCGCGGGGCGCGAGCCGGGGGACATTATATACGACGTTCGGTCGCTCGGGGGCTGCGGGGACAGGACAAGGTTAGGTACCTGGTGGCACGTCGCGGGAACCTGGTGCAGGCCCGATGGGAATTGGCCTGAGATCTGGGATCTCTTCGTCTCGCCGGCATCCCCCGAACGGAATATTGCCAATTCAGTCCGTCGCCGTCTGCTCCTGTTGGCCTGGCGTTTCTACGGTACGAATCCATCTCGACCGGGTGCCTGCGCAACGTATGCTGTCGTTGTGCAGCCTGCCACAGGACGCGAACAGGGAGACGCACGCACCTCGTGTCCCCCTTCGTGCCCCGCCACCCACGGAGCGAGGAGGCGTCTGCGATAGCAAAAGTACGAAGCACGGGTGCCTACGTCTTCGCACAGCATGTTCGTTCTGAACTTATCGGTACGTATATATATCTATCTGCGGTTCATGGAACCATTCAGCTCGTTCCCGCACTCGGGCGGTCGGATTCGGCACACCGCCACCTGCATCCCCGGACCTTCTCCTTCCCAGCCGCGCAGTATAAGTAGTGCGCAAATGCAAGACATCACCTGTTCGGGAAGGCTGCAGTTGCGATTGCATCGAGGCCTTAAGCCCGCGGTCACACGTCCCGGGCACATGAAGTACGCGAGTAGCGCTCGGCACCATCTGACCCCCCGGCCAAGCCGCAAATATGAACTCCCCAAGGATAGGACAGATCGGGCTTATCAGCCATCGAGGGCAGCCCGCGCGTGCGATTTCATGGGCCGCACGAACGCCCGTTACGTGAAGGATACACTCCCAGATCGACCCATCCCGACGTGCAAACGGGGATCGAGCGCACCGTCAGTCATGCTCTGACGTGCGGATTCATAACCCTCCACAGAGCGCCTCGGGCTTTGCGCACGCATGGCATGCTGGATCCCGGGGGAAAAAGTGCTATTGTATGGCACCAACATTCCGTTCCAGAATGCAATCGCCGGATCTTTACGTATGGAAAGGCAATCGTTCTTTTTTCTCTCGTAACCTTGAGCTTCGCCGCTCGACGTGAGGCGTATTAAACCCTTTCAAGCCATCGTGGTCGCGTTCCTCAGCGCCGGCGGAAACCTGCCGTCGATGATGTTATCCGGCACCGGGATCGTGTAGTTGGCAAAGCAATCAAAGTTGAAGTCGACCTGTTTTTAGGGCGAACCATCGCTATCAATGGCCGTTTCGGTGCGAAGAGAAAAAGCGGCGTTACCTCGGCGATGCGCGCCTTGGTGCCGGAGATGAACGCGTCGAGCTCGCACAGTCCGTTCTTGTCGTCGTGACCGCATCCCCGAACGCCCGTGAGCGGCAGCACGGCATCATTCAAGATCCAGCGGATGTGCGTCGGCGCGGCCGACTTGGCGGGGCACGCGAGCACCTGCCCGACGAGGTTGCTCGCGAACGGCGCGATCCGCGTGACTATGTACGACTGGGTGGCGGTGGCGTGCGCGCGTCAGCGCCTCATCTGCCAGGCAAGGGGGTGGACCGGGCCACTCACCTGGTCCTTGGGAATGTGGTCTGTGGGCAGAGGCCCGTTCGCGGCTAGAGCGGTAAAGTTGAAGGCGACGAGGACTGTGCACGCGGCGGCGGCGGCGGATCAGTTGGCGTGGGGAGTGCTATGGAGACTTGAGACGCTTACTGGCGCTAATCACGGTGTCGTGGGTCGCATCGACCTGAACACGCAGCGACGGCGTTAACGGGATTCGCGATCAATGAGATGCGCGCTCGACAAGACGTACGAAAATAGGCTGGTTGAGCGGGAAGGTGATGTTGGACGCGACGTTCGTGCCGTTGACGGAGGTGTCGAAGTTGGTGATTCGCGTCTGGGTCAAGCGCGAGATGGTCTCCTGAACGTAACCGATACCCTGAGCGGCGTTCGTGGGACCGCCGGGACCGTTGGAGTACCAGAATTGCAGATCTGCCGACGACAGGCGCGCTCTCAGGACAGAGCACACGGTGCATCATGGCGCGAGAGAGCGATACCGTTAGCGTATTCATAGCCCTTCCATTCCTCCTCGGTGAACAGCCCACAGAACGACGAAAAGCCGAGGGCGACAGTTTCGTAAGCACAGGTCCTGTCGAAGGACCGTCAGAACAGAAGAAGACAACTCGGGATAAACGCCACGCACTGTTGCATGGCAAAGACGTCGGTGACGGTGAGGTTGAAGCCGGGAAGCAGCGGCGCAAGGCGCTTGACGGTCTTGTTGAGGTAAATTTGCACCCACTTTGCGGCCTGGATGCTGCCAAAGGAGCCGGCTGCGTTGTTGGCGTTGGTGCAGACCTCGTACGGCGCCAGCGTATTGTTGAACCCGTCAGACTCGATCTCGATCAGCTGGTGGTAGTCGGACTGATAGGACTGCACGCCGAAGAAGCCGGCAGCGAAGTGCAGCGCCGAGTCCACCATGCGAGCTGCAGGTGCGCGGGATCAGCAGCGGCAGGATATCATAATAAGGTTTGATCGCGAATGACGTACCTTCGGAGGTGGTTCGCCAGACGGGCAAGTCATCGAAGCCCTTGAGCAGATCTCCGTACTTGACGCGGAAGCCGACGCCAAGGTTGAAGCTGGTGAAAGGCGTGGTGTGAATCCACTGAGGAAGAGTGCACTGGCTAGACGACGTTACAGCTGCTCTCGGCCGAAGGGAGTCAAGATCTCTGCGCCGAGTTTGTACGTCCAGGTGTTCAAGAACGAGAGGGCGCCCTTGGGGCTGAAGCCGGTGCCGTTGGTCGCAGCGGCGTGCACTTTGGCGGCAAAGGCCGACGGGTCGGATCCACCGGTGGGGTACCGCGCGCCGTGACGGTGGAGGAGGTGAACCTGCCTGAGCTCGCATCCGTCCGGGACGACCGGGGACGCGTCCTGCAGGCCGTAGACGGACGAGTCGATCGACTGGAAGGGCGAGAGGTTGCCCCAGTGATCGATGACCCTGAAAGCCTTTTGGGTTTTGCCTGCCGCCTTGGGGTCGATCAACGGAAAGGCGGTGTCGACCTTGGCGAGGACGGGAGCGGTGGCGATCGCTTCGGCCTCGTCCCCAGCTAGAGAGGGCGGAAGGTATGAAGAGGTGCGCAGAGGGAGAGAGAGAGAGAGGGTCGGAACTGACTGGGGGTGGGACCGGCAAAGCCGACCTCTGAGGGATCCGGAAAGTTTACCGTGTCGGTCGCGGTGACCGTGGCGCCGTTGGGTGGGAAATCAAACGTGCTCGTCTCGCCGGCGAAGGAGGAGACGACGCGGGGGACAAGGTTCGCGTTCGCGAGCTGGACGAGGAGCAGGACCAGCGGGAGCAGCGTGGCATGAACGCGGTGCATGATCGCGACGATGCTCGATGCTGGCAAGCGAACGGCGAGCACGGCTTACGGGTGAGATTTTATATTATATGGACGGTCATGGGGCCATCCAGGGCCGAAGAAGCCCGCGCAGAGCAAGAAGCCGGACGAATAAGCGCAGAGGCCCAACACACACGGGCGTCGTTCGGTCGAGCTCACTGGCTCGTCGTCGACGGATCAGCGGGATCCGTCCCTGCCTGGCGGGGGCGCAGAGCTGGACGTGCCTGCGCTGCTGGCTCGAACGCGCGTCGGGGCTGCGTTCGCCGCGACCGTCGAGCGCGTCGAACGTGGGGGAGGCGGCGGAGGCACGTGTGCGCGCGCGCGTGTTTCGCTGACGTCATCGGCCCATCTCTGCGTCGCGCGTCTGTTCCGGGGCGGGCATGGCGCTCAGACTGTCCCAGCCGTGCTCTCGTGCAGGCTCCGTCGGACGTGGCCCCCGTCCCAGGCGCTATCACGACTACATCCGCTTCGCTACCCCAGGTCAGTCCCTCCCGCGCTCTCACCACCCCAGTCCGTTCACCGCTTTGCAGACGGCGCCGGCCGCATCCCTCTCTCGTCCTCCAAGATCGTCGGGGTCGCCAACTCTCGCGGCACACGAAGGTAGCTCACTTGTCCTCCACTGCCCTTTCCCCTTATAATCCAATCGATGCGCAGTCACCAGGAGGACTTTTACGCCTTCTCCGCCCTCTCTCTCGACCCGCACGAGCTCCGGCTCAGCGCCAAAAAGAGCCACGCCATAGATTGGGACCCCGCCAAACTCGGCAACGACGCCATCGCCCGACAGGCCCTGTTCGTCGGCATCTACGACGGGTAGGTCGTCCATCGAACCTCCCTACCAGTCCGGTATATTGACGACCCCAGCCACGGCGGATCAGGTGCGTCTCGAAACCGACCTGGCTCCGCCTCAGTTGTTGACCGTCTTTGCCAGCGGTATCCCAGTTCTGTCGCCAAGAACTCCACGGCCTCTTTGAGAATGTTCACAAGGAACAGATCCCCGAGATGTACGCCTGGATCCAAGAGATCGGCGGCTACTTCAAGCGCTTTCGCGGCGGCGCCCTCGCGCCCTGGGTCCATGGCGACTGCAAGGACGAGATGGACCTCGAGGCTCGCGCCACCCTCGCTTTCTTCGACGTGAGTCCGTCTCCTTCTCCTTCCCTTCCGTGGTCCTTTCGTGACCGGCTGGGCGGCACAGGTCGACAGGCATCTGGCCGCGGACAAGTACGCCAAACAATGCGGGTGCACCGCGTCCGTGATAGTCCTCCACACCTTGGACCAGCCTCAACCGCCCTTCTTCAACGCCAAGCAAGTCTCGCTCACCGTAGCTCACGTCGGGTGAGGCTAGCGATCAGTTCGCATCGCTCGCGGCGCTCACCATCATACAGCGATACGCGCGTCCTCTTGTGCGCCACCGACGGAGGCAAAGCGCAGCCCATGACAGAGACCCACCATCCGGACGCTCGAGTCGAAGCCATCCGATTACGTCGGACCATGGGGTCCTCGCTGATCACAGATTCGTTCGGAGAGTCGAGGTAAATGACCGTCCCTCGCCGCCGCGTCTGCCTACTGAGTTTTCCCAAAGGTGGATGGGCGCTTTGGCTAACACACGATGGTGAGTATGCACATGACCGACTTGGGTTGTATATCTCACCCAGTCCAGCCTCGGCGACCTACGCTACAAGCCGTTCGGCGTCACCCCCGAACCGGAAGTACGCACCAAGCTCCTCGAGAGTACGCACCGTTCCGTGACCCTATTGTGCGCTTGTGGTTGATCCCTCATCCATAAGGACAAGAGTGGGCATACATCGTCCTCGTCTCCGACGGCATCTCCTCCATCCTCTCCGACGACGAGATCGTCGACCTGGCCCGCGACGCGCCAGATCCCCGCACCGCTGCCGGCCGCATCCTCTCCTTCGCGGAGGAACTTGGCGGCGAAGACAACATGACTGTGATCGTTGTTCCGCTCGCCGGCTGGGGTCATATCCGAGGGCCGGACAGGACGAAGGAGTTGCGCGAGTATCGGTCTCGTCAAGCCGGTAAGGATACCAGCGCCTCGTACTTGCTACACGATCTTACGTTTTGGCTTAGTCGGCAACGAGCGACAACGACGGATGTAAACCACTATCGTCGCGCGTTATTGGTATTTATTCTCCATTGTGTTAGCGCAAGCATATATCGTGTACATCTCTTTTGAACGGTCTCGTCGCGCATTACTTTATCTTGCTCAGATCTGCGCCGCCGCGTGGCCGTCCGCGCGCAAGTCCGATCCAGCGGCCCAAACCGTCCGCCCGGACGGATCGACGATCTTCTCGATCACCTGGCCACGCCCGAACATGCCCCTCGCATAGCCGCTGAGCTGCCTCGCGTCGTGGCCCATCTCTGCACATCATTCATCGATCACCAACAAGGGAAAAAGAGCAGGGGAAGTGACCGCGCACCTCTGAGCTTGTTCACCGTCTCGTCCGAGATGCCCTCCTCAAAGTAAACCTCGCTATTGATGTCCCCCGCCATCCCGGTCTGCTTCGCCTCCGAGTCCGGGCTGCCCGCCGAGATGCAGAACCGGGGCGCGTCGAGCGCCGCCTGCGGCCCGTACCCGCGCAGCATGTTCAGCAGCACCTGCACGTGGCCCTGCGGCTGCATGAACCCGCCCATGACGCCGTACGAGAGCCAGAGGTCGTCGCCGCGCTTGGCCAGCGCGGGGATGATGGTGTGGTACGGCCGCTTGCCTCCCTATCGTGCGCGCTTACTCAGTTTACGGCTGCTGGCGTTGGGGCATCGAAAGCGCACCTTGAGCATGTTGACGTGCCCCTCGACGAGGGTAAAGTTGGATCCGCGGTTCTGCAGCGTGAATCCGCAGCCCTTGGGGATCGCTGGCGAGGGGTGTCAGTTCGGAGCGCTGTCATGAAGCACGTGTCAGCATGTACCTCCGGTTCCAAACCCTGGGATGGATGGTCAGTCGATGCACGAGCGGTCCACCGTTGTGAGCAACTCACCGGCATAGTTGCTCTGAATATAACTGCACGCGTTACCCCACTGATCGGTCACTGGATCGTATCGTGAGTGACTTGCATCCGCAAACAGAGCGCTTGCTCTTCCCACCAGAGAAGTAGACCGTGTCCGACGAGTGCACGGGTTTGCCGTGGACCACTTGCGGGTTCGTCTTCTTCGGGTCAAACAGCTTTGCGCGGGTCGCCAGATATTCCTTGTTGAGGAGTGCCTCGACCGGGACGTGTTCGACCTCAGGGTCGCTCACGAAGTGCTGGCTATCGGCAAATGCCAACCTTTGCAAAACCGACGAGTGATGAGTGATGGGATCCCGAGGTCTGACTCACAACGCACCTCAAGGTTTCGACAAGGGTGTGCAAGTATTCAGGCGAGTTGTGCTCCATCTCCAGTATATTGCCGATAATTCCTTGCTCTTGCATGCTTTCGAGAATACCAAGCGCGAGTAGTGCGGTGATACCTTGGCCGTTGGGTGGACACTGCGATGAGGGTGACCATTGGATACTGCATCGCGAAAGCACCTCGAACACACCTCGTAGACCGTCACGTCCCCACCGTAGGTATACTTGATCGGTTCCACGAACGTCGTCTCGTGCTTCGCGAGGTCTTCGAGCTCCATCACGCCACCCTTGCTCTGTATGAGATGGACGATCGCCTGCGCAACGCGGCCTTTGTAGAAACCATCCTTCCCCTTCTCAGCTACCTCGCGGAACGTCTGAGCCAGAGTGGGGAAGGTCATGATTTCGCCTGGTTTCGGAGCCCTGCCGTTGAGAAGCATCTCGTCGGCATTGGGCGAGGCATTCTTGATGAGCTGCTCCGAGCGTTTCCACTAAAGGACCGCGTCAGCCGAGAACGATGCCGATAGATCGTTGAACGTACGGAGAAGCCGTGGATTTCCGAAACGGGAACACTGTCCAGCAACTTAGTGTCGGGACGATGAGGGTCGGGTTGGGCTGACGCACCCCTCTTCGGCCAAGCGAATGGCCGGGGCCAAAACCTCCGCGACTGAAAGTCTGCCGCTCCCGAACTTTTCGACCGTGTCCACCCAAGCTGCAGCGGCACCGGGTACCGTGACAGAGTTCAAATCCTGTTAAACGGTAAGGTTGTCTAGTACATGAAGAGCATGCTCGGCGCTCACCGTAGCAGGAATGTTGCTGCCGTCGATGCCGCGGCTCCTGACGTAGTCCAGGGTCAGCTTCTGGGGAGAGTGACCCGACCCATTCAACGCCTTCACTTCCTTCGTCTTCGCATCGAAGAAAAGGCAGAACGCATCTCTGCAGCGAGCGTTTAAGGAGGCTAACGATGGTCGAACCGTAGTGCCTTACCCGCCAATACCACAGCAGCTCGGTTCCGTAACATTCAGCGCCGCGGAGGTAGCGACAGCGGCATCGGCTGTCGATATCTTCAGTATACAACCAGTTCTGGACGAACGTCGACGAATCAGCGTACCCGCGTTACCTCCCTTCCTTAAGATCTCCAAGCCAGCCTCCGTGGCCAGAGGTTGCGACGAAGATACGACCCCCTTCGTACCGTAGACGATCTATCAACCGGTAAACCTTCTTCCAGCCTGGCAAAGCGAGAGAAACTGACAGATCGACGACTGGGGAACCGCTGCAGGAGGTGCTCGGGGTGGTCTACCTTAGACCAATCGATCTGAACTGGAGACATCTTTGCGGGCGTTGGGGCGGACGACTTCTGACCCATGGACAAGAGCAAAGCTGCGCGTCAGCCCGCTATTCCTTCCCTGACCATGATCATTCATTCCGTCGGAGCACCACAAGAGTACTTTCGCATGGACATGAGAAGCGGCTTCACGGTTTTGGCGAGATCGCAGAGTGTGGAGATTAGATAACATCCGGGTGGCTGTGACACAAAATTATTGACTAGCGCTATGGTTGTATATACGCGGTTCCCAAAACATTTACGATAGATGCAGCCAGTACCTTCGTGTAGAATATCTTTGGTCTGTTGCGTGCATCGGTGACAAATCATGCGGATTCCTTCTGCTTTTCCGCAGGCGGGCGTGGAGGATGTGTCGGCGCATATTTGGATTTCTCGCGCAGCTTCGGGCCGAACCTGGAAGCCGTAATCAGCTGAGCCCCTGTAATCACGCCAACGGCACACTCACTTGATTAGCAAGAAGGGGATAGGTATGAGGAGAACAGCGATGCATCCCAGCAGCGTTGACGCCCATCTTGGGTTCAGCGTGACGTACCTGGAAGGTGCTAAGTATCGGCGAAATATGGTACTGACAAATAGCCTCACATCTGTCGCGCAAATAGCGGGAAACTTGCGAATACAGCATCAGCGGGGAAGGCGAGTGGAGTGGGGGTGATTCGGCTTACCCTGCACCGAACAGACTACGTACAACCGTATTCGCGGATAAAGCGGAAGCGGCCACGAACAGATAAGCGTCCACCATATAATTGAACAGCGGCAACTAGAATTCGGCAGTGAGTACAGGCCACCCGCTCTGCAGTTGGGCTGCCAGACCACTTACGAAAAGCCATTGGATACCAAATCCCAGCACGAGACCAGACATCATAGGTGCCCAGTAGTTTACGCTGGAAAACGAGGTCCAACTAGTACAGGTTAGGCTTCTCTCCCCTCGGGCACGTGCGATACACACGCTTACCCGAACCAAAAGAAAGCGACTGCGAACGCCGGGGCGCCCACAACCGCCATGTGAAGACGAACTTCTGGGGGTACAGGATGCGGATGATACTTGTCGACCTGTTTGTTGTATTTAGGCATCCAATACAGGATATACTGTCGTTGTTTGAGTGAGCGATGTCGGGTATGATCGTCGTTAGCCAACTCTCACCATCACGACAGCGGTAGCACCACCCAGCGGAAGGGGCAAGAACATCAGTCCTGATGCACCTGGCACACGTGTTCAATGGAGATATCTACCAAGTTGACGAGCCATCGACTTACCAGCGTTGAAATGATGTCCTTGCGTGAAGACAATGGGATATGCCTCGAAGAGGAGGTATATACAACCGTAAATAAACTAAGAACGGTGTCAGAAACATCCGAGACAACTTGCGAAGCATGGAACTCACGGAAATGTACTATATTCCAAGCGTCATTATGGAGCAAGTGTGGATTCAAGAAGTCCAAACTTACCAGCGTGATGGCGATCAACCTGCGCGATTGTCAGTGAATCCTATCAAAACGGTACCTGTGCATGCTCACATGGGTTCTCGGAACAGGACTTTGAACGGTCGGCCAAGCACTTCCTCCGCACGGCGTTTGAGCGGCACTTTCGTCTTCTCCATCGGAGCATAGTACCGATCATCACCCGTCTGTATCCGCTTTCTCTTAGCTTTTCCAACCAAGATGATGGGCCTACAGGAGACATAAGATTGTTTGCAAACCTGTAGGAAGATAAACGCAATCCATACGCGTATGTCTCTGGAATCGTGAGTATAATCTGGATGGTGGTGACTCCAGCCTAGAAAGTAACGTTATTCATCAGATTGGACGCCAAGGGGGGTTGGACAAACGTATATAGCCAGCACCCAAAACACCCAACGCCATGACGTCCCGGATACGGCAATGTAGCCTCCGACTATAGGTCCCACTGTATCAATGACAAAATCAAGTTAAGACCTGCAGAAAATGCGATTATCATGCACGTGCCTGCAGGACCGGCAAAGGGAGCTAGTGTGAAGATCGCCTATACGACATCAGTCACACTCTTCATTTCCACGGCACAGACTCTCACCATAGCCGTACCCCGCGTCCTGTTGTCCCATATATCTGCCAGTACAGCCCTGCATTTTGACGGAATCAGACGCAATGCGTGCTCAAGGGTGATTGCACTGACCCGCTGTTAGCGAGTGGAGCTGCAGCAAACATGCCGCCAAGGAAACGAAATATGATGATTTGCGCCGTGGTCTGAGCCAAGGCGCATCCAATCTGAAAGGCAAAATAAACGATGAATGTCCCAAGGAATACCGGTTTACGGCCGATTTGCTCAGAGAGCGGACCCCCTAACGTGGATGCGGTGAGTGATCAGTGCTCACCCATCACGAAGTGGTGGAAGCTCACATAGTAAGGGCCCTATGCAGTATCCGGCAACGAAGAGTGAGATAGTAAGGGTGGCGACCTCTTCTCCGAACCCAAATTCCTCTATTAGCTGCGGTACGATTCCAGACGGAGCGGAGCTCGCAAACGTCCTGCATTGAAACCGGTCAGGATGGAATACTTGGCCGGTAGCACAGCGCGACCTACGCGTTTAAAACCAAGCCCCCGGCAGCGATTGTCAAGTATGTATTTCGTGCAAACGACCAGTTCTATTGGTTCGCGTCATTCCCAGCAACACGCTTCCCATCTTTCCCAGCCATTCGCACCTTGGGGTTCTCGGGATCGCCTTCTTCGAAACGGACCAGAAACGGATCATACTGGCCGTCCTTGTTGGGTTCCGGGTACTGTTCATGATGTATCTCCTCGTTGTCCGGGTTGTGGCTGTAGTCGCTGCCGTCGTCGCGCTCGATGACCGTAGGCGTACCGGTCCTGAGGTCGCCTGAATGACTGGGGCTGGGACCAGAACCGGACATGAGGGGAGTGTCGCGAGGCAAAGCGGGCGCAGTGGTGGGTCGCCACCGCTACATCTCATATATGTGGAAATCATGGGGGGCAACACGGATAAATAGGCCGAGGTTAAGTAAGAGCTGAACGTCATCCGGGCGACCTAATCCGGCACAGCCACCGCCCATCAACCGCAACCGGGTGGGATTGGCGTCGGGTCTCGCCGTGGCCCGCCTCAATGGACTTCACCGAGGCAAGCTCCTCCTCCTCCTCGCAGACATCCAGGCAACGAAACTCACTGGCCAATAGATCTATCGCCACTCTGCGGGCCTCGTCGCCTTCAGCCCCGGCGCAAACTGGATTCTGACGGCCGTGCAGGACCGCCTTATCGTCCGTCGGACGGACACCTTCCTCATCACGCGCACATGGCTCGTGGACGCCACACCTTCCGCGACCGCCTCGGCAATCGCCCCGCTTGCCAGAGCCAACGCCAGTCCTGAGCTCATTACTCATGCCGCATGGGCCTGCGACTCAGAGTACCTCCTCGCCGCGTGCGCAAAGCACGGGGTGGTGTCCGTCTTCAAGATGCGTGACGAAGAGTGGCGCGGCCGTATAGAGGCCGGAGCGGAGGGCCTGGTCAAGGCCGAGTGGGCCCCCGATGGCAGGAGCATCTTGTGCTTCTCGGAGTGGGGTGTGAGTACGCTTCATCAGCAATTCAGATGTATCACAATCTTCGTCATCCTACCGCAGCTGAGAGTTACTATCTGGTCTCTGGTTACCGGAACGGCGACGTATATTCAATACCCGGTACATCCTGATCGAGGTGGGTCGAACAGTGGCTCAGTAAGCCGCGTTCCATCTCACTGACCGCATGAATGGGTTCCCTCAGGATATGCATTTCGGACCGATGGGCGTTATTTCGTCTTGGCCGAAAGGCACAAATCCAAGGATACCGTAGGCGTCTACGACGCCATTGACGGTTACAAACTCGTTAGGGTAGGTGCTGCGTGACGCCTTTCTCCGCGAGCGGGAATAAATTGGATGACAGTCTGCGTGGGTAGCATTATCCCTTACCGACATCCTCCCTGTCGGCGCTCAGCCTCTCTCCTCGAGGCAATCATCTCGCCGTATGGGAGGGGCCCCTGGAAGTATGTATCATACCACCGCCATGGTCGACAAGCTGATAATCGCGTCCAGTACAAGCTACACATCCTGAGTTTAGCCGGCGAACAGCTGGCGACGTTTTCGCCTCGTCCGGACCCAGGTTTTGGCGTTCGACAGGTTGCATGGCATCCGTCCGGAGTCTTCGTTGCCGTCGGCGGGTGGGACGACAAGGCATGCATCATTCATCCCAGCGATGCCCCCCATCGCTGACTTAGCACAGATCCACATTCTGGATAGTTTGACCTGGACCCCTGCTGTCGTGCTTGAATTTTACGCCCGGATTCCATCTGGCGTGGTACGGGCATTCCTCTTGGCGTGAAAAACACCCTCCCTGATCGGCAATGCTAGACGGTCTGGCGAGAGCCCTCGAACTGGCTTGAAGCGACGCAGGGACGCGGGTTCCTCTCCTGTAAGCTCCGCTCTGTATCCGCGGCACGCACGCAGATGTATTTGATCATGGCCATAAGACGAACGTCTCCGAGGTCAGCAGGTCTTGCCCAACGCACGGGTTGATCCAAGCAAGCCGAATCCCAAGAGCGGCGCGGTGCAACTTGATTGGAACAAAGATGGCAGTTATTTGCTTGTTCGCTTCGGTCAGCTAGTCCGTCGCTGCAAGAAGCCGCCGTTGAACGCAATCTTCCAGAAAATTCGCCGCAGGCAGTCTTTCTATACTCGTTCCCGGTCCCGGCGCCGTCTACCTCTCTTCCTGCCCGATTTCCTGATCCTTTCGCACCGAAATTGCATTCGGTGCTGATTCACTCCAACCCGATCTTGCACGCGCGCTGGAACCCACTCAGGAACGGAAGCCTGGCGCTCTGCTGCGGTAGCGGGGCGATCTACACATGGAGCGACGAGTGGGTTGGCGAAACCGAAGACGAAGATACTCTGGGCCAGCCGAATGAGGTCGCGGAGGAGATGGCGGAGTGCATAGGTGTTCCGGCTAGTCAGTGCTTTTTCCAATGCCTGTCGAAGAATCAAACCTCACCGGGGATGTAGAGAGATTTGATACGCGAGACATCAAATGGGCCCCCGATGGCAAAGGTTTGATCTTGATCGACAAAGATACCTTCTGCTGTGCATTCGAAGTCGAAGATCACGGAGGAGAGGCGGTTTGAAGGAGATCTATTTTTCTTGGATTGCAGAGTTTCGTGTATGAATGCAACTATAGTATATATACAAACTGGCAGCACATTATAGTCATTACAAACAGCAATACGGGTTCTCTACAACTACACTGGCTACACTTCCAGGCATACGTATGTGGGTAATGTCTGTGGTTTAACATCTGGTATTATGTGGTCTCGTCCCTTACCTGTTGTGCGGTTTCCCGCACCGGACTCGAGACTTCAATCAGCTCAATTCCGCCCTCAGACGCCTTCCGCCTCTCCTTCTCTTTCCTACGTCTTTCCTTCCTTTCCTTCCGTTCTCGCCGCTCTTCTTCGGTCATGTCCTTCTTGTCTTTCTTTTCCTTTTTCTTGTCCTTCAAGTGGTTGCTTGGGGCAGTCGGGAAGGTAACGACCATTTCAGAATCATCGCCGACCCATTTCTCCCCTTCAATCTCGGTGATCCAATGCCTGCCACGCGTGTTAGTATGGTTGTGAGCTATCCGGAGTGCGAGTTATGTCTACCAGAGTTCGCGGCATACCTGGCCAGGATGGCTTAGAATTAACCAATGATCAGCATCGAACTCCCTGGCAGGTATGTTAAGCCGTGTATACGTACAAGAACAAATAAGACAGATACCTGATCGTGACGTTCTGACAATATTCCCCAATTTTCGCCTTTGCTGCGGACGAGACCGCGACATAGTCCTTGGTGGCTCCGCCGAAGAAAACCGGGTGAGGCACGGTATAGTCCTCGCGGGGAAGTTCTGCGCGCCGGGCGGGGGGGGGGGTTACAATCAGTTCAGGAAACGCAGCGGACGAAGGAATCCAGCGAACTTCGATCATCTTCAGCCTCGACGTTGGTGGTGATCACACGGTACCAGTTCACGGCGCCAGCGAAGCCTCCTCTGAGCAAACTGCTTTTCATGACCTTCTTGTCCTAGAGAAACGTCAAAATGATCCTGGAGTATGGAGAAACATGCAGAGTCACCTCTTCTGTGAGATAGGGCGGAAGCGGTTCTTTGCGGTTTGCCAGCAGCCACGCCTTAAGACCGCCGAGCGGCGCCATGTCCGTCTTCCAAAATTCGGGGTCTGCAGGCCATGCGATGCTGAAGAACGAATCGAAATTGTGTTCAATCATGCGGTCGGCGCCTTCTTGCGACATGAAGACCCAGTAGCCATAGAGCTCGTAGCCGAGGGCAGCCTTGGAAGATTCGAGGATGGCCTGCAGATCGAACTGCGGGGCTGGCGGGACATAGCCTACGGCGAGGAAGGCGAATGCAGTGAAGCGTTCGGGAAAGTAGTTGGCTAGCCGTGAGGCAATCTTGGAACCCCTGCAGGCAATCAGGAAATGGAGGCAACGGCAGAGCTCGACGCATACCAATCGTGGCCGATGCAGATGGCCTTTTCCACGTTCTCGTTATTCAGGATTTCGATGATGTCTGCGCATATGAGACTCGACTTGTAGGATTCTGGCGCGGTGGGCTTGTCTGTGCCGCCAAAGCCAAGCATGTCGGGGACGATCAGGCCATAGCCCTGCTTCTGGAAGAAGAGGATCTGGTGGCGCCAGTCTGCGGCATACGACGTGAGCAACGACGCAAGGAGGGATGGAAAGGAGGGCGCGGACCATAGGAGGTGGATGGGAATCCGTGCAAGAGCAGGAGAACGGGCTTGCTCTTACTCGCGGGAGACGAGTGGTAGTAGTGATAGTTGAGGCCGCGGGAGGTGATGAACTCGACGAAATTGTCCTCGTCAAGAAAGGGAACGACGGGGTTGTCTGCAAACTGGGTTGTCTGTGAGCTGACGAGAGTATCGGCTGGCGCTGGACTGACCCTTGCTTGGACGGTGTTGATCAGCCACTGCAGCGGTTCCATGCCCGATGAGCGTCGGCTGAAGGGTTGTCGGACCCCGTCACGTGCCGTGCCGGCCACTGACGAATCTCGAGAGCGCATCGTCGTCGGGATCCCGAGCGCTCAGACACCGACCGCCATGTTCTCCAGGCCGCTCGCACTACCCGCGCGGCTGGCCGCTCGTCGCCCTCCCAGGCCCGCGACCATCCCGCGGGTCGCATGGGCCCGCCGTTTCGCGACGCCCCCGGGTGGGCAGAAGCCCCCGCAGGACGAGAAGAAGCCGGAGGAGGAACAGAACACGGATTCCAAGGGCCTCTCGGCAGAGGAAAAAGAGAAGTCCGCAGAGAAGGGAGCGCCGCAGAAGGACACCAACAAGCAGCAGGAAATATACAAGGGGCTCGAAGGCTTCTTCCAGCAGTACAAGCGGGAGCAGCAGGAGCAGCGGCGCCAGTCCCAAGAACCCGACTCGAAGGAGCGGGAGGATCCGTCGCAGAAGGACAAGCAAAGGAACAAGCCTCCTCCGAAGGAAGGCAACCCCAACCCCCTCGATCCCCGGCAACTCATCGTCCTGGGCACATCCCTCGGCATCATGTACTACCTCTCATCCTCCTCTTCCTCTTCTCGCGAAATCACCTGGCAAGAATTTCGCACAGCTTTCCTCGACAAGGGCTTGGTTGATCGTCTAGAGGTCGTCAATCGCACTCGCGTTGTCGTCAAACTTCACTCGAATGCGACGGGGACTATGTATCCCCATTCACCTCCTGGCGGCGGTGACTACTACTTCTCGATCGGCAGCGTTGAAGCCTTCGAGAGGCAGCTGGACAACGCGCAGCGGGAGCTCGGCATCCCCAGTCACGAGCGAATACCGGTCGCTTATCACGACGAGACCTCGTGGTATGGTGTGCTGGCCCCTTTCGTCCCCACCATCCTCATTCTTGCCGGCTCCTTCTGGATGCTGCAGCGGATGTCGAAAGGTGGCGGAGGAGGCGGAGGCGGTGTCTTTGGTATGATGAAGAGCCGCGCGAAGATGTTCAACAAGGAGACAGATATCAAGGTCAAGTTCAAGGACGTGGCCGGCATGGACGAGGCCAAGGAGGAGATTATGGAGTTCGTTAAGTTCCTCAAGGACCCCGCCAAGTACGAAAAGCTCGGTGCGAAGATTCCTCGTGGAGCCATCCTCTCTGGTCCGCCCGGTACGGGCAAAACGTTGCTCGCCAAAGCCACGGCGGGCGAGGCGTCCGTGCCCTTCCTTTCGGTATCCGGTTCCGAGTTCATTGAGATGTTCGTGGGTGTCGGGTCTGCCCGCGTGCGTGATCTGTTCGCTTCGGCACGGAAGAACGCACCCTGCATCATCTTCGTCGACGAAATTGACGCCATCGGGAGGAAGCGAGGCGGCGGCAACATCGGCGGAGGAGACAGTGAGCGGGAAACGACACTCAACCAGCTTCTTGTCGAGATGGACGGGTTCAATACCAACGAGCATGTCGTCGTGCTCGCCGGTACCAATCGGCCTGATGTCCTTGATCCCGCGCTGAAGCGTCCTGGCCGATTCGATAGGCAGATTGCCATCGACCTTCCAGACGTCTCTGGACGCAAGGGTATTTATCTGGTCCACCTCAAACCTCTACGACTCGCGGACAATCTTCCTGAGACGGAAAAACTTGCACAGAAGCTTGCCGTATTGACGCCCGGGTTTTCCGGCGCCGATATCGCCAATGTCTGCAACGAAGCTGCTTTGCATGCTGCTCGCCGAGGATCAGAGTTTGTCGAGGACCAGGACTTCACGAGTGCGATTGACCGCGTGATCGCAGGCTTGGAGAGGAAGAGCCGAGTGCTGAGCCCGCACGAGAAGAACATCGTCGCCCATCACGAGGCTGGACATGCCGTATGTGGATGGTTCCTGGAACATGCGCATCCTCTTCTCAAGGTCACTATCATTCCACATGGCGGGGGTGCCCTTGGATATGCGCAGGTGAAGTGCTACGTAACTGTTCCTATGGTTTCACGAGCTGACATGGATTACAGTATCTTCCACCGGACCTTTACCTGATGTCCATCCCACAAATGCGTGACCAAATGATTACAACACTCGGAGGGCGTGTTGCAGAGGAAGTCTTCTTCGGTCCCGAAAATATCACGACCGGTGCCCAAGACGATCTACGGAAGATCACCCGTATGGCCTTTGAGGCATGTGCGAACTACGGCATGAACAGTCTCATCGGACCAGTCAGTTATGGTGGTGCGCGAGGCCAAGAAGAAAGCTACACGAAGCCTTTTAGCGAGAAGACGGGTGAGATGCTCGACAACGAAGTCCGGAAGATGATCACGTATGTCCCACGATCATGCCTATTTAGCTTGCACTGATCTGCCGAAGCGAGGCTCACCGGATGACTACGGAGCTCTTGACCAAACACAAGGAAGACGTGAAGAAAGTCGCGAATCTGCTTTTGGAAAGAGAAGTAATCACTCGGTATGTCTCCTTGTATGATGCGCTTTGAGACGCCTGATTGCTCATTTTTATCGCGATGCAGAGAGGACATGATTGACCTTCTCGGAAAGCGGCCATTCTCCCGACCAGACGACATGGACAAATGGTTAGACGAAAACCATAAGCCGAAAGCGCCTTTGCCCTCCGCCGCCGAGCCCCTAGATCCTCCCCCGGAGAGCCTCGGTGGCCCGACTCCCCAGCCCAGTTTATTTTCGAGCTTAGATCGGAGGTCGTGATATACATGACGTGGAGGACTCAGACATCTCTTAACAACCATTGTATCCATATTATAATACACTACGCAATAGCATCACTCATTCCGAAAGGTTGGCTTGTCCTAGATTGCTTTACGTACATCTGGCAATCAAGTGACATACCGGAAGCCACTCCACTTATCGCCCTGTAAATTTTGAAGATCAACTCGGAGACGAGTATCAATACAGAAACTCGTACTTTGTCTCGGCGGGCCGCTAGGACTGATTCGTAGTGGCCGTTCTTCGTATCTGCGCGTTTGTTATCGACACCGACGATCACTTCATCTCGCTTGCCGGCTTCTCTGGCTTTGTTTTCTCTCTTGAGCAGTATCATAAAGACGGCAGAACAGATCCAGCCGATCGCAATGTACGCTATGAGGGGCTCGTCAGTCTCTGCTCGCTATAATCTCAACCAGAACTCACCGAGGACGATGCCATGGCCAAGGCTAACATGTGCTGAGCAACTGAAATCAGGTACGTAACATTCTGCTCACCGGTACCACGGCGCATCCTTTGCACGATACTGCAGAACAATGAGACTAGTAGACGGTTCCAGTTGGCCAAAGACAGCTACCACGTTCGATGTCACGGCACCATTTAAATTACCCCATCCGATTGCCATGGCGAGCGTCACACTGCGCTTATAGGATCCCTCTACATTGCTTGACAGCCAAGCTCTGCAGGGGGGTTGTCAGGAAGACCAGTGCACATAAAAGTCGAGGGCTGACTGACACTGAATTAGCTTCGTAACGGAAATGATGTTGTCAGCACATTTTCAATGAGAATGTACCATCAACGACGCACGGATGGTAGGATAGATTGACCTGTCGGTAACGGTATAGGTTATACCACCATGTATATGACTCCGATGGTGACTCACGCAGCAGCAAGATATACGGCAAAATATGAGAGCGCCGCGTTGCTTGAAGCTATGAGGATTATGTAGCCAACCAGTCCTGGTGGTTTCCGTCGATGATACGTATATTGACGGAGAACGGCAAATCTCACCTGTTCCAAATAAGCATCTGTGACCGTAGATCATGATCCACGATAGTCAGCTTCGATACCCCAAGCACCGAGAACAAGAATACAAATTGATGTAACCTCTCGATCCCAACCTGTCCCCAAGCATGCCAATGCCGACAGTCACAATGCAAGCCCATGCGTAGACAGGAACGGACAGTAAATTCGCCGCGGTGGCTTCGAACCCTATGGAAGGGTTTAGTAGCAAGCTCTCGAGGCGAACTCATCTTTCACACACCTAACTGCATGAGGATGCAAGTAAGTCATAGTCGTGCAACTATCGAGATAATGGACCGTACCTCCTTGATGATAGTTGGCGTGAATAAAGAAAAGGCGAACAATGGGCCGTCGAACCCCATATATATACCCACTGGTCCGTCGTAAGTTGACTGTCCAGCAGCCGATAGTAAACAACGATGACTCACTAGCTATCCATGTTTTCCAGTCTTTCAAACTCTGCCAGATATATTTGACCTTGAATTGCTCTCCACCAGCGCTGAGCTGCATATCCTCGCGCAGACGCCGTATGACGTAAACACCTGAGTCAATTTCAGCCATGCGTGCATCCAAAGATTTAAATTATTATACGTTGTGGTTCATTCAGGAACCGGGCCGTTTCGGGGTAATCTTGCACGATCCAGTACGCAACCACAGCGCAGACAACTGTGACCAACCCCTCGATGATAAATATCCATGCCCAGCCAGGTCTTCCACCGACGCCGTCCATGTTGGATATCGCGGCCGCGAGTAGACCGCCTTCAAGAAGCAGATTAGTGATCTGACAGCTCCGGCACGGTTATGCATACTAAAGGCTCCGGCGACAGTGGCAGATGAGAAGAAGAGGGCAACCCTTGTTCCCAGTTCTGAGTGTTTGTACCAACTATGGATGATTATCAGTCTTTTCACGGTTCCTTCCGGGTTTACAGTTCCCACCATGAGATATAGAAGACGATACCCGGATAAAGGCCGCTCTCAAAAAACCCGAGCAAAAAACGTAGTCCTAGAGGGGCAGTGTCAGAGGTAGCAAAGGCACACCCGCGATGCAGTCTGCAAACACTACCGATGAGGCCGCCGTAATTGTGGAGAACACCGTGTAATGTCATAACGATTCCCCAGAGGAGCATCAGAGAAGAAAGCCATACGGAGGGGCGCATACTCTTGAGAAGAACGTTGCTGGCGGGCTATGGAAAGGTAATCAAGGCAAGCACGAGTCCGCTGCAATGATCCGCGTAGTACCTCGAACAATGCGTATGGGAAGAAAAAGACCGTCAGTGCAATGAGATATTGACGGTCTGTGATATGCAGATCTTGCTCCATATGGTAAAGCTATCATAGGATGAGCATCTTGACAGGTCCGCGAATGCTCAAGATGATCTGACTAACCTTTGCGTTGCCTATCGCGCCTCGATCCAGGAAGCTGTAAAGCTGGAGTCACGGGTTGGAGAAAGCGCAACGTGGTAGATGCTTTACTTGAGGAGATAAAGCACCGCAAGACAAGGAATCACGCGAACGTCGATTTTTCGAAGTAATCTACGTTCGTCAACATGAGAAGTATCGACGTCCGGGCAATACAACTCGCTGGCTTCGGGAAGTGGCAGTGCATCATCGTCGGCCTTGCTAGTGGCAGAGTCGTTGAAGGGCATGACGGCGAGGAGTGGGCACCTGGGGAGAGCATAGACATTTATACGAACACAAGTAACTGAGTGAGAACCTGGGGATGCTTCCGTCATGCGTCCAGATACCTTATCAGCTCCAGAAGCAGCGGGTGAAAATTCCGCCTCTGCCGGACAAAGGGGCACTGTCAATTGCTGCTCACAGCCGTCTGGATAGTTAACAGCATCTGCAGAGAAAGACGTCAAAGCACCTGTGATCAGAGTGTGTGTCTGGTCCGCAATGAACACGTTGAGCAGCAGCGTGTAGTTCCGGTAGCCCCGATGGATGTCTCGTCATGACGCGCAGAGAACAAGAGAGAATACTACAAGAATGTTTTGCCATACAGGTCCTCGCCAACCACAGCCTGTAGAGGACGAAGCGCTCGTGCCAGGAACTGCTTTACATCTTCCGTCTCCATACCCGCCGCTCTCACTATATACCCGAGCTGCCCGGATATCGGGCTGAGTGACCAGATCAACGGCTCCGGTTGTGTCCTCTTGAAGACGGTCAACCGGTCATAGAGCGCCGTCAATTCTTGGATGACAGGCTGCAGGACAGGCCCGTAGAGGAGGAGATTCGCGTAGCATGAATAGGGAGATAGGCGTTCGCGAAGGCCGCGTGTCGAAAGCTGCGCAGGATGGTTGGATGGATCTTCGAGTAGCATGGCGTCCTTGGCAATGAGCTTTCCCTCGACCCATAGCTCGTTAACGCTGTGATATCGAGTAAACGCCCATTCTTCCCCGAGCGCCTTGCGACCCGACGTGAACCAATCAAGGATCGCGGCAGAGCCTGCTCCGGATAGATGGAATACCTGGGACTGATGGTACGAAGCTGACCGGAAGCAAGTCACTGGGTCGGGAAGGAGCAAGACCGTGCCATTTCCCTTCACTTCCGTCGTGAATGCCTGTGTCGTCGTCGCGGTGATATCCTGTGAAGCTCGACGACCGGGTCGCGTCTTGAAAACCTTCGTTGAACCCTGCGTCCAACGGTTATTTGATGGTCAGCTCGTACTGCGTGGAGATGATGTACATGCACACCTGAGATAACAGTAAGAGGACTGCGTCCCTTCCAACCTCAATTCGCACATCGATGGTATCTCCGCCCACCAGACCGCCGCCGTAAGATAGTATGTAGACCACAGCTACACCGTCAACTGACACTCGCGGAGAGAGAAGCTTGAGGGGGTACTTTGCCGACAATTGAGAGAATTTAGCAGCGGAGCCATGACATTCGAGCTTGATCAATCCTCGACCACTGCTATCGGCATTCAGCAATGGATCGGCGATCATGATGGCCGGACTGTATTTGGGTAGTCGTTCGGTGCTTAGGGCCGGTCAAGGCTGACGATGGTCAAGATAGAAATGATTGCATATGGTCATAGGAGGTCATGAGCAGGTAATACATGGCTAGAGAGGGAGGAAACAGAGATGGAACGAGAGACAGCAGTACGAGACAAGGAAAGATCGCAGTCAGCGTTCAGAATGAGAAACGATGGGGGTAACGGGGGAACCAGACAACAAAACGAGTACGAGTACGAAGCGAAGACGAACAGCAGGCCAATGGGATATAAGAGACAGACGGACACTATTAGTAGAATCAATATTTCCGCGTTGCCAATGCGCGGATCTCGTACAACCATGTTCGTGGCTCAGGCTCAACCTTGGGTCGTAACCTCCACCCGTGAACTTCCGTCCGGTGCCTATCTTCTGCAACGTGACACTTGTCCGCGAAGTCATCATCAACGTCGTACACCATCGACGCACGCGACCCGCGATCACTTCCGGACTCTGATATGGTCCGGGTATGACTCCGCGCAGGACTGGGAGGCTCATGGCTACTGCTCGCCGATGAAGTGGCGCTGCGATCCGGGGTTGCAGTCGCAGAACCACCGGTTTGATGATGTTGGTTCGCGCGGATAGTACCGCCTTTGGTCTCCCAGCCATCGCCATCCTCTTCATCATCTGCAAGGTCGGCAAATACGTCGGGCTCTTCTTCCTCTGGCGGCAGGGTCGATATCCAACACATGCGATCCGGGTCGAAAAACATGTTGCCCACGATGCGAGCACCGGAAGCAAGAGAACCGACAGGGGAGCCCACTGATGACCCGGTCAAGTGTGTGATGAGGGCAGGCCTGGTGGATGTTCCGACAGCCGCGTCGAAGTCGCGAAGGGCTTGATCATTCCCCTCCCATCGAAGGGTTTGGGGATTCCACTTCATGTCCCCCACGACTAGCATAACAACCTTAGACTTGGGTAACGCCGAGTGCAAGACTGTGCGTACCTTTCGGGGCGTTGGAGCCGCCGAGGTTCCGTATCAGCGTAGGCTTGCGTGGAGTTGCGTTAGCGGGCGATTGATGTTTCTTCTTCTTCTTCCTGATAGCTTCCGAGCTTCCAGATTTTGCGGGAAACTCTATGCCGCCAGTTTTCCTGAGCGTTGGTTCACCTGAACACATTCAGTGTTTTGTGACGATAGATGGAGCTAACAACGACGCACCTGTGGACGAATCAGATTCGCGGGGCGCTTTGCGCCGCATCGTACCCTTATGGGCATCTTCATCGAAAGTCCTGGTAGAATAGCTGCCGCCAGGCACGCGATTGCCGTAGCCGGTGGGTTTGACGCGGAACTTGGCCTCCTTATCGCGGTCCGTCGGCAGATCATCGATGGCGTCGAGCTCGGTCCCATCGCCATATGTTCTGGCGCGCTTTGGTTTGCGAAGCATCTTAGCAGCGGAAGAGGGAGGTGGACTCTGTACAAGAGCTGGCCGGTTGGCGAGTGTGGAAGATGGCCGTCGAACGACGGGAGACGCCGGTCGTGCTCCGCTCGAAGAGCCTGAGGCGTTGGGAAATACTGAAGAGATGGCCGGACGGGATTTTAAACGAGTTGATGACGTCGGCAGTGTCAGTCGGATCGCCACGGGGTTGGCCGATGGTGTGGTCGGTCTAGTTGGTGGTACGGTGTAATCGAGGCCGGTCATGCGACTGGTCGAGCTATGCGTCTTCGCGCGAGAGGCGGCGGTGTGGGTTTCGTATCGAGGCAATGCGGTGGACCCGGAGGGCACGCCCGAGCCTGGCACTTGAGCTTGCCTGTTGTCTGTGAGCGAGGATAGGGATGCCTTCCTAATTAGCTTTCTTTGCGACGGCGGAGACGGTGGCTTGAGCCCCGAGTGGGACTTCTGGCCACGGAGGCTGCCAGGCTTCGGTGATAGGAATGATGCGGATGGGGCGGGTGGGGCAGAGGCAAGCGCCTGGAAGGTCTGGGCACGAGTAGGTTGAGCGGGGCGGGACGGGCCAGAGGGGGTGAAGGTGGTGGGAGAAGCTGCGAGCTGGCGTAATTGGCGCACAGAAGAAGGTGGAGGGTTTGTGGGAGATTTGGCCCTGTCCTGACGAAGGCGGGACGGTGGCCTCAACGCAAGAGGTGGCCTTGATGGGGCACTTTTCGACCGCGCCTGTGCCAACCTCATTCTCGATTGCTGTTTGTTATGCAGCAACCTGCTAGGGCTGAACTTAGCCTCGTCGTCAATGACGAGACCAACCTCGAAATCATCCTCGGGATCTGGCGAGGCGACCTTGATCCGTTCGGCAATCGCAGGCAACTTTTTCTTCATCTCCAATACCTTGGTCAAGTGCTTCACTCCGTGTCCCGAGTCAAAAAGCCCCGAAGGGATGACCAGACCGTCCAAAACGCCTTCCTCTTCCTCCTCTTCTGATTCTGTTTCGGGAAGAGACGCCGATGAGGCAGACGTATAATTTGAGGATGGTGGTGTATCGGCGAAGCCGAGAGAGGTGAAAGCGTCAGAGGACTGGGAAGAAGACGTGTGGTCTTTATCCGTCCACTCGAACGAGCTCTTCGATGAGCGGTGATGCAGCGATGCAGGGCGGAGGGAAAGCTGCGTCATATCTTCGGGGAGAGCAAAGGCGGACTCCATGTCGTCGTCGACGGAGAGAGAGGAAGGTGCATGGGGTTTTGGTAGTTCGCTGACCTTGATCGTTGAGATGCCTTCGTCCTCGTCACCTTCCCCAACGTCTGCGTTGGGCAGGGGCGGACGTATGGTTATCATCTGCGGTCGTTTCGACGTCTCCGACCGTGCTGCCATTTCGTCCAGTACGGCTCTTGCCTTTGCCCCTGCCGTCTTCCCGAGGTCCATCTCGAGGTCCCAATCCTCGTCCCCTTCCTTATCGGACTCGAGGTCGGGCGTGTGAAGGGCGGCCCCTTCGGGCAGATCGAAGTCAGCATCTGGCCATTCTTCGGCGTCGACAGTGTGTCGATGTGAGGGCGTAGGCGGAGTGATGGTGGTCAAGAGCGGCATGAGTGTGTAGACTAAAGCCTGCGAGCTGCGTCAAGCGTCGGGGGCGAGTATAAAGTAGTGTGGGTCGGACTGATGATGGGTGTTACAGGGACGAGAGGAGCAAAGAGAAAAGCAGAGTAGATAAAGGACTGTGGGTGGTGGCTCGGACTATTGTTGGTGGGCCAGCTTGAACGGAGAATGGGCGAGTTGGGGCAACAAACGATGCCTCGTGTCGACGTTTGCGGGCGGTGGGCGGATGGAAGAGGCGTGCGAACATTCGACAATGGCGCGTGCTTTGTTTGCACAATGGCCGCTCTCAATTAATCCGTTCCGTGTTCAGTGTCAGTACATTCGCCTCAATATGGACGCAACCGTCGCATCTCCCTCGCCCGCTCCTCGATCTCCTCCTCGCCATAGTCTTCCGACCGTGACGCGGGGGCCCAGTGTACAGACCCAGCCGGTGATGATGTAGCGACCTCGTCCAGACCCCTGCGAAGTCGCAACCCGCGCTCGGCCATCGTTTCTACGAGGCTGTCCAACTCCGCTGCAGTGAACGTAGAGCGCAAAGGCCCAAACGCCAGTAAATACAGTTCTGCATCGCGACAACGTTAGCATCGCATGAGACCTGTTCAGAAGCATCAACGTACGTTTATTGAGAGGGCATTCGGCGACCGCCCGGTACAGGAGGTTCTTCGCTCGCACGAACTCGCCGCAGCGAATCTCGAACTCGAGATATATCCTCCATATCACAGCACTTCCGCGCGTTCTAGTACACCAGCATCAGTTCAACCCCGGGAGAAAAGAACAGTTGTATGTACTGACCGGACATTTTGCACGGCTGCGGACAATCCACCTCTGGTTCTTTCCTTCTCTTCGTCCCATCGCCCCCTTTCCCACCCGGCAATCAAGACCTCCGCCACGCGCCGCGCCACGTCCTTCTCTTGGACAACGCCGTTGACCGCCGTTTCCCCCAGCACACCACGCACGCGACCCCACAGCCCCTGCCCTTTCTCCGCCTCAAGGAACATGCCTAGAATGATCGTGTTTCCAGGAAAAGCTTCTACGGCCCTGTAGAGGCGTTCACGCAGGATAGAGGGAGGCATAGGGTTCCGCAGTACGATGGAGTGGTGATAGAGCATGACAAGGGACGCAATTGTCAAACTCTCGCGACGACGACCCTCTCCGGTGCCCTCCGTTTCCGAGAGGTGGGCATCAAATACCGCCATGGCTGATTTGTGCGAGGACGTGAGCAACTCCAACAAAGCCTGTAGCTTGATCCACGATTCCCTGTCTTTCCATAGTCCATCTCGTACATGGTCAACCATTTCCTCCAAGGAGCGTTTGGTGCGGAGTAGGCCGACACCGGTAAAGCTTCTGATACCGACAGCGCGAGAGATGGCATGCATTGCCGCGTCGTTGTCCCCATTGATCCATTCCGCTTCAGCGTAATCCCAGATAAGTTGCACGGCATAAGGTGTTGTCGCTGAGACATTGGTTTCGCTCAGCACAACCTTGTAAACCTTGCGAGCATCGTCCATGCGACCACGGATGCGTTCCAACCGCGCATGCACAGTCCAGCGTTGCACAGAATCAGGCGTGTCAGCTAATAAGCTTTTGGAAAGTTTGATGGCACTACTTGAGCGATCAGCACGTACCCATGTTCACTGAAGAGCATGAAGCACTTGCCTCTTCACGTCGATGCACGCTTCGAAGGCAAGTGCCAGAGTATCCCATTCGATGTCATGTGGACCGCAACGGCAATGTTCGAAGACTCGTCTTACCAAATTCACGTCAACATCTTGTACGTCTTCTAGCGACCACCACCTGAGACCCCCTTCCCTCGACCTGTCCGATTCACGGAGCCGGGTAGCGAGGCTATCAAGGGGACCAAACGTATCGCGCCCCCATGATTTAACAGGCGACCAAGGTCCGCACGACGCGTATTCCCGTTCTCTTCCTACCAGAACGCCGGCATGTGAATCTGCTGTGATACGTCGCTTGGCCATAGTTGCAGGTGGGAATATAGCGGAGAGATGTGATGGGGTTGCCAGATAGCTGCTTGCCCATCGATCATCAGTCGATGAGGGGCTCATAGCAGTCGTTAATCCTGGAATAGGCAATCCAAGGTCGGACAACCAGCACAAACGGAAGATCAACTTGGCCTCCCGGGTAGTCAGCAGGCTGAGCAGCGGTTGTACTTCCGAAAACATGATGACCGAGTAGGGGTCAGCATCATTGCTCGTATCGTGAGCAGAACGCTTGGGAAGGTTCAAGTGATGGTCACTCAAATACTCCTCGGTAGCCCATCGAGCGTAAGGGTCGGATGTCGTGACGTCCGGTGCTGGAAGTGGTACAGTCTGCACGAAGGCGCGATGCTCGGGCCGTCCTCCGCTGACCCAAGCAGCCCAACCTCGGGCACCCTCGTCGCCGAGGCGCGGATGCTCCGAGTCCCAAAACTCTTCCAGAGCACCAAGCTGGCGTTCGAGAGGTAGACCATAAAGAGACTGCGGGATGCCGAATGTTCTGTCGAACAGTTGAGCAAGAAATCAAGGAGGCGGGCAACTCGGGCGTACAATTCTGCCTGCGCTTGAAACACTGCTGTAGCTCGCTCAGAGAAGCCAGCATCTCGGAAAGCCACAGCCACTCTCCACAATACTCTCAAACGACCGATTTCATCCAGATGCAAAGCCCTCACTGCCCGTACTGCAGCCTCGAGGATCCCGTCCATGCCGCGTGCACTTCTTCTTATACTCCAATCCAGCCATTCTATCCAGAGGTCCGCCTTGTCCGCGCCTCTCCCTGCATTTTGGATTGCTTTCTCCCACACATAGTTGACTTCTCCTGCCTCCAGCAGTTCTTCGTGAGCAGCAATGTACCTGAGCCACAGACTGACGGAATGGTTGTTTTCTGTGGAGGCCTTGAAAGCACGGTCCAAGACGGTGATGGTAATCTCGGCCCGCGCTTTCGTTGCGTCCTTCGACAGAGGTGGGATGGTCGACAGAGAGAACGCGAGGATGTCGAACCACGCAGACAAATCGGAGGGATCTTGCGAGACCTTCTGTTCGGCCGCCTTCACTGCAAGTTGATGACTATTGAGATGGATGCCGTCCTCGGAACCTGAGTCATCCTGAGAGCCACTGGAATCGCGAGAGTCACCATCAGACGAGCTATCAGATTCATGGCTGCCTTCAACGCGGCCAATCGATCGGTAGGCTTGGTTGTGATAGGCTGCACGAGAAGAGGGGAGGCGGAGAAATCCGTCGATTTCGTTGTACTTGTATTTGGATCCTGACAATGCCGCGTAGCTGCGAACGGGTGGTGCACTGAGCAATTCACGAGTTGCCTTGTCGGTGAGAGCGGGTTGCTACGTAATGGAGGGTCAGCTATCAGTTAAATACGACTTCATCCTAGCTTAACTCACTCGTCGACGATTCCCTAAGCCGATTTCAATGCCCTTCCGTCCACGATGCACCACCTTGAAAGCGTCACCAAGCCCAAGGATGGTTCTTCCATCTTTTCATCATTAGCCATCCACAGTGCAGTTGAAAGCGGGCTTACGGTTTAACAGCCGGTACTTCGGGACATCACCTGCATGTAGACCTCCATAATGCACATTCAAAGGATCGCCTTTGCGGTCTGTGATGTACAGAGGTCGCGTGCGCGGCTCGATGCCTTCAAGTGCGTCCTGCCGCAATGACTGAATGTGGTCCTCTGTATCCACATCAGCAAGTCTTCCATGCCGTTCGTGCTCTCTTCCTCGATGTTTCTTGTCCCGGGTCTTAGAACGATGGACATCAAGCTGCCGACGTTTCTCCTTGGGAACATATTCGCCGGGACCAGTAGTTGCTTGAACCTCGTCTGTGGACGATTGGCTACGGCGTACCGATTTGTTCTGCTGGGAATGTTGCTGTCTTGTATCCGCATCGGTAAACGAGCCAAAGGAAGGTGGAAAGGACGAGAAGGACGGCGCGGCCATGTGCGCGATTAGATGCAGGTTGAGGCACCCTGAGGGTTAAACGTTCTGGACCTGAGGGACTCTGAGGGGGTGTATTCACTAGAAACATGTGATCCATTGAATTCGGGTTACAAGCTTTTCGAGATCGTTGGCGTTCCTTGAAGACGCTCGACAATGCGGCCCCTGACCGAAGATGAGAGCAAGGCGGTCTTCGCCAAGCTTGCGAACTATATCGTGTGCCTCGCTTCTGTACTGTTGGCTGGTTTTTTTGCTGAGCATGTTATAGGGCAAGAATCTCGTTCACTTGATCGACCGTCCCGACGAGACCTACTGCTTCCGCCTGCACAAAGACAGGGTATACTATGTCTCGGAGTCATGCATGCGCATGGCCATCTCTATTGCTAGGCCAAATCTCATTTCACTTGGAACATGTCTTGGTAAATTCTCCAAAAGTGGCAAATTCATGTTGCACATCAGCGCGTTAGACTGGTTGGCGCAGTATGCCAAATTCAAGGTCAAATCAAGGCACCTTACAACCGGCACTCCCTCACTCACAAAATTTCAGGTCTGGATCAAACCGAACGGGGAGATGCCCTTCCTGTATGGGAACCATGTTGTGAAGGCACACCTTGGTCGAATAACGGAGGACACGCCGGAACACCAGGGCGTTGTTGTATATAGCATGGACGACAAACCTTTGGTACGCCATTCAATCTCTGCTTGAACTGGTATTCATCTGGAAGCAGGGATTCGGTGTGACCGCACGGTCAACGATTGACACGAGGAAACTGGATCCAACGGCTATCGTGGTATTCCATCAAGCGTACGTATTGTGTCTATATGTTGTCACTCTGGCTGACCATACAACTCGAACTGATTAGTGATATTGGCGAATATCTTCGAGACGAGGTATGCTATAAAGCTTTACTCCGACTAAGCTGACTCTGCTTCTCAGGAAACATTATTTTAATGCAATGAACTGTCCTTCAATCATCAACATGGATGTATCGGCGCTAGAACTCACGGTCAATCCGATTACTATCCTCCACGGGTGTATAAGTAACGTAGATCTCGACTACCTTATACTCTACATATATGTTCCCTCATGTGGCTGTGCAACCTCAGCTGTTTGTGACGTGCACCCTGTTGTGCTCAGCGCTCGACAATCATGTCTTCATCTGACTTGGCACGCGAATGGCTCGCTCTTGACGACGAAAAGGTTACGGCAAAGGATATATCGGACAAGCTTGAACGGATACCCGACGACAATTGGGTCGTGACTGCATGTACCGATCGTGTCCTCGACGACCCTGCGCTCCAGCGCACTCTGCTTGAGCTGGGCATCAAGCGCACCGACCGAGCCTGCGAGCGAGCAAGGGAGGCTTACGACCATCCGATTGGTGCCGACGAGGAAGACCTATCCTCTGTGGACGCTCTGTCCGACGATGCGCGGAGAGATTCTCTCGTCTCCCATTTCCTTACACAGTCAACTGATGCAAGCTTGTGCTTCTTGCGTGGTGTTCTTCTAGAGCGACTGGAACGGCTCAACTCATACATAGAGCTACGCAGAAGCCTACCCGATTACATACACGATGAAGACGTTCTGGATGAAGAATGGGAAGACGATCCGTGGGCAGACGACGGTAGCGAAACCCTAACGAAACCCAAACGCTCGAATCCTCCTCCTGCACCCCTACTCCCGCTCTCCCAGTTCCTGGTTCAGGGCCTGGACGAGATAGTCCACTTTCTTGCAAGCCAATGCTATTTTGGCGCCGTCAGGCACCTCGTGGAACGTTTCCGCCCCCAATTGTGGCCCTATCGACTCCTTATATTGGAAGTTATACCCGAATATGCGCAGCCATCAGACTATCACGACATCCTTCCCTCTTTTGACGCGTCGGCGAATACGGAAGAGCGGGTCATGTCCAGTGCTGTGAAGGATGTTGACTGGTCAGAACTGGACGTTGTCAAAGCCGCTCTCCTCGATCACCGGATTCATGTACCCCAGCATTACCTTATCCCCTCCGCCTCTTCCCACAGCAATCAAATTGCATCTGAACCGCTGTCCGCCCATGAGCTCCATCAATGGTATGAGCGTCGAGTGGATGCTATCGTAGCAGCTACAGGCATGATCGACATTGCTCTGAGCCTGGTCCAATACGGGGCATCACAGGGCGTACCAGGTCTCGAAAAAGTGGGCGAGGAACTATCTCTCATGTCCCGTCTGTTCTACGATGCACCACGCTCCCTTGAGATTCCTACCGACATCTCCGACTGGACGCTGATGCATTGGCGGAACATGGAACCTCCAGATATTATTTACGCATACCTGGCTCGGTCGACTCCATCCTCACTTCCCCGAGACATCCGCACACTTGTCATGCCCTACCTGTTCGTGCTGGAAGCGAGGGCCGAACGATGTGGACAGCCGGACCCTACGCTTCCGCAACGGATGCTCGCTGAATATTTACTCACTGCTCCACTCAGCCTGGTGGCGTCCGTCTTCGAGGCTTCGAAACCCACCCTGCCAGCAGCGCAACGCCTAATTCGCGATGACGAGGACCTCACGCGTCTGGCCCTAGCATGCTTGTATGGGAGTAATAGCTTGGATGAGTGGTCGACGATGTCAAAGATTTTTGAGTGCTTACCGGCCTGGGACATCCAAGCGACGGATGGGGATGAGGAAGACGAGGCAGAAGCGACGATCACAGCACTCGGCTCATTTGTTATGCCCTCCACTACTCGCCCGCAATGCACCGCCTCTGATCTGCTGATATTCTTCAAACCCCTCCCTTTGACATCCCTGTCCCGTCTCCTCGATATCCTTGACGTGCACTTGGAGTCTGGAGAGACGTTCGCCCGCTGGAATGTTCCCGCGCCCCTTCGCTGGTTCCTGCAGAGCAGAAGTGATGTGGCCGAGCAGAGGAAATGGGCAAATCGGATGGCACGACGCGCCGGAGCTTTCGGGGAGCGCGTCGATACACAGGACCAATGGGCGGACCTACTGGACGATATGCTGAAGCTTAACAATCAGGCAGAAGGGGAAGTCAGAGGTGCTTTCAACCTCTTAAGCAGAGAAGAAGTGATCCGAATTTTCTTCAGTGGTCTCATCAGCTCAGGAGGTAAGCGGCTTGGGTTCCACGTGTGATTATTGCTCACTAGTATGCTCTTTATGTTTAGACTTCGAGGTTGCTCGAGCTGTTTTGCAATCCTCTAGGGCAAAGCTCAATCTCGATCCCACAACCATTGAAGACATATGTTTATCTTGTTCTCATGAGTTCTACGACAACGCTACGTCCGGCAATTACAAATTCGGGGAAATGAAACTGGCGTACGATTGGTACGTGCTTACCGTTGTCGTTCGCTTCGTCGAGCCTGAAGGTTTTCGAACAGTCTGGATCTTCCTTCACCATCTGAGCGCCTCGCATCGGAGAAGGAGTTCATCGAGGCGACCTCCCGCATCTCCTCGTTCAATGTGATGTCACGCCCCGGTATTCCTATCACGCCCATCGAGATACGGCTGACGAAAGACCGACTGTCGTTGGTCTCTCGCGTTTTGTCCAGTAACAACGATGCTTACAAGCATACTCAAGTTATTCTCGACCTCGTTCACAAGCTTGGTTTTCGGGACGACCCGGCCGCGGAAGTAAAGGCTCTGGCAATGATTGCGGACACCGCGCTGCAAGCGGAAGACTTCAGCCGCGCGTACGAAACCAGTGAACGCATGGTTCAGACTTTGCTTGAGCTCAGAGCTTCCACCCCTGTGGGAGTTTCTGATTCTACTGTTGAAGAGGCGAGTGAGGTCTGCTGGGTGGCTTGTTTCCAGCTTGGACGTCAACCCGAGTTCAGTGACATCGAGAAGAAGATGTTGCTATTGGGGCATGCACTCGAGTTGTGCCCTGCGGATAGGCTCCCTGACATCCTTAACGCGTGGCGTCGTCAAGAGGAACAACAAATCGAAGAACGGCATAATTACATTGCTAGCAGAGCTGAGAAGGCCCGGCCGTCCTCCATTGAGAGAAACCAGAGAACAAGCACGCCTATTAGCGCCGCCTCCATCATCGCTTCGCGCCTCAGCGAATTACATATGCCTAGCCTTCCTCCATCACCACTGATAGGCGCCCCGGACGCCGCAGCCATAGCAAGCAAGACTTTCAGCCGCGTCGCCGGTGTGGCATCCCACTTCCCTTTCTCTGTTGGTAGGAGAGACCACTCGGCCGATTCAAAACGCAGCGGACGAGACGGAAGCACGGACTCAGCTCGGCGCACGAGGCCAGACAGCAGCGATGTGACTACACAAGCATCTCGTGCTTTACAGAAGGGCATGAGTTGGCTCATCGGTACAGACGGGGAATGAGTAATTCACTGTAACCGGAGTACAATAGCCACGAGAAGTCATCGCTATGCTTTAAACTACATAGGGAGGTTATTAAGATTAGCTGTGAGCGTGGACATAGCATTACGATCGTCGAATGAATGAACCGAATACAGACAAAGAACGCCGTCTATGTTACATACACATATTATCCATCGGTCAGTTCGATCTATCCCCATCTTCTTCGGGTTCTCGCGCATCGAACCCTCCCACTGGCTCGTACGTGGCCTCCCTCAAATCCTTCCGCCAAACATATCTGACTCCTGCGAAGAACATCACAATGACTATAACGCCAATGGCGCCAACCAGGATGGGAGCCAGATACTGCCGATACCATGTCGGACGGTAAGGAATGAGTAACCTGTCTATCTGGATTACCCCTCCGGACTTGGTGGATGGCGTCGTCGTTCGGCCCCACGAGAGAACGTTCGCCCAATCCTCAACAGCAGGAGTGCCGCGTGCACCCTTGATGCCGATGATGTAGGTGCCTTCTTGATCCCTAAACACTACATCTCCATATGAGGAGAATTTGGTGAGCAGCGTGGAGTACGTGACTGCGTCCGAGATCAATAAGGGTTGGTTGTTGTTGAGCGCGCTGAAGACAGTCTCGTCAGAGCCTTCAGCTGGAGTAGTGGAGTACGTCGGAATGATATGCTGGCCAACAATATCTCGCAGCTGATCCAAGTCAGCATATAGGCGCGTGAGGTTGATGCCTTTGAACGAGCTGTCTGTTGGACACAACAAGGTCCACGCCACGCCTTTGAACTGCTCGTCAGCCCAAGGCGAGTCCGCGGGGGGTGAGGTTCCATTCAATATCCACTCCATCCCTACTTTGCTCAACATAGTCGCCATGATCGTTCCTTGGGCGGCCTTCACCAACTTGCCCACCGTTAACTGGACGGAACGAGGGATGAAGAGGTCCGAGACTTCGTGCACCACGCCCGTCTGGGTAAGCATGTTCCTGGGCGCAAGTTCGGACTTCATATTGCTCCAGCCACCGCTTGGAGACAAATAAACGGTGCCGTCCTTGATGCGTTCCACGCGAACATCGGAACCCTCGAGAGTAGGGTACGTGTGGGTAGACCCGTTCACTAGGCTGTCTGCGTATTCCACTCCTGCTATGATGTGGTGGGTGATGACACGCTTCAAGTCCGTTTTGGAGGATTCGGTTAAGAGGTAGGCGCTGACCAGGCCGCCTACTCTTTTGAACGCATCGTTATGCGGGATCATGAAACTAGTGCGACGCACGGTCTTCAGCAGCTCTGCCATATTCGTTGAGAAGACAGCAGCAAGAAATGTCGAAAGGTCAAGAGAAGGCAACGCGGTCTGCAGCGCATCGACCGGCGGAGTCAACGGCCTTGAAACAAAGTAAAATAGGGCGTTCTTTACTTCCACTGCGAATGAAACGTTATCATTCGGCCAGGCGATATTTATTGTGTTTCTGACCTGGATCCCCAATTACGCCGGCGCCGCCGAATCGCACACTGCTCTCAACCTTCCCCTTCTTGTCCGCGTCATTGACCTCTATCGCTAAAACTTGGCGGCCTCCATCGAGACCCCGCTCCTTCAATGCTGTCTCAAGGAGCATCCCATCCTGTAATTTCCCCTGCTTCCACTTTTTTGGGATGAAATGGTACTGTAGTAGTCTCTTCAGCTCCTCGGTGCCAGGGTTAGGCAGCTCATCGTCCCCGAAAACCGATATGATATCGTCTTTGGGGGCAAGAATAGTATACTCCGCAGTCGTATCATTGATGAGCGAGGTCAGGTTGACAGAGTGGAGGAGGGAAACGAAGGAAGTGCAATTCAATGCAAGAAGATATTTCTCGGGGGTGAGTTCCAAAGCTCCAGGGGGCACCAAAAGAGACGAGACGGTGTGGACGACACCGTTCGCCGCGTATATGTCAGGTTCAACCAAGTCCGCTCCTGAAACGAGAACCTTTTCAGGAGACCAGACAACTTCAAGCTCGTTGCCCGACATGGTCGTTACTAATACCTCGTCAATACGGTGTTACGACGGTGGACTGTCCACTCACAGTTGACACCAGGGTTGAATGACTCGGACCATACCACGCCCTTGTGAACGGCGTGCATGTGAAGGATCCGATACAAATCATCGGTGGCGTAGTCGCTTTCAAGGTATAGACGTTCTATTGGATCCAAAGCGTTCCAAGCAGCATCCACAGGCAAGAACAAAGTCATCTCCTGCGTGTTGTTGAGGAGGGACTCCAGCTCCGCATTCAATATTCTGTGGAAGTATGCGACAGAAGGGTGTTGTGACACCACTGTGGCTGTTGACGAGGTCATTCGCGCTCGGGTGATCGCAAGGACAGCTGGCTCACCCAAATCAGGAGGGACTTGCAGAACGTCACCGATCCCTACTAATATTCCATTGTCGACGCTGACAGGATCGCCCTTGACGATTTGAGCGCCGCCGTTGCCGAAGGCATCAACGCCCACCCACCCTTTCGAATCGCGAGATGCGACTCTAAGGCGCTGAGGTTCCCCGCCTAGGGTACCTCCTGGGATGGGAAGCCATGGAGGGGAGGGGGGTGGCTCCGGTGAAGGATGCTCAGTCGGTTGCCGAGGGTAGTGAAGAGTCTTCTCGACGCGAGGGTCTTCGGTTGTAGGCAGTGAAGGCAGGGAGTAGTTAAGTAGGTGGTAGAAAAGCTCTTGACGTAACTGCTCATTGACGTTGTCCAGTGAGTCCTGATCTTCTACGAGGGCCGCCTGCCAGAGGGGGCTGAATGATGCATGTTTCTTTATTGCTTCGTTCGTGGGCGCCCATAGGGTGCTTCCGTTGAGCTTGTTGATTGTTGGAATAAGTCGTGCACGCTGAATCAAGCGAAGGAGTAGTTGGTAATCTGGGTCCTGATCCAGTGCGTCGACGAGGGTGTACGACGAAGCACTTGGTTCTGAATAACCATACAAGGGAATCTGAGAGCATGTAGCTCGAGGCAGCAACAGCAAGCAGGCGCTAAGTCCTGGCGTCCAGAGACGCATCCTAGCCGGGGGGTATTATGGCTGAGGACGAGTAAGACGAGCCAGGGTTGATGAGCGACAAGGAGTGCGTGGTTATGTGTAGGAGAGGGTGTTGCAGCGGCGCAGTCCGTCTGCGCGTCATGCCACGTGCATGTGCTCGGGCAGTGTAACGTTACTGCAATGTAAGTATCACTCAAGTTTCATCGCATATCCTGGCATGATCATCCCCGCCCTCAATCACCTACCAAGCTTGAAGTTGTAGCAGCCATGCTCGACATCCTCCGCGATTATGCTCAGGCTGCTACAGGAGACATACACTACCTGGCTTTGCCCAAGGAAACGTTGTTGGTACGCAAGCCGTGTTTTTGTCGCGAACGCGCACTCAATGTCCCCGCCATAGGTTCACCCCTTCGCAGACACCGTCGTCATACGCAATGCCAAGACTCTTATGCTCATTCGCGTCTTGGCCTTCTGGGAGGCGTTTCCCGGAACGAGACACTCAAAGGCGTCGATCACCAGCATCTCCGTCGACGCCGCCATGAAGCTAGTGCGCGCCGGGAATGTCATCGTACCGCACATTCTTCCTGATATGCCCTCATGTGTAGATAGTAGCCGTTATGCAATCGCGGGTTGCAGTCTGGTCTCTGTCTAGCGTGAACGCAGAGAGTGGTACATGGCGTTTGCACTCATCCTTAGCCCTGCCAGAGGGCCAGGACGTGCACTCCGTTCACTGCCAATCCGGTGCGTTGGTAGTGCCTCGGGTATGAACCTCCGCTCATCTGTGCTAGGCCTCCTTGCTCTGGCGAGCCGGTCAGGACTTTCCGTACACACGCTCAGCTTGGAGAATGACCTTCCTACGTGGTCGGCGAAGTGGAGAAATAGGCAAGGGATTGAGTATACATCAAAGGATGACATTTGACGGACACCGATAGAGCTGCTTCTTCCCAAACGATCGTTCGTCTATCGCCGTCGCTCTCGTATATAGCTTCAGCGTGTTCGGCAAGTGGAATCCCTACCCCATTCAGACATTCTACTGACGACATGTTATCAAAGGCGGACAACAAGCTTAGACTGCACAACGCGACGTCAGGGCGTTTGCTACAGATCATGCCTCATCCCAGGACCATTGTGCGGCTGATATGGAGAAAGTCGTCACATTCTGATAGGTTTGCCATCCCGTTCCTGTGGCGCGCATCACCCTGATCGCTTTCCCCAACTCAGGCAGGATCTTATTCTGTACACGATCACTCTGGACTCGGTCATCCGGGTTTTCCTGCCGATTCTAGATTCGCCCCAGCGCCTTCAACTTCATGCTACTATCGACGTGTATTCTTCCGTCCCTCTATCCGGCTTAGACACCGCGGATGCAACCACAGGTATACACTCAGGAGTAACATGGCTGGACCATACCATCATATCGGATTCCATACGAACTGTCCAGAAGACTGTTAGGGGCCATGCAGGACACGACGAATCAAGCACGCTCAAGAGACTGCAGGACATCTTGGAAGATTCGTGGGATCTTTTCTTGCGGATACTGCAGGACCGCTCAGTTATCGTAACTGCAGTGACAGTCAGTTTGAATTTCACTTCTCTTTGGATTTAGTGTTAACTAATCGCATCAGAACCTCGATAGGAGACCGCCAACCCTACTCCGACAATTAACACTCATGCACTCTGGTCCATCGTTCTATCATCGCATGCCTGCTTCGCCGGATATGCTCCTCCTGCCCAACAGTCAGAACCCCGCAGCGCCCATTCTTGTGCATAGCTCACCGCTTGCCAGCTACGAAATTGACCTTCTCTCCTTCTTTGATGCTCAGCCACGCGGATTGCGCCAGCATGGGATGACCCACAACGATGGTCCAAATGCCAATCATGCGCAGGACATCCTCCGGTTCCTTCGCACATCGGACGGCAGGGGCCTGGCAGTTGTGAAGGAAAGCGGAGGCGAACATTTCTCGGTTGATCAACACGGCACCACGATCACTCGCGTAGGCGAATGGGCTACCGCGGGCAATATTGTCGTCCTGAACCAAGGTAAGAATGCATCAGTTCAAGCAGAACCGATTTTCTTACGTGGATGTACAGGGAGGTCCATCGCCGTCCACGTATCCGAAGCGGCATCTCTGATGCTCTACACCGACTCAAAGCTAGTCTGCTCTCTTCGGGATCTTCCCTCGCTCACTTCCCTGTTCTCACTGCCGCGAGGACAGCAGGACTCCATAGTAGGCGTTACCTCTGACGCATCCATTGTCTTGATATACGTAGATCACACGCCTTCGCCTACTATGACCTTGCGCCTACATACCTCTCTGCCTCTGGATATCGCGCCGCACATGATTCTACCTGTCGATCCCATGGCATGGAGTACTTCATTCGGCCAGCTTGACGCAAGTCCCGGAATGGACGGACACGACACTCTCCTGAGCCTCTCCGAATCCGGCGAGCTGGCCTTCTGGGTCCCGGACGATGACGTAGCCCACCAATGGAGATGCACGGGTCGTGTGAAGACCGGAAGGAAGTGCGTCAGGATCGCCCGCTGTAGCTCCGCAAAGAAATCGGTACTTCTCGTTCCTGTAGCGGACGGTGAAGAGATGACTATTTGGGACTCCAAAGAGTCTGAGTTTGCTTCCGGTTTGGAGTATCGAAAGCTGCTGAGGTATGGCATCACTTGTGTATTCAGCAACCGTCACGAGCATGTACAGGTCTTCGGAACTCGTCAATGATCTCGATTGGACAGCGACACCCGACAAGCAGTCTATTCTCGCTGTTGGATTTGCACAGCGCATCGAGTTTTTGTGCCAACGTCGCATGACTTACTTTGACGAAGGCTTTGGTTGGGATATCTGTTGGAGGATTGATCTCAGCAGGTATGTTCGATGATAGCATAACCGGCGTCTAGCCTGACGTTCATTCTCAGTGTACTTCCTCAGTCAATCAGCGATTCGATATGGCTTGCCAACGGTTCTTTCCTCGTGGGCGCAGGTCCCGTGAGTTTGATTTACAGCCAGTTCGGACGCCGTAATATTGCGGGCGGCCAGGAGAGCAGCGAAAGCCTGTTTGAGCATGTCGCACGACACAATGGTCCCCTCGATGATTATCACCCGCAGATGCTACTACAATGCTTATTATGGGGTATAACGTTTCATGACTTTTGACATATACGCCCTAATGCGGTGCCACAGACAGAGTACAGTTGGTTAAAGAGACCATAGTCCGGCTTGCCAGGTACCTCGCTTGGGCAACCGTAGAGGATAAGTCTCAAATGATCGGGTGGCAAAATCACCCTATAGATCGCTACTTCGAGGACGATGCCTACCATGGCCAGGTAAGTTCATAACGTATCTGGCAGACGATCAAAATCGAGATGTTCATATACAGAACACCACACGGCGTACAGCTCAGTATTCCACCCTCTTTGCTGCGACGGACTCGTCTGACCCGTGGGTGCTTCTTTTACCCGCACTAATCGTCACTGATACTCGGATAGCGAGGATGATAATCGATTCTCGCCCTCACTAGTAGAGAGACTGGTCAAGCAGCTTGAATTAGAGCCCTTGCCTCACTTATCATCGATCGAGCACGCACACTTACTGAGCCTGATTGAAACTACTCTAGAGGTTGGTTCTCTGCTAACCTACTTCGGTCCCAGATACTGACCGCTTGGGCAGGTAGACGAACAACGACGTGCGCTCGATGCAAACGGACTACGGTACCTCATTTCCATGCGATCCTTCTATATCTTGAACAGCCGCGCCTCTTCTGAGAGGACGTCCAAAGCAAGGGGAAAACCAGCCCGAAGGGCTAGACTGCGATATCGCGATATAGTATGGGCTTTTCATAGCGAAAGCCAGGAAATCCTCCTTTCAGCGTCTATTGCCGCATGCGAGGACAAAAAGATGAACTGGGCTGATGCTAGAGCGTTGGGGGTGTTCATGTGGCTCACCTCTACCGAAGCTATGGTATGTCCTGTTAGATCGTCTGATGGAAGGGCTTCATGGTCGCAACGTTACAGCGATCACATATGGAGGCAGTTGCGCGCAACCAATACATGGCTGGCGATGCTCGCGACCCTACGGCATGCTCTCTCCTTTACTTCGCCTTGGGGAAAGTCAAGCTCGTGCACGGACTATGGCGACAAGCCGCATGGCACAAAGAACAACAGATGATGTTGAAATTCCTTGCGAATGATTTCACGCAAGACAGGTGGAGGACGGCAGCGTTGAAGAATGCGTACGCGCTGCTGAGTAAACAGAGGTTTGGTACGCGACTGCGTGAGGATGAAGGCATCCCACTTCTAACTCCTCATGCAGAGTATGCAGCGGCGTTCTTTCTTCTCGGCGGTGGCCTGAAGGAAGCCACCAATATATGTGTTCGATATCTACAAGACTTTCAACTTGCAGTTGCTCTAGCACGCGTCGTCGAGGGTGATAGTGGAATCGTCTTGAAGGAGATCTTGGAGCAAACAATCGTACCAATCGCCTTCGAAGAAGGTAATCGATGGTTGGGTAGTTGGGCGTTCTGGCTTCTGCGCCGCAGAGATGTCGCTGTTCGCATACTCGTGGTAGGGTTCCGATTCTTGAATTGCTCGATACTTTTCGTGCTCAATATACCTGCACCCGCTAGACGCCTCTGGACGAACTCGCACTGTCTCTCAGTCTTCCCGTGCGGGAAGTCGGAAACCCTCATTATGATGACCCAAGTTTATCTCTGCTGTTCTCACAACTCCGAATGAAGACGCTGCAAACAGCTAAAGGAACCAGTGAGATATCAGGGCGCACGGAGTTCAACTTCGTGCTGCAGACAGCGCGCGTGTTCTGCAGGATGGGTGAGCCAGAACATTCGTACGGCAGACATTCTCACCAAACCACCTTGACAGGGTGTCATTCCCTGGCACTTAGCCTAGTACGAAGCTGGCCATTTTTACGCGCAGAAAGACCACGCGCGGAGGCATTGCCGACAACTGCTGCCGCTGCACGATCCATCTTCGCGCGCCAAGGTTCGGTCTTGATCGACATGGTCCCGCCAACAATGCCACCCACCCGAGCAACCTCACCAATTCGCCATCCAGCGTTGTCGGCGGATGGGGATGCTGGGGGAAAGGAACGCGATGGTGTGCAAGCCACCATGGGAGGCTTGTTCAAGAGCGCCAAACACGACATCCAGGTCCCGGAGTTCGATATGAGCTCGTTCAATTTCTAGCAGAGTTGAATAGCACCCGTGTTCCAACTGCCTACAGTAGGAACAAAGTTCATCAATGGACTGGAAACTAGCGGACATCCGATGACTGGAGAGGAAAACGCGACGATCCACGAGCCTACTGCTCTACTTCGACCTCTCTCTTCTTCAGAACAAGGTCTTTGCCCGTAACTCTCTTCCAAACGTTGTGGACGTCATCAACCACGGTCTCGAAGTGGGAAGTCGCATCATAGGAGCGAGTGATGAAAATGTTGTCACCCTCTCCCGTTGATGTTGGCGTGTACAGCGATGTTACAGAGACAAATCTAGGATGGCGTCAATGCCCATAACCTGCAGACGGAGAAACCAGTGGACTCACTTGTCATAAACCCCTCCAAGGAGCTGCAGAGCCGGAGCGATCTCCTGCTCGGGTTTGTCTGTCTCAACGATGGTGCTCACGATGGCGATGTACACGTCCTTAGCGCAGACGTTGTGAGTTGAAGAGACCATAGCAATATAGATGTCTGTCGCGACGTGAGTCCGTGTCGTGGCATGCCAATGCCGCGGCCTTACCATTGCGCCGTCCAACTTGGTTCTGCGGAATGATGATCTGGCAGCTGTCTGCGTCCTCCGTCCCAGGGATCGGATGCTTCAGGACACAAATAGCCCGAACTACCTTTCCCTCTTCAAGGACGCGTACCTTGCCGCCTTCGCTCGCTTTACCGGCACCGAAATAACTGGGATCGCCGATGACCTGCTTGGCCTTGACGGTGTCAGGGCCACTGCGAACTCCGACAAATTTGCCATCCGAATCTGTGACAATTTCATCGATCGGCTTGTCCAGCATATAGGTACCGCCATAGATAGCTGATAACCGGGCGAACGACTGTGGAAGCTCGCCCAAACCGTAAAGCGGGTAAATGTACGGCGATTTGCCGTAGCGAGCCATTGACGAAGTATAGAGAACGATGCGATCGTATGTAGGCCGCGCAGGTTTCGTAATATAGCTATGAATTCTCAGTCTCGTATCTCGCAATAAATATGAGTATCCACTACTCACTCGTCGTCCAGGTACAACGCCATGGCATGGCCAATGAAATCTTGGGTTCCAGGCTCCAGGCCAAACTTCTCATACACTGTCTTCATACTGTCCCTGTCCAGATCGATACCTATCATACGAGGACTATGTTAATCCTGCGCAGACTGACGCATCCGACAACATATTGGGTACCTTGGTGTGTAGCTGGATCGTCATCCTTCCACCCTTGCAAGAACTCGAAGAATTTCTTGGCTCTCCTCTTCTCAAACAAACCCATGAGGGGACTTCGGACAGCTTCCATCTCCGTGCTTGGAACCTTGGAGATCTTGCCATCGCGGTATACAAAACTACCAGCGATTTGCTTGAATTCCAAGTAGCGGGTAACATCCGTGTGGACGAGGATCTTCGTCAGCTCTCCAGATGCGATGATGAATTTCGGGACGAGATCCACGGCGTAGTCACGATCGCGCCCAAGGTCGGCCGGCGGAGCTTGATCCTCTCTGAACTTCCGATAGAGCTGCGCCGTGCACGTCAATCGTCAAGCCGAGGCGTGGTTCTATAGTCTTATTCACCTGTGTCAGATTCAAGCTAGCACTATCACCTCCATAGTAATCATTGCGATCCATATGAAGGACCTTCTTTCCCTCCACTGACAGCAGTCCAGACAGAATGCATTCAGTCAATCCCGTTCCAAGAACGATGACCTGCATAAGATCTCAGAGTGGCACACGAGGAGAATTCTACGTGGGCGCACGTCGTACTCTTCATCCATGGTCGTCGATCGTTAGTTGTGTCAAAGGTAGTGCGTGGAGTGTTGTATGTCACCAAGCGTCGCGCGGGAGGTCATTGATCGATTGAAGAATCACGTGATATCCAAGTCCCTTCGTCGCGCCGGCCACTCGAGCACTCGAAACAAACTTGATTTTGCTCTCAAATCTGACCGTCTAAAGGGCTGTGTATCTATAAATTCTATCAGTTGATCTCGCACGCGGGGGGCTCATAATGACGTCGTTTCCCGGCTTTTTGGAACTCCCGGCAGAACTTGTCACGAACATATTGCATGAATTGGATGTAGCTTCGATGCTTACGACCGCCCGCGTATGTTCATTACTGAGGGACCTCATTGCTGGATCTACAGCTTGTGCGCACATTTTGCGTACAGATGCTCCCTATCCCACTCACGGCTTCGTGCAGTGCAATACAAGATAGAACTCAAACGGCTGGGAATGGTCCATTTCTCGGGAGGCCTGACAGCTGCCCAGTGTAAGGAAAGGTTGCAAGCATACCAGACTGCCTGGGATTCATTGAAATGGAATGAAGAGTGCGCTATCCCGATGTCCCCAGCTCCGATGACCTGGGAACTTCAAGGAGGTATGTTTTGCTACTTAGAATTGTGTACTAATGCTCACCTTTTATGTCCAGGGGTTTTGGCCCAGGCAGAGAATCATACTTCATTTTCGTTCAGTAGGCTACCGGCCCCAACCCGCGGGATATCTACTCTTGAATGGCGCATCGACGACGTAGATGTCGAGGCACGCGATTTCACTATTGATTGCTCACAAGATCTGCTTATCATTGTGGAAGAGGCAGTGCACGTGGGGTAAGCCGGTCATTGACGATCTTACGCTCTAGCTGATGGCATGTCGAGTACCGTGCTAGAGATTGTTTGGGTCCATTTTCGTACAATGTCTACCGGTAAAAAGCATCCTCACGCCCTCTCAGAGTCCAAGGTGTCACATCGCCTCGGGGTGATACCGGACTTTGGCGTGTCCTATGAGCTAGCTGTCTATGGCGATTATGTGGCAGTCCAGTTCCGAGCGCCCCGCCGCGGTTCCAGGTAAGTAATAGGTACATACGCACATCTCGGGCAGTTGGATAACGCGATCGCCCAGTGAGCTCGTAGTCTGGAACTGGAAAACGGGCAACATGCACTTTGTCAGTATCCGTCTCTATCACGTTGTGCATGCCGCCAAAGCCTGACTAATGTGGAAAACAGAGCATAAGTGGTGCAGAACTGCGTGCATTCTCGTTCATCAATGATACCTACATCCTCCTGGGGCTTCTCCAGCATCCACAGATTGATTCGGAACCCAGCCTCATGATCCTAGACATGAACAAGACAGCGGCCGACAAAACATCGGCGAATCCCGTACCCTTGCATGAGTTACAACACCACATTGCCCTGTTCCTCCCTCCGCTCATACAATCCGCGGACTGTGTGGAAATACGCATTCGCAGCGACCCCGTCATCCCTACGTATGCGACTCCGTTCGATCGCCAGCCACCTTTCACCGTCGACCCTAGCGACCGACTCTTCGTCGTCTCATTCTGGATCCAAGATGATCTTGAAGCTAACGGATACACGTTATTCCTGCCCTTGTCTACTATCATTCCATACGCCGCGTTGCTGAGCCGTTCTAAGCGCCGCACCGTAGAATGGTCCATGTGGGGACCGGATGGAACAAGGTTGATTCCAATGCCGGAACTGCAATCGAACGTGTGGGTCTGCTACGTCCATGGCATGCGGTATGTCGTGCGTGGCGGGCGTCTTGAACGCCACAACTCTTTCACGATCTACAATTTCAAGCGTCGCCACCTTCGGTCCCATGATCACACAGAATACGGTGAGATACAGCGTTGTTTAGCTCATCGAATCGGTGCCGATACTGAGGCCCGACGACAGATTCACCAACAATCCAGACAATGCCTACCATTATATCGGACATGCATACCTTTGAGGACTCTGTGATCACGCGATTACCTTACTGGACATCATCTACAACCCTAGTCCCCGATGGCAATCCGTCCGCGCTTCCACCCGTGCTATTGACGGAGGACGCTCTCGTCTTCGTGCACCAGAATGTAGGTCATGAATAGTTCTACCACCCAACCACACAGCTGTGTTGATGACTTCCAATAGACCAGGCAGTTCAAGGTTCTTGCATTCTAGTGTTGTGCGCTGGATTGCCCCCGGGCGCTACACGATGTTCGGAGCAAACGAGTGCCCGTATAGGTTGTAGCGACCGAAGTAGAGACGAGATGGCATATGCAGCTGCTCATGAGACTGTATAACGCACACAGCTTGGCTGTCCCCTCCGTGGTCGCCGTGACATCAAGGCTGTCGTTGACGAAACACAGCCAGAGTATTTCATTACAAACTACGTTTGTACATTTTTCTTTATGAAAATCGATATCAATTGTTAAAATCCCCGTCAAAATTGGATGTTTACTTGAAATAGAGAAGTATATTATGTCTACGTATGAAAGGTCACCTACCATATTTAGATATATTACTACACTTTTATTGTAAGTGCAAACCACGTTTGGACAGCAATCTGAGGATGAAGTATAAATCATCATAAAGAAAATTACACAAATGTAGTTTGTAATGAAATACTTTGGCTGTGAAAGGGGCGATGTACCTTACATCTTATCTGATAAGATAACCGACTGTGGCAGAAATTTCTCCGCTGTCGCGCGGGATTGCGGCCTCTGGCTGTTGAAACGTTGTCCTTCTATGACTCGTTCGCATAAAAGGATCTGAACACAGTCGCTCAGGCTGCACATACTAGCCCCTCATGATCCGCACCCTCACCTCACCACGTCGGGTTGCAAATCCCATCCCTCGCGACCGCACTGCGTCTACCTTCAAGGCCTTCTATGCCGTTCGTTCTCCGCGTACAGACGTCAGCCTGCTCCCTGAACCCTGTTGCACAGACGATCCGCGATCTTCGACCCAAGCCAGCTATTCCAAATGAACCTTCAGACGATTCAGAGCCTGTCGACAATGTGAGTTAGGCCCATGGTGGTTTGTTCAGGATATCCACTAATGCCTGCTAGGACATCATTCTCTCGATCCTCCGGGCAAATCCCTCTGCAAGAGATGCGAAACTGTATCTCGCCTCTTTCGGCTCGCCCGTTCCCCGCATACAACCTGAGAAGCTCGGATTGGTCAACACAGTTCGGGGTCCCTCTACGGACCAGGACACCCGAACCGTATGCTCTACAACACCGCCAACCAGCGAGCACGATTCTCAGACCTCCGTCATTGCTTCAATACTAAATCCAATACATCGCCGAACGGCGCTCGTCAAGGTTCAGGGTCCCTTTACAGACAGGCAGCTGGAGAGCATCGCCCGTGGCATTGTATATCTCGAAAAGCTTGGTTTACTCAGCGTCATCGTCGTAGAGAACTGCGAGCTGGAGAGGGGCCACGATGATGAGCGCGGGCAACTCATGGAAGAAACCATGCGCGTAACGCGCGCGTTGGAAGAGCAAGGTGCTAAGGCACGACCCATCCTCAGTGCTGTAGTCAGGCTCGGTCCTAAACCTGGCGACGAGGATCGGGCCGAACGCCACGACATCGATCTCGATATACCCGAAGCTCATACAGTACCAGGGGATCTCATTGGTATACGGTCGGCTCTTCTTGCAGGGGAGATCCCGGTACTTCCCCCTATGGCACTCGATTCGTTCGTACGGTCTATTCCCATCAACGCTAACGACGTGGTCGCCGCGCTTGCGAGAGGAATGGTGGAAGCAGCTGCTATTATAGGCAGCGCTGACGGCGATAACACCTCTACGGGGACTTCTTCGGGAGATTCCCTCAACTTGACGCCCCTCCGCCTCATGATCATTAATCGTGAAGGCGGCATTCCCTCATACGCTCGTTCGGGCTTGCCGCATCTCCTCGTGAACACTACGGCCGAATACCGATACATCCACGAGACCTTCTCGTTGGAATGGAAGAAGTCGCACCCTACTGCTCTCGCGAACCTTTCATTGGCTCGCACATGTCTCTCCTACATGCCGCCTTCTTCCTCCGCAGTCATGGTCTCCCACCGCTCTCCCAGCTCTCTCATTGCCAACCTCATCACCAACAAACCCGCTGTAAGCTCCAGCCTTCCACATGCTCTCGGCAATCGCAGGATTACGCAACATACCCCGACGCTCCTCCGCCGGGGTCTGCCGATACGTGTCGTGCGGAATGCTTCGGACATTGACAAGGCAAAGATGAAGAACCTGCTCGAACAGTCGTTCAAACGTACGTTGAACGAATACTCGTTCTGGAGTCGCCTTGAACGCGACATGGACTTTACAATCATCGCGGGTGATTACGCTGGCGCGGCTATTGTTACCAACGAGGCTGCTATAGCGACTTCTTCCTTCTCTCCCATTGCATACCTGGATAAATTCGCAGTGCTTCCTAGTCATCAAGGAGACGGGACCGTTGACTTCCTCTGGGTCGCTTTGCACGACGAATCGTATGGTCTCGGACTGCCGTTTTCGGCGAATCCTAACGGAGGCAAAGGGGGGCAAGGCGAGGGTCGCGATCTTGTTTGGCGCAGTCGAGCGGACAATCCGGTCAACAAATGGTACTTCGAGCGGAGCACCGGCCATGTCCGCATGGACAAAGACTGGGTAATGTTTTGGTGCGATGCGGAAGTCAGGCTGAAGATGGCGGAAGGCCGTAAAGCCAACGCTGGTTTGTCGTATGTGGAAGATTGGGAGCGCGGACGTCTAGGTGTGTGGAATGATACCATTAGTAAGATACCATCAGTCTGGAAGTGAGATTGCAGTCTGCACAATGTTGGATGGTATACACTGGACGGGGCTTTATGTGGATAGTTATCATATCTAACGACAAGCGGAACTGCAACTGTTATGCCCCGGGCCAGAGCTTGATCGATATAGCGTCTCCGCGATGAACTCCGGGAGTTTGTCTCAGAAGAATTGCTCCCATAGTTTCTTGGTTGCTTCGACCCCCAGCTAGGCGATCTCAGTCAGTCATGCCGATATTTGAAATCCACCTCTACTCACGAACGTTGCTGCATTTGCAGGGAATGCCTGGAATGCCGTTAACATAAGTACATCCAACCTCGCCAACTGAAAGACGACGTACCCGAGCCATCGCCGGTCCGAACCCTTTCCATAAGGCTCCTACGCCGTCAACGGCTATGGTCTTTCTCGCACAATCCATCATGCCAGAGTATGTACCCGTGGGTGCGGACTGCAGGCGCGATTTGAGAACCTGAGGGCAAGTGAGAGTCAGTCGCTGCTGAGGCCGGGGCGCCAAGATACATACATCCGGAGGAATGGCAATCGCCCACATGGCCACTCCTGCGGTACCCCCAGCGAGGATGACGGCGGGAAGGTTCAGGTCCGCTGGTGATCCACCTGCAGGTGTAAGCGCCTTCTTTGTGACTTCATACGCAGCGAAATACCTGTGAGACATGTGAGCATGGAAACCGCGAATGCGTAAGATGCTTTGCTTACGCTGCACTCCCGGGACCATCCCTAGCTAGCGTTGCACCTGTGCCTCGGAATATACTGCGAAGACCGCCTTCCTTGTATAGATGGCGCATAGCATCTGTGACGCCTTTATATTTACCCTCTATGTCTACCTGTGGAGCATGGCAATCAGTATGATGAGAGATTTATATCTGGATACCGCACCTGTAGGACAACCTTCGCCCGTTCCACTGGCGCAGTTATGGCCGTGGTCGGGACTGCCGATAGGAATCCCGCGGCAGCAAGCTCTCCCAACGACAGCTCTTTGCTCGTCCGGTTCGGGGTGACTGCATAGATGAGCGCCTTGGAGGTATCATAGGCCCAGAATGACACGGCGAAGATGGGCGTGACTCCCAGAAGCGGAGGGACGATACCACGGTAAAGTCTGTTCTTCTCGTCAGAACGCGTTATTTCCATAATGAGGCCTGCAGGCGCATACCCGGTTATACCATCCCGAGCGAGAGTCTGCTTGACGACGTCGACAGCCCCCTTGTAAACCCCGGGCCCCGCCGTCTGTAAGCGCGTTTTGGTGAGGTCGAATGGATGGCCTGCCCAATGAAGGGTCTGAAGGTCAGTCTATGCTCCCAGCTTTCGGCAGAGGCATCGCACCGACTAGAACAGCGCACACTCCTCCGAAGCCTCCAGCAAGAAAGGATTTGACTTGGTCCCCAAGAGCGCTGCCTTGCGAAGCCTCGACATCGCTAGCTGAATCCGACTGCGTAGGCATGGACGGTTAAACGGCAGTAAGTGCTCAGATTGTAGCGCAAATACCATGACTCAGGGCACAAATGGAACGTGAAGCGAAGCCGGATGGAGTGAAGGGCTACGGATTGAGTATAGTTTGACCAGAATATTTAGGCCGGAGGGTCATCTGCAGCCTTTGAACGGGGGGAAATGCGCGTGATATCTGTCGCTTGGTAGCCGAGTACATGATCCACATGCGAATCCAGCGCGCGCCATGCATATCCGATGTGCCGTTCCACAACTTTGGCAAATTTCCATATCATCCGTCAGATAGAGAAGGTAGAACTAGTAATGTACACAATATATGCATCAGTAGTATTGCCCGAACCATCAGTAACGCTCCACTGCTTCTAGAAGTCTTGTCCAGCTACTTTCCTGCCCGCGTTCTCTGAGGGCGAACGCGATCCCAGAGTCCAAATGACATCCACCTGGCACTTCGTCAACCTCCAACGGAACGCCGTCTTCTCGCATGCGTTCGATCAGGCGCCGGATATCTGGAGCCAATAATTCGACGTCCCCGTACTGTATCCAAACCCGCACCGCCGGGGAGTGATGCCCTGCGACAGAATCCGTACTAACGCCTGGCGAATTTTGACCGTCGCGTCTATCATCAATATGGCGTGCCCTTTGCGGTTGTGCCAGGTACCTGAATGAGCCGCAGATAGCCGGGCTGAAGTACGGGTTGGTACGTAGCGCGTCTGGGGGATAATGTCGTGACAGAGAGGGATACGCCATTCTGTTCAGATAGGGCGACAACCAATCCGTTGGTATTGAGGAGTACGGAGCGTGCGACAAATCACCGGAGGGCTGATAGCTAACGTTCAGTACGGACGTGCGAGTGTATCAGAACGATGAGACCCACAGACAGAAGCATGACCGCGCCGGGCAACGCGATGTTACGCGACGGGGAACCAGTAAGGGCAGCACCGTCGACGGCCGCAAGTTCGGCAAGATAACGAGTCAGTCCGAGGAGGAGGTGACCGCCGGAGCTATCGCCAACCAGAGTGATATTTTCAGGCCTGAAACGTAATTGGATGAGATAGATATATCCAGCAAGCAAATCCAGGAATTGCGCTGGAGCGGCTGTGGACGGAGAAAGCGCCTTGCGATGGTTTATCGCTGATCCGTTCCCATGTGAATCAGTTTGAACGCCATACAAGAGAAAATGTACGCACATAGAACGCGCCTATGTCCAGCACGGCTGAGGTAGTATGGAAATGGGGTGAGCATGGGATGGCCAAGGACCCATGTTCTGTGGACGATAAGCCAAGGATCCGGTACGTTAGTGTCAATGACGAACCCTCCCGGAACATAGAGGATCACTTTCTCCCCGTTGGCTGCAAGTTCGTCGCCTCTTGGCCATTTGCCACTTTGGTACGTCCAGAAAGCCGGAACCTCGGTGGAGCCGACGGTTCCAGTCGCCACCGCCAGGTCGCCAACTCTTAGAGCGTCGGGAACTCCGGCAACGGTGACTGCGTCAACCTCGGTGCCCTTCCCGATGAGCTTGTGGACAATCTCCTTCTTCTCGTATGCGGCTGGTCCTTGAGGGCGCGGCAACGTCCAGCGGCTGGTCCACGCGAACGCAGATCGTCCAAGCGCCACGACCAAATGTCGACTCAGGGACCACGTTGGATGAACACGGCAGGAGGGGACGCAATAGCGCAGGACCTGTAGCACTGCGAGCGGTAAAGAAAGGACGGTGAATATGAATATGCCTAGGATTTGAGATAGGATATGTTTGTAGCGCGGGGGCGCGTTGGGGGGACGGTCCATCGTTGGGGCTCGCGTGCGGTTGGACGGCGGCGAGAGCCTGATAAACGTGGTTGGGTGCGCATGACGATGTCCATGTCAGGCTCAGAGGCGGGATGGCAGGCGGGGATCGGCGTCAAGAGCAGGCGTACTTACTTGCAGTGGCAGTGACATCGCCACTCATTAATCATTCATCATTATCGGTTGCGGGAGATGTCGACGAGACCAAGTTCCAAGCCATCTACCCTACCGCACTCAACCTCAGCGGTGGTTACGTCCAAACATGGTGTCTGTGCTCGTCGTCTGCCTCGGCAATATCTGCAGGTCACCGATGGGCGAGGCGGTCTTGCGCCATGTCGCAAAGGAGCGTGGCATCGACATCACCGTCGACTCCGCAGGCACGGCTGCATATCACGCAGGAGAGGACCCAGACGAACGGCAAGTCGAGCATTCCTCGACGGTCTGCACCACGAGACGAACCGAACCCTACAGAACAGTCCAAACATGCCGCAAGCATAAAGTGCCGATCTCGCATTCCGCTCGTCAGGTGGAACCCGAGGATTTCAGAAGGTTCACGCACATACTGGCATCCGATGAGAGCAACCTTCAGAATCTGCTTCGCATGAAGCCGGGGCATGCCACTGCCGATGTCAAACTATGGGGATCATACGATGACGGCAAACCCATCGCTGACCCGTACTACGGTGGGATGGTGAGCAGCAGTCGGGCCAAGCATTCCGACGTGGTCATGAGCTCAGTGGCAAATTGCAGAACGGATTTGAGCAAGTATTCCAGCAGTGCATACGATATTCCAACGCCTTCCTCGACCAATTCTTCAAGAACGACTAACGCGACGCGCTCGCATAGCAATCTGTTCCGGATGAGAATCATACGAGGTCATGTACCCGATGTAAGGGCCTATGGAGTACACAACATCCATGAAGCTCGAACGCTTCGTGATAAGAGGAAGGGTACATTGGCACAGGGTTCGAGGGAAGCATTCGGCGGCGTAGGGACCGGAACTCAATGATGTGTAGGCATATCTACAGATGCCTTGTTTCCAGTGGCATCCTCAGCTCGCCATAGGCTAGTCGTGGTCTAGGATAGCAATTACTAACAAGCAGAGCGCACGATAGACTTTTTACTCGCCTTCGTTTGAGTATAGAAGTTAATTCCACTGTAACACGGCCAGGTATGTGAGAGAAGAACAGATTGCAGCAAGGCGAGACCAACCTAGGGCCGTAAAAGGCGATGTCGCCGAGGAAACTGGCCTAAGATGTAGGGCTGCTGTTTCAGTATCCCTGGCAGTGGCATAGTGTAGTGACGCTTCTTCGCACCTTGTTGCCACTCCAGCCGAACATGGGTAAAGGGACGGGTATCGGGACGTTGATCCCTGGAGACTCCACGTTAGGTTCACCAAACAGGAGCTTTCAAAGGAGCGCACCGATTTGTCCTACTTCAATTTCTCGTTCGTACTTCCGGGCTGTCGCTCCTGACTGGGTAAAGATCGCGGTTCCATTGCCATACTTGTTCGCATTGACGATGGCAATCGCATCATCTAGGGTGTCGGCAGTAAGAACGACAAGGACGGGTCCGAAGATTTCCTCTCTATTTGAGACGGTCATAATCAAGAGGCGTTATTGAACTGATCCTGCTAACCGGTAGCATCTCATATCTGTCACTGCTTCGATAACAGTTGGCCCCACAAAATTGCCATTCGGATAACCGGGAACATTGATGCCTCGACCGTCAAGATGAATGCGACCACCCTCCTCCTCTGAGGACGCGATGATCTCAGTAACGCGCTTCTTTGCGGCGGGTGATATCAATGGTCCGCTGAATCGATCGTGATCAGCGTAAGGTGTTGATTATGTTGATTCGCTTACAGATCGGCGTCTTTCTCAAAACCGCCGTTGACATTCAGCTTCGATGCACGATCCACAAGTTCGGGAAGCCAGGATTGAGCGGTACCGACGAGAATTGCAACAGAGATTGCCATGCAACGCTGGCCAGCCGCTATATCCGAACAGGTCGTCATTCTTGCTGCTTCATATTCGTAGTTATTGTTGTTGGTAACGAACCTCCGAATGCAGCGCCAATGATAGAGTTAAGCGCGAGGTTCTTGTTTGCTAATTGATAGCCACCTTAGGTACGTTGAAGTGTCGACGTTGAGATCTCGCACTTACCGTCCGGCATGATCACAGCATGGTTCTTGGCACCGAGGTTCGCCTGCGGTTCCGCATGCCCATAAGTACTGAGTGAACTCGAATCTATAGCCTCCACAAAGGAAAGGTGATCACCTGAACCCGCTTCCCGTTTTGAGTGCCCCTGAGTGCCAACCGTCATGCAAACTCGACAGCGAGAATACAGAGCTCTTACCGGTCATATATATGCTTTCCTGCACGATCACCCCCAACAAAGCTGATCGCCTTGATGGCAGGATGATCGCAGATGGAATTGACAGTAGGTATAGTTCCGTGAACAATGTTAAGAACACCGGGTGGAAGTCCTGGATATGCGTGTTAATCTCAGTCATGATATACCGAGAAATATCTTACCCGCCCGTTCGCAAAGTTCCGCAATGATCATGGCAGCACCGGGATCACGTTCAGATGGTTTCAAGACGAGTGTGTTGCCTGTTGTGCATGCAACCGGTATGGTCCATAGAGGTATCATACTGAGACTAATCAGCAATGGAGATCACCATCGCGTTGGATGAACGCGTACGCGGGAAAGTTGAAGGGTGCTACGCTAAACGTCACGGTAGTCAGACGAAGTCCGCGGAGTGTCGGCAATCATGGCTGACCTAGCACAGACACCTAGTGGCACTCTTCGGGTTTCAGTATCCATGTCCTTGCTCACTGCGACACAAGTTCAGGGAGTTGTCCGCGAGCTCCGCGCAACCATGAAGCACCTTCCAACTTGCTCCCCATTATGCTCGACGTTATTCCACAAGCGGTTTCGACGACTTGGAGACCCCTGAGCACGTCACCATGTGCATCTGAAACGAATGATATGCAAACAAGACCAACACATGAAAACGTTGGAGCCATACCTTGAAATGTCTTCCCTTGTTCAAGAACGATGCTATTCGCCAGCGCATCCGCGTTCTTCCGTATGAGGTGCTGGAGCCTAGTTTGCACAGTCACTACGGCTCCTCAACTCGGATACAGACCTGAAGCGTACTCCATGGCAAACTTCTGGCGAGTCAGGACACTCGTCCGACTCCATGTCTTAAACGCGTCAGAGGCAGCCGCGACCGCTTGCTGAAATTCCGACGAAGTAGTCTCGGGAACCTATTCAAAAATCGATCCCAGTACTTTCACCCATAAAGGTTGTATTTACGCGTGTCAACAACGTCTGCGTCGACTGCCAGGTATGATCTTGGGGTCAGAAACAGCGCCCTTCGGAGTTGATATTGACGCACAGGATCCAGGACCTCGATCCAGTCCTGAGTCGAACTCTCGACGAATTGCCCCCCTATATAATTCTTCGTATTCCCTCCGGATGCATTAGTTCCTTTCCATTCAGAAGATAGCTGTTCCGCCCGAGCCCGGGCGTTCGCAGTGAGGCCGCTGAGAGGTGGACGTGAGTGGCCCCCCGCTACAGTAGCAAGTCCGCGCGTGAGACGAGCGACTTTGAGAGCCATGGTGGTGGGGTGCAAGCCAGCCTGAGTGAGGTTGGCTCGGTTGAACAGATATCCGACAGGCCGACCCCGTGGGGTAACGCGGAACTTCGGGATCTCGGCTCACTCATCATTGATTCCGCCCTATGCATACATATGTCCATGGACTTCGATGCACACCGTATCCGTCAGTAGCATGAGCCCACCCGATACAAAGTGTGATCCCGGCGCATTCGCCGTAGACTACTACTCCTTGGTGTCCTGATGTGTATTGTCTGGAACTGTAGCGTTCGCCAAGTTATTATGCTCCGGCTCTTCCGGGATCGTCTCAGAGAAACCTAGGCCTTTGACCAAGTCCCCAGCTTCATCCTCCCCTAAGCCAAGCTCCTCTACCAATTGTCGGAGTTCATCGTCAGTAACCTAGTAATCATCGGCCTTCAATTCACATGCGTAGCAGAACGAAACACGTACCTTAACACCCTGAAGTCCGAATCCAACGAGCTCGGACCCCACGTCTACTTCGTCGCGGCGGTTGACCGGAGTCGGAGGGGGTGCGTTGGGCGGGAGGGGCGTTTTGGGAGTAGAGGGTATATTCACCTTTCCATGAAGAGGAGAGGGAGATGGCGAGGGAGCGGAGGAACGTGCTTTTCCAAGGGGAGAGGCGTTCGGTGAGACGCCGGGGACCCCGATAACTTTCTCCTCTAGCAATGGCCGATCTTCTTCGACGGAGGGATCGTAGGATTCGTTCAATCGCAGGAAGGTGTTGAGTTCGTCAAACTCCACAGCTTCTTCGCTGCACGATCAACTGAATAATTGACAACGAAAGCAGCCGTTGCGATAGGTCTCACAAATCAGAGATAGTCTTATAGCGAGCCTCAGTATCGACACCGAGACGAGGGTACTGTATGGCTTACCCCAGGAAATTTACCGCCGACCAAGATCCCAGGAAGCTGTTGCTTATCAGTAGGAGCCTTGCGCCTCCATAGCCTCTTGGCGTCCTCGTCTGACGCTAAATCGTATGATTTGAAGGGTATCTTCTTCACCTGGCCATGAACGTAAGAGCCTGCATGCACGGTGGCGAGCCTCCGACGAGCATGCAAACCTGGAGGATCCTTAGCAGATACTCCTGCTTCTGTCTCAGTGCGGGTTGAGAAGCGATAGTGGTGAGGAAGACTTGAATCGGTGGGGATGGCATGTGGAATATTCAGAGAGTAAGTGGATAAGCCAGATATGGCACCTTGCAATCAGTCGATGGCTGTCGCCGCTGCCACTCCGGCCGTCGTAAGAAAGCGGAGAAGATGACGGTTGTAGGCGAAGCCCGAATCAATCTGTAGCATGCAAAGAATCAAGAAGCTATTGCTAAATACAGAATTCCTCGTTTCTCCCCGTATAGCGGGCAGGCCTGTCATCCGCGGAATAGGGTGTATGCCTTCGCTGCTGACCATATTATTATGCATCACAGCTTCGCTCCCCAACTTCCTTCCATCCTGCTCGTCATACCGCCCTCCAAACGGATCGTCGCTCCATTCACATACGCGCCAGCACGGCTGACACGCGATTGATGGTAAGTAAGGACTCGTGATTGGGCTCATAAGCATACCTAGAGAGGTAGAGTACCGTTCCAGCGACGTCTTCTGGCATGCCGATACGGTGAAGAGGAATGCCGGCCTTGATCACCTCACCAGTGGTGGCCAACGTATGTGCCATCACTATAGCACGTTGTCAGCATGTCGTTGAAAGAGAAGAGAAAGCGATTCCGCCTACTCTTGCTTTCGAATGGTCCGCACGCAATGACATTGCTGGTGATGCCTTCCCAGCCTAAACGACCGGCAAGGTTACGGCTCAAGTGGTGCAAAGCCGCCTTAGAAGCTGAATACGCGTAAGTTTCGTGTGAAGGGACGCTTAACCCTTCTATGGATCCGATCTATGGCATATTCTCAGCAACGAAACCAGGAACGTGGACATAACTGACATTGATTATCCTGGCAGGATCTACGAACGTATCGCCATCCTTGCTTTGCTGTGCTGCTGCCCGAAGAAGAGGTAGACATTTCTGTGTGAGGGTAAAAACGCGCTGTACATTGAGCGTCAGGACCTTGCTGAAAGCGTGATCCTGTTGTGCATTGTTGGCATAAGTATCCTCCCGTGCCATAACTCCGCACGTACAGGGTAATCTTCAATTGACTCGCCCCAGGTTGCACCGGCATTATTGACGAGAATGTGGAGAAAACGTTCCTTCTTTTTGAGCTCGTCCACAAGTCGCTCCACCTCTTCGAACTTCTGTAAATCCGCGGGGATGGGGATGCATTGACCACTTCCGAGTGCATTGAGCTCCTTAGCAGTTCGCTCGCAGTCCTTTTCCGAGCGTGAAGATATATACGTCTTAGCGCCGTTCTTCACCAGCCCTGTAGCTATCTGAGTGCAAGGTAGCAGACACGTCAGAAACACGATCTATTGACAGAGAAGACAGCCTTCACCATCTTCCCTATTCCTCGACTACCACCCGTGACGAGTACCACCTTGCCCCTCACTGTGAAGAGGTTTTGTAGGTCGAAGGACGCCATAGTGCAGAGACGATATTCGTTGTGTTACAGAGGGGCGAGTTGTGTATGTGGAAGATCTGAGACGTTTCGACATGCGGGGCAAGAGTGTGACCGGCTGGGAGAAGACCGTCGGACTGAGATTGCCGGTGACCCGGTGCCGGGCCCGACGCGTCAATCAGACGCTGCATGAAGTCGGAAGGAAATCAGGACACAACTACCGATAATTGACGACCAGTCGTTCAAGGCAAGTACGCTAGTTTACAGCAAGAGTAAATGAGGCTATTCGGAGAATCGCGACTGCCTGTAACGCAGTGGTCCCGATGTAGCTAAAGAAGCGTCGACCTGAGGAATTCCAGATTCAGCACCTTCTTTCGAGTCCTATGCTACGAATCAGCGCCGGATGCGAATCACACAACACGATAATACCAGTTCAAGCTGACGGCCATAGACTGCACTGCGGCTGCGTCCTACAGAAACCGACTTGCGTTTCCTGATCCTTTCGCCACTTCTCGAGCGTCTATGTACCGACTGTGCCTGTGACGTGCCAGGCAGCGCGGGCTTCTTGTCGCCTGTGTCCGGGCCTTCCTGGGCGACGGAAGCGAGCCCACGTAGAGTCCCTCCCGTCACCACGGGTACAAGGCACACCGCGAGGACCATGGAAGAGATGGAAATGAAGAATATAGTCGAGGCAATAGCAGTCAGCAGTGGGAATCGAGAGAACAGACCACTGTATGGCGTCCGTTAGGCAGGGCTACGCAAGGGAGGAAAAATATTCCTACCGCAGTCCCTTGTGTCGCAGAGCGCCGCGCAATGAAAGGGAAATAACGCTGACTTCGCGGCCTTGCCCAGCACCGACGCTTCTCCATTCGTCCTTTCGCCCAACTTCTATGCGAGCAACAATCCCACGGGAAGAAGCGGAGTATGCGTCCAGTAGCGGAATTGTAATATCAATTAGTTGGGATTGAGAACGTTTCCATAACAAACTTGGCGCAGGAGGTAAGATTATAGCCTAAAGGTGATTATCCCACTGCATGTCATGAGCATATCGGATTGTGCATACCGGCTTCCGAACCCTTGTTAGGGTCTCATTGGACCGAGATACTAGGGTTAATGTTGCCATGAAGTTCCCTAGTGCGAAGTTGGATTCCGTTCCTGGAACAGTCAAGTGCACGGAAATATCGTATGCTTGGCGAGGAGACATCAGTGGTACAGGGACTTCTGCATACGGTGGAACCCCATCACTGCCTGAGGTCAGCTTACCAACGTACTCTCCGATACATGACACTCACCCGTAGTTCAGATATACGGCCATCTCCCAGCCAACAGCAGTACTCTTCCAGACGAGAATCCCGGCAACCATCGACGTGAGTATCAGAAAGGGAATAAACAGCGCACAGATCGCGATTGGAATGAGTTGGGGAGATAGACCGCGTAGTACGCCGAGCGCGTAGAGGAAGACATTCGAGGCCGATCTTAGTGGAAACGCAAGAAGCCAGATGATTTTGTCGACGACTCCTTGCGAAGGAAAGGGGTCGTCTCGCCTCCGATCCTTAAATTTTTCATTGCTATGGTCCATGGTCGGTGCCGGTGACTGGTCGCGTCGCGGATGAAGCTTTGAAGGACAGAAAACAGCCGTCTATCACGTGCGTCGCATTCAAGGGCCCCAATTGGGCATCCTTGCCCTTGAACTTCTCATACTCGCGCATACGTGCAAAGCAGCTACGCTGCGCCTCCAAGGGTTGCCACACATGACCGATAGTGAGACCCTCAGGAGCATGTTAGGACGGGATCCGTCCACTCCCGAGCTTGCCGCTCACATCGCCGCACTTTCGCTCGATGCGCCCGATTCCGCCTCCCCGGACGTCAAAGTATACTCTGACGCTGTATACTTCAACTATCACAAGCTCGGAATAAGCTTCGTGTACAAGCCGATATCGGGATATGAGCCACGGACAGGGAGCTCTCGCGATCAACTCAACGAGGGGAAATTGCTCCTTGACAGTATCGATCTATACAACGCGACGGAGCTTCTGGCCGGCAAGTCGAAATCCACTGGAGTTCAGGCATATGCCACTTACCGCGGACTCCCTTTAACGCTCTCGTTATTTGCGAAGACGACTGACGGGAAGGAACGCCCCACTAGTCTTGAGGTCAAGTCAACTACAACGGGCAAAGACTTTGTGGAGTGTCTCGGTGAGCCCGACCGCAAGGGCGGAGGTACTGGACCATCGACTGGATCCATTGATATTTGGTGCGAATGGTCGAAGGATGGTTTGATGGTAGAATTCGGAGGCGATAAGGCTAGGGGCCCTCAGGCCTGGGAGCGGGGGAAGGAGGCTTTATGGAAAGTTGTATCAATATTCCATGCAGCAAAGGACTGAAGCCCGAATGATATTCAGATGTTAGTCATTTCCTTTAATTTCGAAACTCTGGGACCAGCTGATCAGCATTGTAGAATCATTAAATATCAGTATCATGAGCTCTAGATCTTATCCCATCCTCGCTGCTTCATCCGAAATCACTTTGAAACAGCAGGCCCGGTTACATGACGCCTGTAAGCCCTGAAGCATAGCGAGATTCTGTTATACCATCCCGTGATTATATACTGTTCGTTCCTACGCATCCTGAATCACTGAAACCGTTGGGCCGATTGCGATATCGATTCTCAAAGTTAGGGTCCCTAGGGGTCCCTCCATTGATACTGCCATGTGATTCAGGTTCATCATATACCTCTGAGTGCGCTCCACTGAGGCACTCACAATTATCGCACATTCACCATGGCAGCACCCACAGAAGTTACTACCGCTGCGTTGAGCGGTGTCTACGTTATGGTAATGCCGTACTGCGTGCACGCATTATACCCCAGCGAACCGGTACTAATCGCAAAGCACGCATGTAGAATAAGAGTTTGTCTGATACTACCGCTGCCGACAAGATCTTGCAGCTGCAGGGCGTTGGTGAGTCCATGCGTTCCTGAACATTCGCTCGTAAAGGATCTGACCTGGTTGCTCAAGGCTGGTTCAAGCGGAAAGCTATCTCGGCTGGGACGCTTACGCTCTACGTGAAACACTACCAGGATGACGACGGTGTTGAACACATCGATATCGAGCAAAGTCTCAGCGGCATCGAAGGCACTACGGAGAAGCGGACCCTGGATTGGGTCGAACATAGTCATAATGATCATGTTTTCGGCCATGTAATCGGCAAGACCAGGCGCATCAAGGTCGATGACATCGACGAAGACTTCTTGAAGGAGGGCTGGCTCCCAGACACACATGAACACGGAGCTATCGAGTCCCATGTCATCAGTGACACTGCCAAGAGTGGAACGACTTGGATCGCGCATCAGGTATGTCGTTGCGCTGCGATGGACTTCTCCAGGGCTGACAAGCGGGCAGACTTGGGGATTCAGAGACATCAAAGGAGAAAGGCGCTACGCTCGCAGCATCAAGTTTACAGGTCCGAAAGGGGAAAACGTCGAGGCCCATCTGTGGTACGACTACACTGGTCCGCAAGCCTGACATCCCATTTGTCCTGTGATTGAGCTTTTATGTTACTCGTCGAGTTGTATGCCATTTCCCTAGTGTGTATCGCGGGTTGTTGCGCTAGCGTAGCCGCACTGCTGGTGTTCACGGCTGCAAGAATTTGTTCATTTCATACTTACAGTAAATCACCAGTACATAAGTGTGATGCGTCGAGCGTGTCCAACATATTAGCCGGATCAAGTGGCTGTCCGTATGTCTAAAATTGAATACATCCTTGCCGTCCCGGCACGGTCGCACACCGACGTGACGTCGTCCTCAATGGTTGCTGCGCATGATATTCTCGCTCGTTGACAATGGCCTACGCTCACCCTCTGGCAGGGTCGGATTCGAATGTCACAGTGAACACCCTGCGGCGCGGCTCGTCCCCTACGACGTCAAACGGCAACCCTTCCGGTGACAAGTTTACCAGCGTGCAACCGCTTCAGCTGGAAGAGCAGCAGCCCACTTCTTGCCTCCGACGATGGGGTGTCAGATTTCTGCAAAATCATCCGCGAGCTGGCAAATGTATACTTTATCTGCAAGGTCCGAGGCCAAAGATGGATCTTCCCCGTAAGTCGTGTGAGCATAGACTACACTATCCCCTAGCTAAATTCCAGATAGCTCTTATACCACTGTTTGACAGGTCTTTCGACCCACGCACATGGAAAGTCAAGATACCCCTACCCCAACTGAAGCTTTGCCTAGAGTCATTAATTCTGTCACGCACTCGTCGCTTGACGTCCCCCTGGTTCTTCGTGGTCTTCGGAGCAGCTTATATAATATCCGTATCCTTTTTATCTCGCGCGTCCTCGTTCCAAACACCGTCAGACGCGTGGCTCGGATGCACCTCGACGTTTTGGCTGAAGGACGACGGTTGCGGTTTAAATGGCCAATCGTGTTCACCCTTCGACAACGTAACCTATGACTTTCGATGTCCTGCACAATGCAGTTCTGTCGTACTTCAAAACCCTCGGGTGGTTGGGATTGAATCCGTGGACTTCGTCCCGCTCCTAGTAGGAGGTGGGGACGACCAAGCGACATATCGAGGAGACAGTTTCATCTGTGCAGCCGCCATACAATCGTGCGTGACGTGTTGTTATACTCCTACTCCCACACCAACTCTGCTCGTAGCGGGTTGGTTTCCAATTCAAGAGGTGGTTGCGCCTCTCTACGTCTCGTGGGCAACTTTACAGACTACCGACCACGTAGTGGCCACGGCCTCACATCCATCGGATTTCCTACAATATTTCCGTCGTCATTCCGCTTCTTACCATCCACGCCTCTGCACCATTGTTCCGACCTTCGCAACGAAGCTTTGGCTTTGAATGTTCTCGTCACATGCATCATATTCCTCGTCCTCCGTCCAAGACCTATTGTTCTCTTCTGGTCTTTGGTCTGCATCGGCTTTTGGCATATAACGCTATTTTCCCAACCCCGCAGCCTTCCACCCGATATCAGTGATGGCATTGGTACGTTTCTTCCGGTTCTCTTTATCGCGTATGCCTTCTGGCGAGTGGCCTGGAGGTTCGTGTTGCCGGCGTTCTCGAATGCACCTTTCGAAAGGATGATATGGTTGTCCCATTCCATATATCCTGTTGACAATATGTACTGACAGACTGGTCTTATAGGTACTTGGGACCGTTCTGGGTGGGCGTGCTCACCAACCTGACAACGGACAAGATTCCTATCGATCGTCTGACGGCATCCGATATCAACCAGCAAGCTGGGGGTGTCACCTCGCTTGTCATCATCTGCGTGGTCCTCCTGTTCATTGTCATCAACCAAGTTCGTGTCATTCGCAAGACAGGTTGGCTCCCATGGTACGCCATGTGGTACGCCATTGGCGGGCTTGTGGTCATGGTGTTTGCGCTTCTCCCCACGCTCAACCTTCGCATCCACCATTACATCTTGGCGATTGTCTTGATGCCGGGGACAGCGTTCCCGACTAGATTATCAGCTATATATCAAGGACTATTACTAGGGATGTTCCTCAATGGCGCGGCGGCATTCGATCTCGCATCGATGTTTCAGACTGCTGCAGAGGTTCGTCCACAGACACTCTTGTTCGGTGCTTGAACTGATTCGATCCCTTCTTACAGCTTCAACGCGATGCAATATCAGGATCTGCTTTGCCTACCTTCTTGACAAACTCCACCACATATAATGCTTCAATTCCGTTGCACCAACAGATTATCTCTTGGGCACCACCTGACGGCGATTGGGACGGATTCAACCTTCTCGTCGATGACGTCGAGCGTTACAGCGGCGCAGCTCTGAATTACTCTCTCGCGGCCTTACAGGAAGGCATACCGCACTTCTTCAGACTGGCAGTGAGTGGTTTGTAGGCAGTTTCATAGTATCGACATCATTAATATGATGTGCGACCAGTTTACCAGTCAAGGATCAGACGGTGATTTCACGATGGTACGCGCAGTGACCTTGAATCAATGCGGCCACGCTCATGCGACTCAACAGGCAGCTACGTTATGGCCAAATGGAACATGGGTAGACCCGCCTCCAGGTGGATCGTAGCATCCGCCTTGTACCAAGCATTATACTCTATAGATGTTGTAGCGCGCGTGGATACCGTCTCTGTACCGAAATAAACCGAAATTAGTGCACCATTGTGAGAGGGGGGTCAAATGCATCGTAGCATGCATAGGTAATAATAACTGAAGCCCGGAGGATTGGCTTCCGTCTGAAGCTGTCGAGAAATAGCATGGTAGCTGATAGTACGGTCCCGGAAGAGCAAGATTGTTCTGCACAACACGTTAGCTCACCGAGCTGCCAGATGTTACGCGAACAACTGACCAAGGATTCAAAGGTCGTCCTTTACTATCTCGCCGGCGATTGGGCATTACCCTCACAGGCGAGCGTTTTTCAGAAGGAAACGCCACTGGGACGGCCGTCGTTCCCCTCAGCGGTGAGTTGTGATCCTCCCTTTTCGCGTATGCGCGCGGAGAGCCAACCCCGCTACCTTTTCGATTGCTGGGCTTGGGCCGTTGGTAACTGAAAACGGGCGTATGCATGTCATGATGGATCTCGCCCGAAGGGCGGGCGGAGACCGTGGGCTGGTCCCGCGTCCACCCGTTTTCGGGAATATGCCATCCCGGATCGACGTCGCCCCAACCGTCGCCGGCACTCTCGTGCCATGCTTGTTGTGCTCTCTCTCGCTCCTCCAAGAACTCCTCCATCGTGGGCAACCGTTCACCTTTTTCTGCTGCTTCTATACCGCGCAACCAAAGCGCGATTTTATCGTTGGCTTGAGAGTCATAAGATTCACTATGGTAAGGATTATCCCACCCCGATCCCTGGTCGGGAAGAGCTGTCCAGGGGTTGGTATCCCATTCGAGAGGGGTAGAGGCGATTCTGGATGTAGCCGGCACCTTGTCACCATCGGTATGCCTTGTTCCATTGAGAGGTTTGGCAGGAACCTTCTGGCGGCGGCTGCCACCGTGGTCCATCACAGGCAGATTGACTGGATGTGAGTTGGACAAGATAATATAGTATTGCCAGAAATCTGTGATCAGCGGTCGATAGCCCGCTAGACCGGCCTCGATAGAGAATCGGGAAGTATATGTGAGGATATGTCGTCCAAGCAAGTCTGTGATCTCTGTTGAGCGCTGCAGCAACCGAGTCGCTGGCAGCGCAACCGCGGCAGGAAAGATTCCCGAACGGGCGTCACCCCCTAAGATCACGTGCTGTATCGACGTCACTTCGCTCCTAACCTGTTCCCGGGAGGTTTGGAGCATGTAGTGAAGAGTGTATATAACATCGCAGGTACATCCCCCAGCGCCCATCAGTGAAATCGCGGCATGAGCTAAGGCAGGGCCATCGCAAACGGGGGGGCATCACATGACCAAAAATCTAACAAAATACCTCTTACCCTCTATCGCCGGGTTCACCAGCGCAACTAGCGTATTTCTATTCCCATACGATCCTCAGGAAATGCATAACAGAGGGCTCTATGGGTCCAAATTTTTTTTAAATGAGCTCAGAAACAAGCGAACAGCAATTCAAGGCATCCATTGCGTGGGAATCAGAGACATCCTAGCGTTGTGATTGGTCGATGAGTTTCTCAAACTCCCTTGGAATGTCGTCATGCATGCGTGACAAGCCCCCCCGTTTGCGATGGCCCTGCCTTATTACAACGACCCTCCACCATACGGCTGGACCAAAGTGCGTCTTGGGCATGGACGTACGACGTGGCGCTTACTAGCTATGCATAGGAATACGACCCAGCGTCCCAGCACGATTTCTGGGTTGATACCACCTCTAGTCCGCCGCGATCTATCTGGACCCATCCATATGAGGATGAGATATTTCTATCGCAACATCCCGAGATACGCGAACGCTTCAAAAACGAGCTCAGTCCGTCTGCAGGGCCAGACAGCCGACGGCACTCGTTCCACGGAGAGTCTTCGACTGTTCGGCCTCCTGCTAAGCGAAACTCGGCATCGCACCCAGGGACACCGGTCAATACGCGTTCTTCTACGCCCCGTGGGATATTCGGCCGAATGAAGGACAAAGCAATAGGGACAAAAGAGGAGCGCGAGGAACGTAAACTGCGAGAACGAGAGGTAAGTCGATCCAGAAAGTCGATAACTCACCTTGGCTAAGGCCCTCAGTTGGAACGCCAACAAATGACACAGCGCGAGCAAGCTCTCCAGCAGTTGCGTCAACAGTACATGCAGCAACGACAGCAATACCAAAGTCAAGACGGAAATCGGTATGGGCGGACGAGCGGTTTGGCTTATGGTCCGCCACCGGGCAACCCATACAGCAATCCGTATTACGGCAGGAACAGGTCAGGACTGAGCGGAGGCAATCTGGCTCTACCGTTACTCGGAGGGATGGCGGGTGGTTTGCTTTTGGGCGATATGCTCGATGGCGGATTCGGTGGTGGTGGTTTTGGCGGTGGCGGTTTTGGCGGTGGCGGTTTTGATGGAGGATGGGGTGGGGGAGGTGGCTTCTTCTGATTGTCCAAACAGAACGCGGTGAAGATCAGTAGGAGCATGGATTGTAGGATAATGTCATGTATTTGTACCATAAATGAATGACCTTTTACTTCGCATCATGAGTGCTGTATAAATATTATGCACTCGTGCTTGTTTATTCGTGGGAAGTTTGAATGCGCCGAAATCACCTCCAGGTCATCGTCTAGTAAGTCAGTAGAACAGACGACAACTGCCTGGACTGGTAGAGATGCCGCCTGTAATACCGACCTCGCTCAGTCCCCATATCTGCGTGTTAACCAGTCCGGACCTTGAAGATGTACTCGCCACGGCGTCAGTGCCGTCGTTGCCGCAGATCCTCCAATCCTTCTCGCCTTTACCCCAAGGTTCGAGAATTCCATGATCCACTTTACATTCACTGACTTGCGACTGGAACATTAGTGACCACGCGCACTACCGCGCTCGCGTCCGTCTCGCATGCATCCTTCGCCCTGCGTTTCTCGGACCTGCAAGAGATCGAAGCTGCTTGTCGCGAACCCGAAGAGAACCGGGCCATGCGCATGCTGGACTGGATCTCAGCTCGAATTTCCAGTAGGTGTGCGCAATGGGTTGAAGACATGGAGAAAGCGGAGACAGCAGAGAAAGAAAGATACGAGGAAGATGGACGTGATATTGTGAGGACCCCCTGGTGGGACGAGCTTCGGCGGTGCGCCGAGGGTGACTGTGTCCCTGGTAAAGGGGAAGGCTGGAACCATCCCGTAGCCGGTATGTCTTCTTTTTCCATCGGTTGCATCATCAGGCATCAGCATGCTCATTGAGCTTAACAGTGATACTGGCAGCCTCGACAACTGCGCCGAACCCTCTGCAAGCCATTACGACCTTGCATTCACGATCTGTAGACTTACCTACCTGGGTCGATCCTGCGCAGCTCCGCTATACTCTTATAGTGCATCCCCAGAATTCTCCTCTTTCTGACGAAGAGTCAGTTGCAGACAATACATCTCTTGTGTTTCGTTTCCTGATAAAGGCCTTAGAGCTGGAGCCCTACTCAATGCCGTCAAGAAGCAATATGGGCTGCATGTGTTTCTTCTTCCTCTGTCTTTGCCCTCCCCTCCCCCTCCACCTGTGCAGGTCCCCGCACTCTTGCCCAAACTACCTCTCTCACCATCCATGTCAGATGATCCGACGTCGCAGGCACCTGAGTTGGCCACAGAATCAGCAACGCATGTGACGCTCGATCCAGCAAGCACGCTGAACTCTCTGAGAATGAGCGAGCAAGATATTCAGGCCACGGTCAAATTTGTGAGGGAGTTCGTGACAATGAGCTTAATCCCATGGATGGAAAAATGCGTGATCGACTGGAATGAAAACGTGAATATGTTTTATTCGTTCTCTCACTATATTATGACCCTGACGCATCCGACACTCAGTACTCCGCATCCCGACGCTTACCTTCTCGCCTATTTTCCTCTACAAGACGTCTATTTGGTTCGTCATACGCACCTGGAAATGCCTCGCCAACATCTGCTTCGCCAAGGACGTCGCATTCGTCTACGAGTTCTGTACCGTCTATTGCTTCTAGTGCGACTCTTGTGGGTGGATCCGAGCCCTTACAGCAACAGCGGCGTCTCGCAGAGTTCGCTACTATTCTTGGCGATCTCAAACTTGCTGTGAGCATTTGGGAAAGTCTGCGGAAGGAAGGGAGGGGCGGATCGGTAAGCATGCCTGATTACTACATGACTACATACACACCGCTCTAACCGGCGACTTCGAACCGCATCACAGGACATCCTTCCGATGTTGGTAGCCCCAGGACCGAATGTGCAGCTTTACGCATCTTACGCTATATCCTCGCTTCACCCTCTGATGACCTCTGGTGCGTCGGATCTGCCGCCGCAAATACTTGTCAAAGCTCTCAAGTATGCGGTGCGGTGGGATATTGCCATATCTCAGCAAGACTTCTTGAGCGATGTCTTGGAAGGCGATCGATGGCTCGTATGGGCTGCAGTCAATGTATGTATGCATATAAACTATCGGACTAGCTGCGGGTTGAGTAGCCTGCTCTGCAAGGTAGAGGAAGTGCCCCCCGCGCTCTTGTTAGGTCATGCAGCTCTTCTGAGTGCACGTAGGCGCGCTCGCAGAAGAGCGGCGCTTTGGTATTATCTGGCAGCCAACAGACTTGAGAAATGCGGGATTGTACGTGACAAAGTTTCTTGTGTCGCACGTAAATCTGAACACTGCACAGAGACCACTCACCATGTATTTCCTTCGACGTGCTGGCGAATTGTGTGCGTCCAGGCCACCGATGACTTTATCGCCGTCGTTTTGGGAGTCTGAAGATATCAGTCCCACGGATTGGCAAGGATTTGAGGCTATCAGGCCTGGTTTGGGTCATGCGCTAGGTTTGCCCTTAGATTATCTCTGATATAATATTCACGACGTGGTAGGGCGCCTGCTATACACCACCGGCCGAGTGGAAGAGGCCATCCGACTTTTTGTTACGCTATTACAACGGCGTCCGCATGCGTCTTCCTCGCTATCAAGCGCCAGTGCAACCATCCTGAATGGCATTATCTTTACGGAGCCAAGCGAAGATAGCGCGGATAAACTATTCATCAGCGATTTCAAGACAGCGTTTCAGGTAACTCAGCCCATGTCCTATGATTATCATCCTAACGTCCTCCTTCTAGCATTTCTTGTCGACTTCCGGAGATCCGGAGAAGTTGCGCGATTTGAAACTTCCATGTACATTCAGTGTTCCCAATCAGAGTCGGGTACGCCTTCCGAGACAATCCGCTTCACTCGAAGGCGAGATATGGAATGTCCGCGAGCAAGCGTGGCGGGAATTCTGGAAAACCCGGGGAAGCGAACCTCTGGAACCGACTTATGGGTCAGCTTATGTTGACGGTGCGTGAGCGCTATTGATCTGGGTCGCTCCTCTCCTCTGATATCACCGCTGTGTAGAGACCTTCTGGTTTGACCTGGTGGTAGAAAATCCACTCGACGTTGAAATCAGCCTATGTAACGTCACAATCACCATCCATGAATTGGGAACTATGAACCTACCACCGAGGTCCATAAATTTCGACAGCCACCAGGAAATCGTCCTGGAGCCCAGGGAACGTCGTATAGTGAGTGGCAATACGGAGGTTCGGCCAAGCACTGGATCGTGATGTCGTATATTCCAGGTACCCATACCCATCACCGTTCACGAGCCTTGCTCGCTGACCATTGCCGAAGCCCGTTATGATTTCCTCTCATTCCTGCCGTGCACGGAGCGGTTGGCTTTAAAAGGGGCAAGACTCCACGCTACTCCCGCCCAGAGACAGAGCAAAATGTACGGCCCGGACCAGTTCATCACGGTAACAGCCAAAGAGGGCAGACAGCGCCTCCTTGTGGACTTTGTGGAGGATGAGCCGTTAGTGCTGGCGCACGGTGAAAACAGACGAATGGACATGTGGCTCTCGAGTTGTGGCACAAAACCTATCGGGGAGCTCTGGCTATTGGTGGATGCCAATGACATTCTGTCGGTGATACCAAGTGCGGATGATGTCCCTGGTGAGTGAAAATATACTTGGTACGCTACAAGGAACTTAAATGTTGTAGAGTTTGCTCCGAAGAAACAGGTCCGACAATCCGACAATTCCCTACGTCATAGTGACCCGTTGCAAATATCGCTCGAATCTATCAGTGATTCGAACACGTTGGTGTCGGGCAGGGATGCGAGACTATCCGTAGTCATACATTCAGACCAGCTTCGAGACCAAGATCTGACGATGCTCTTCGTGTACCGCGAGGTGTGTCCTGTCTCGAGAAGAATTGCTGATGGCTAACTTCCGTCGGAAGGCACCTGGCTCGCCGTTTCATTCAACGAGGATTGCCAAGCACTACGAGGTGTCGCCCACGTTGGATATCTCCGTCTCCAGTCAACCAAGTCGGACTCCTGGCCATCCGTTCCTGCTGAACGTGGACATCACCAACGTCAGCGCATATGATGACATTCGCATCCAAGGCATTATGACCATGAGCCCGACCTGGCTTTGCTCAGGCATTTCGCGACAACCCAGGTAAACAGAAAGAATCCGTCCGGCTCGTGCTTTATGCTAACGTCTGACAGTGATTACTTGCAGCCCTCGCAAATGCTCCGGTGGTCGTTCAGTGTCCGTGAATCGGAGGAAGGGCAAGGAATATCGGAAACATATCAATATGTATCTCGGACACTCCATTCAGTCCTACGAGGCGAGAGCGTCGATACGATGTATCCCCCGCCGATTGACATCCTGTGCTGTCATCATGGTGCTGAGGTTGGCGCCGCTGTCTTGTCCCTGAGCCGTACACTGACGACTTCTAACAGAAGCGAAGCTCTTTTGGGGACCGTGCCGTATGGCAGTCTATCCAAGATCGCCGGCGCTGTCATATTCGACGTCAATTACTGAACCAGTACCGCCATATACCCCCATCTTCACATCCGCACATATTCCCTCTATACAATCCAGCTGCCGTGGACATCGCGGTCTTTTGGTATATGCCTGGAGACCAACGGGCTGGCTACACCTTGTTTCCGGGCCTAAATATCGGCGCTGGGCATGGAGCACTTCAGGACATGGTGAACGAGGTGGAAGAAGCTAAGGTCAGACGCAGCATGTACGCGGAAACGCAAATGGAGAAAACCGAGATCTTGCAATCGGTCCGAAGCAGTGAATGGAACACCGAGATGTATCCCGTCATCGTTTCAATTCAGGATGGAAGGACAATGGTTCACGATTTCTCTGGAGGGTTGGAATGCTTCACTCTTGCTTGATTTACCTTCGCTGATGCTGCCGCCTACAGGCCCTGTCAAACAACATGCTCAATAGCTGTACGCAACTACTCTAGAACGCATCCAGCACGTTATACACTCAAGTTGAACTCACGACAGACACACCCAAAGTAAGCATATGGTTGCTACGCAACTGTCAAAATCTCATGCAGTTGTCAGTGATTTGCTGCCTCCACCCTATAGCGGTCGCAGGATTCATCGTGGTGTGCTCGGGCCATCCGAGGTCGTACTCTTGAATACTCAGTTGCGTATATCCCGACCAGGGAGGTACGCGCTCGCGAGTTGGTCCATAGAAACGGAGCTCGGGGAGCCCAGTTACTCTGCTGAACAAACAGACTCGTGGCAAACAAGACGTAAATACGTCCAGGATGCATCATCCGCTGATACCACTTCCATCATTGTTCACGACTTCAACCACCGAGCGTGATTGTATATGCGAGTGGCTCGGGTGTACCACATGGATACGGTAATATAGATGCTGAAAGCCCATGATAATCGGACATGGTATCATGCGGATTTCCCTGCTTTAGCCTTCTCTTCCAACTCACGACGTGCTCGTGCTTCAGCGGCTGAGCGTGCCTTCTTAACCTTGGTGTTGAAGTATGTCTATACGTCTGGTTAGAAGTGATTACATTCGATAAGACCGTACCTACGCCGAGAACGAACTGAACCATGTTGAAAAAAGGAACCCAAAGCTGGAACACTGTCTTCAGTATCTATGTAAGTCTAGTGAATCGGGTACAAACCTCCGGAGCGACGAAGTTTTGGGCGAAAACAAGTGTCAATGGGGACGTAACCCACGTCACCTACAACGAGAGACTGCGCGTCAGCCTAAAAGACCCGCGTCTAAACGTTTCAGAGCTTTACACGCAAGACAGGCATGAAGCCAGCCTTCACTGTTTTCTTCACTTCGTCCGCCGACTTCGCGCCATTGATAATGGCCATGCTTGCAAGATAAACTTAGAATCATCACGGTGTCGCGTCAGTACGTTACACCATCTCAGCCATTGCTATTCTGCTCGCACCAAGGGTCTGAATTGGAGCCACGAGGAGATTGCTCGCTATGACCTGTGCGACCTTCGCACCCGTCCCTGTCTTGCCTGCGAAGACACGCTGCAATGCGCCAACAAGGTAGTGGCCCATTGGCGCGGACACCAGGAAGCCGTATATGAACATCTTGAAGGACTTGGCCTCAATGCGGGCACGAGCTAATGCATGAGAGTAGACAGGTGCGTCCTTGGGTTTCTGCTTGACAGGAGTACCAGCCAGATGGGAAGCAAGCACTTCCTAGGTGTTCATAACCATTCAGCTTGAGTAATTATAGCATCACCAATCATAGACACTTGCTTGCAAGAAAGAGAGAGACCCTATGTGTTCGCCAGAGCATTGTTAGTTTCGCAGTGCAACGACTAGGTTATCATGGAGTGAGAAGTCAGGCGTACCGGTCGTGAGCGCCTTCGTTCTCAATGGGTGCGCAACAAGCTCTGCTAGATAGGCAGCGAGGAGAGGGTTCAAGGGCTTCGCAGCAGAGGCACTCATCGTCCGGTCGTTGAAGTCGATGCTGATGCAGAGCACAAGTATGAACGCTCAGCAACGTGCTCAGAGCTCTCTCACTGGGCCTAAGGCTTGACCAAGGCACGAACTTAGGGGCCCCGCGTTCCACAGCCACACAAACTCTTCCAGGAAGGTAATCATAATTCCGGGGTAATGCGGTATATAAAAGCAACTAGTATAGCACCTATGCGAAAGCGAACTGAGCTGCCTCAGAAGCATCATTTGCTCCCATTTCCCTTCACCCTGCAAGATATGTTGAGACACGCGGCAGAAATCAGTACTTGATAACAGAAGACCTACCAAGCCTTGACGTAGTCCGCGAACGAGACCATGCAAATAGTCTGCCAGATACCCAGACCGATGCGTGGGGTGACACCGCGGTACAGACCCTTGACGCCATTCACGCGGTAGATATACATGAAGATGTTGGCAATCGTGGGCTTCGCCGGGCGATTGGCCGAATCCGCGTTCTTCGCCACGGATTGCAACTGGAAAAACGACGCGTCGTTGAGGAGAATGGGATGCATTTAAAATCAATACGAACCTCAACACGGATAACTTCGATAGGTTGGTTCCACGTCGCAAGAGCACCGCCGATGGACGAGGCGAGTATTTTATCAAGGGCACTCAGGGTTTCGCCTTCTTTCTTACCCCGAGCTTTGCGGATCCCGCTCTCCGCCAATCTCGCGAAACCCATGCTAAAGCAAGTGCGGCCGCATTGGCATCTGCGAATATGGTTTATGGAAGACACTCACCGGGAACCCCAGTTAGTGCATTGCCTGACGGCAACGGCATTGACACCCTTGTTGATACCACGGATGCCTTCACGGCGGTAAATGTCCATGAAGACTGCCCACGTCGATGCGGGCTTGACTCCTGTTGCAGCTTGCTTGTGTCGCGTGATTTCAACCGTCTTCATGCATGTCGTGAAACCTGTGCGCGTGTGAGCAGGCAACCCACGACGTCGGTACAAGGAAACCGAACCCATGGTCGCATAAGCCTGAGCAATACCGCCTCCCATGCCGCCCAACAAACCAGCTGCAGCGGGGCTGATTCCCACTTTCGTGGACGCCGTCTCGATCTCGGACGCTGTAAATAGTAAGACACCACCCTTAGTGGATGCCTCTATCCAAGCCTAGTTCTCGTGTCGGCGATACCCATGGGTCTAACACGTTGAGAAACGCACCCAGGGAATGAGGCCTTGGTAAAAGCCGGCGAGACCACCCCTACTCCAGACCGTCTGAAGCGCCTGAACCATCGTCTGCGACCGGTTAGCAGCCATTTGGGTCTTGATAACCTCCAGCGGTTGCCCCAGGGTCGTAACCTGGCATTCTGGCACTTTAGTATACGTCCAGAGCAGAGACTCTGCAACAACGAACCTCCTGGAGACAAACAGACATTGTCAGCACGCGGGAAAGGCACGGTGACAAGGACTACACACAAACTGTTGCATGAGGAGGCGAGTGTGATCGTGGAACGGTCAGTAAGAGCATCAGCACTGGGAACAGGACTGCCGTACCATGTTCATGATGGCACCTGGCGTTTGATGAGTACTGAAACGGATTGCGCTGGCACAGTAGGCTCACCGACTGCAATGTTGGACCAGTTGACGCCCTTCTGTCCGGGCTCTCGTGCGACGGGGGCCATTGTGGACCGGGTGATGACCAGTGAGCAGACCGGAGGAAGGGGGGATGGTGGTGGAGTGGGGGTAAGGTAGAAACGCGTATGGGCCGATTGGCAGCTGAAAGTTTGGGGCGACCGCGTCGGCTAACCGGGCAATTTCAAGTCGGACGACGCGTCGCGCGCGTCCAGCGTCCGCGCTCGCATTGCGTTTCCTCCACAGCGGCCGCTGCAGACGCTCGCAAAGCGCTCACATCTCCCCCTCGCTGTCGACCAATCCCGGCGCCGCCGTCGTCGTTGACGGTCGCCGCTGGGCTTATCGCTCCTGCAGCTGCCCCCGCGGGAATGCCGTCTCACGTTGGTCCGCCCTAATCACGTGCGTCTAATAATACTCACACAGCATTAAGCAATGCAACTAACGCAAGTTCACTAGCTAGACTATAGACAACAGTAGGATTAGGCATAAGACGGACGTGAAAATTCCAAAACTTGGGTATTCGGATGACTGCAGAAAATGGATGAAGAGCAGTGAAATAACGATCCTTCTGGTCGAGAGTCCCGAGTACAGGAACTGGAGTGGAAAACACGATTTCGGAGGGCCTCAAGAGTTATTGGCCTTCGCAAGCTGCTCACTGAGATGGTCGATATCGGCTTTCAGGCTGGTTGAAGGACTGTCAGCGCAGATACGCGTTCAAAAGAAAGAAAAAAGTATGCTTACCGAGTTATCTCGTCCTGAGACTCCTCGTGCTCTTGCTCTATATACTGAAGCTCCATCGCTTTCCGGGTGAAATCTTGTTTCAAGTCATCCTCTCGGGCATGGGCGGCCTCCAACTCCTCCTTCAGGGCTTGTAACGCCTTCTCGTGGGCCGCCTGCAAGTCGTTGATCTTCAAGTTATGAGCTTCGTGCATCTTCTGCAGCTCTTCTTTCGTGACGCCGGGGGCAGACGATTGCGCGGTTCCGTTGGACTTCGGAGATGCGGCCTCCTGTGCAGCCATGGCGGCTTTGAGAGTGGCCACCTCACCCTCGAGATCAACCACCTTGGCGATGAGATCCGTCCTCTCGCGCGCGTACGCTGCCATCTCGTCCGCGTGATCCGCCTTCAGTTTCATCGCCTCTTCTGCTCGAGCTTTCGCTGCTTCCTCGAGCTCCTTGGTATGGTTCTTTGACATCTCCGATAGGGACTCTTTGGTTGCGGCAAGCACCTCGGTGATCGCGCTGTGGTCATCCTTGATATTTGCAAGCTCCCGAGTCAGCCGTTCCACCTCCGCGGACTGGTCGGCAGGTGCAGACGCTGCTATCTGCTGAGCATGCCTACGTGCCTCCTCGAGCTGAGCGGACAAGGTCTCAGACTCCGCCAAAGCCGAGATGAGGGCGGCCTTCGCTTTCGCGAGGTCGTCCTTCGTTGCCTTGTAGTCGACGTCCAAGGTAGCGATCTGCTTCTCCAACGCCTTGACCTTGGCCTCCTGCGAAGCTTCGGCATCTGCCTTCACACTGTCGATGGTCGTCTGATGTGCCGCGCGTAGCTGCTCAATCGTAGCTTGAGACTCGGCCCGAAGGCGCTGAAGATCTTGTGAATGAGCGTCACCAGCTTCGCCCTAGAACCACGATGTTATTGTCAGGCTAAACAGTTGTAAAAGGGATCTTCGAACCTTCGCTCGTTCAAATGCCTCTTGTAACAGCTTGTCATGTTCTGCCTTCACTGCGTCCACTTTACCATTGTATATCGTTTCCTGGCCGCGCAATTCGTCCCCAATGCGTTTGATTTCATCCTCTAGCTCTGCAAGCTTCTCCTGGTGCGCCTGCTCGAGGGATTCAAGCTTCTGAGCGTGTTCCGTATTGGTTGCATCAGCATCAGCCCTCAGCTGCTCTTGATTCGCGCGAGCAGCCGCAAGTTCATCTTCCAGAGCTTTGAGATTTGCGACAACCTGTTCCATATCCGCAGCAGCACGCTTCAAATCCTCCTCGTGGGCTTTCTTAGCCGATTCAACCTGTGCAATCAACTCGGCTTCTTTGCTCGTCGCAGCCGCGCTTTGCTCTCGTAAAGTCGCGGCGTCTCGCTCGATCTGCTCATTGAGCGCCTTCACATGCTCCGTGAGCTTGTTGCGTTCATCTTCGGCCTTTTCCGCTGCCTCCCGCAACTCGAGAACTTCGATTTCAAGCTCGGAAACCTTGTTCGACGTCTCTTCTTTTTCTGACTTCAAGACCTCTATCTGGGCTTCCAGCGTGGACGCCCGAGCAGCTTTCTCCTCCAAGTCCCGGACCTTCGCAAGTGCCTCCTCCAATGTTCTAGCATGAGCATCCTTGAGAGAGTCTGTCTCCTGCTGAATGGCGTCAAGGTCCGCCTTTGCCTTCAGTAAAGCCTCGCGATCAAGTTCGGCCGCAGCTGCATCTGCAGAGGTCGCGGCAACTTGCGTTGCACGGACTGCCTCGAGGTTCTCCTTCGCGGATGCTACTTCGGTTTCTAAGTCCAGCAGCTGCGCTTGCAGGCTTTCGACCAGTTTGCTCTGCAGCGTCGCAGCTTCCCTTGCCGCTTCCAGCTGTATGCGCCTCGTTGAATACATGGAACGTGCGATATTATGAGAATTTCCATACCTCCTGTTTAACAGCGTTCAGCTCCTGAACACCACCCGAGCTTTCCGCCTTTAACTTCTCGAGCTCTTCTTTCAAAGCCTGCAGTTCAGCTTCTGCAGCCTCTTTGGACCGGGTCAGCTCGTCCACCAACGCTTGTTTTGCCGTCGCATTCGCCGAAGCTGTTTCCAGCGATGATTTAATCTCCTTCACTTGCGCTTCGAGCTGTGCGGTGATCTCGTTCTTTGCCGCCAGAGATGCAGAGGTCTCGTCGAGCTGACTACAGTTAAGCATACGTTATGTGAACGGAGTGGGATCTCACCTTGCTCTTCAGCTCATCGGATATCCTAGGGTCCTCTTTGATCTCCCTGAGAGACGAGATGGAGCCCGTGCCTGGCGTTTTGCGCACCGCAGTAGCGCTGGAGGTGCGGACAGACGCCGTCGCAGATTTGCTTGCAGGTCTCGTGGGGGGCGCGGCACTGGGTTTCGGAGCAGCCGCCGTTAGGCTGGATTTGGAAGGGGTCCTCTTCACCCCTTCCGAGACCGAGGCACGAGGCTTGGGAGTAGCAGATGACTTGGTACTTGATGCGGCCTCGGGGGATGCGGCGGACGGGCGTGAAGTGACAGAGGGACGAGGAGCGTGTTTGGTAGCCGCAGATGACGCTAAAGACGGTCTGGACGAAGGAGAAGGAGCTGATTTCGGTGCAGGAACCAGGGACGTTCGACGCGACGCTGAAGAAGCGGGGGCAGGGGTGGCTGACGCGGTCTTCGAGGCAGCGGAAGTTGGAGTCCTGGTTGGAGGCGGGCCGCTTACCGACTTCTTCAGAGAAGAGGCTGCTGCGGGTGGTTTCGCAGCCGTCGCTACACCAGTTGCCTTGGAAGTCGCCGGAGGCGACGGCTTCACGGTTCCAGACCCAAACGTGCCGGAGTTGAGGATCTGCAGAGGAATGGAGGGTTGAACGGATATGTTTGGAATGCGTGAGCGACCAGCACACCTTCTTCACCAAGGGCGTTCCCGGGGCACTTCCAGGCTTCGCGGTGGTCGGCTTCACGCTCAATTTTGCCTTCGGGGCAGGGGATTTGGGCTCCTCAGGGTTTGCAACTTCGCTGTGTTGCGCGTTGCCGTTTGCTGAAGCATGATCTGATGGGTCTGCTTTCGTGTCCTCGGCCGCAGCCTCACCGTCCACAGGTCCCGCAATCTCGTCGGCAACGCTGGTCGCTTCTTTCACATCGTCGTCGCTAACGTGCGTAGCGGTTGCAAGTTCACGAGCATCGTCAGCAGTCGGCTCCACGTTCTCTTGCTGAGCAGCAGTGAGTTCGTCGACAGTTAAAGGCGCCACGTCAGACATGGATGTCGATGAACAACCGAGTCGGTCGGCTCGGTGGACTCCGTTGAAGAGAGACAAGTGTAGACGGAGAGCAAGAACAGACCGTGGTGGTCCAGTCAGAGGAACGCGTCTTCGCAAAGTACATCACTGGCGCGCGTCGCGGGCCTACCGCGGTCACAGATTGCCATACACGGCCTAGCGCGTCCTTCTCTCGGATGCAACTTCTCCGACTGCACATTGTCCGAATGCACCAGAACGCTACAGAGATAATCGACAGCTTACAACTCGTCGGCTACATCGCGTACAAATTCAAGCCATTCAAAGCAGGTTCGGCGAGATTATTGTGGTTATAGCTGAGCACGGCAACCTGGAGACGATATCAGAACCGTGTGTTCCGACGGCGCGTCAAATCGCTTACTCCAGAAGGCTCGAAGTTGAAATGCGTTCCTGCGGATATGAATCCGAATCAACGTCAGGAATAAGGAACGAAAGATTTGACCGACCCAGGCACAGGGGCATATTCATCCATCGAGCTATAAGGACTCTGTTAAAATGGCCATGGGCGCAAATCACCACATCGCGGGACCCTTTGCCCTGTCAAACGCATGAGACCCGAATCACAAGTGTGCAAGTCCAGGGCCTGCTCACCTCCTCCTTCCAAGCCCTGTGATACTCTCGAACCTGCGACCGTGTCAGCTTGGCCAGTTCAAACATGGCAAGGAACGCACCTTCGAGATAACGTCGTCTGCTCTGCACGTCATATCAGCGACACTCTCGCCTCCAGGGCAGCCATCCTGCCAGATGTCCCAGGTCGGTGCGCCGGGGGGCCTAACAGCCTTGATACCCTCCGGGTCCAGCCCCTCGTAGTCGCCGTAGTCCCACTCGCGCACTGTTGGGGTAAGTTCGTGTTTCGGCAGCTCGGGCAGGTGGTCAAACAACAAGTGGAACGTCTTGTGGGCGCGCTGCCTAGGCGAGACGAAGACGGTGCACAGATTGGCGGGATCAATCAGCTCTGCGGCGCCGTCCACGAGGTTAGGCTCTGCGATAAGTGCGGGGGGAGGGTGCCTCACTGCCGGGACCAACTATCTGTTCGCGACGTTGGAGAATGGTTGCTTCGCCGCGGGGCGTGAGCGGGATGTCAGTCACTCCGGTCTAGCATGCTGGTCAGTGCCCAGAGGATACTGGAAGGATGGCGCAACGCACATGCCGTCTGCAATGGACATGAGCGCGTCGAGAATGGCATGTGGTGCTTGATACTACTCACCCATTGATAGACCACTCGGTCTCGCCTGTGGCGCATGCAGGATCTGTATCAGCGCTTGGTGCGTATGCCGCGACAGCTGTTGCGCACCATGTCGGATGAGGATGAGCCGGGGCAACGGGCGGGGTTGCTGAGGCATGCTGCTACTTAGCTCGGGATTGGCAAGGGGGGATAGGCGGCCATCACTATTGGCAGAATATATAGAGCCTGCAGTGCACGTCTGACATATATCCCGCGCGTCTTCTCAGATTATCCCCGGAAGGCCCGCGCACTCTCGGCGTCTGCCCTATCATCGCTCGTGTGACCGCATTACCAAAAACAGCTACCAGCCGCGGAAGCGCTTCGCCCTCGTTGCGGCCAGCGTCATCCCGCCCTACAGAGAGTGCCATGTTCGACGAATGTTCGTGTGCTCAGCCGTGATAACAAAGCAAACGTCTGCTCATCGGGTCTGTAGATGTCGAGCATGCCGCTCCAGGCGTCCACGGCCATATAGCCGGCTTGGCTTTTCCTGAAGTCCAGTACGAGGGCTTCGAGCCCTCTCCATTCGCCAACGAGGACGAAACAGCAGAATACGGGGAGACTTCGGTGAGAAACATGCTCGCGTCTTCGCAGCCCAGCTCATCCGTACCCAAGGATGGCCCTCCACTTGACCCAGCTGCGGCGAAAGCACCTGTGTTCGAGCTAGGCCGAGTGCAGTATACGCTTCCGGCACCCCTGGTCTCGCTGGCCGTTTCCTCCGATGTGCTGGCCATGGGGCTTTCTTCAAATGTCATCGTCCTGATTGTACTCGCCCATTCAGAGCAAGTCGTCAAGATACCCATTCCACGGAAACAAACCGAGTTCACGCTCTACAAGCTCTTCCTCGATCCGTCTGGCCGGCACCTCCTCGTGAGCTCGCTTCAAGGCGAAACATGGTACCTATACAGAGGATGGAAGAAACCCAAACAGCTCAAGCAGCTCAAGATGATCATCGAAAGTGTTGCATGGAACCGGAGCGCGCTGCTTTCCTCCCCTCACTCGACCTCTACTCGCGAGGTGCTGATAGGCGCACGGAACGGGTCCGTCTACGAAGCCATCATAGACGCGGAAGAGGACTTTTTCAAGCCGCCCGATAGGCACTGCCAGACGGTGTTCACCCTCCCTGAACGACCGCCCGTCACGGGCATCAGATACGATTACTTTCCTCCGTCGGATCCTCGGAAGGTCCTCGTGATCGTGACTTCACCGTCCCGCATATATCAGTTCGTGGGCTCTCCCGACAGGGCTGCGCAAGAAAGTGGTCGCGCTTTCTCTACCTTGTTCGCTAACTATCGGGACACGGCTCCAAGTACGTTGCTTGATGTTCTTGAAGCATATCTGGTCATCTTCATATGTTTCAGATATCAGGGATCTTCCGAACAACCTTCAAACCTCCGAACTACACTTTTACACTCCCAACGCTGATCAAGCGCAATCACTACCCAAAATGTTAGCATGGCAGAGCGGTACGTACAGTGTCTTTGTTATTATGCGCGATCGCTCAACTCCTCCAGGTCCGGGAATGTATCACGGAACGCTGAACTTCGAGTCAGCATCCGATGACTTCATCGACAACGCCGGGCTCTTCCCTTACCCCGCCTTTGACCAACCAGAGGAAGTGCCGATTTCGAGTAGCCTTACGGAGTTCCATTTTCTACTGCTGTACAAAGATCGCGTCGTCGCAGTCAACAGTTTGGACGAACGGCTTGCATACGATGAAACGATTCCACTGGTCAGTTGTTGGCGTGCAAACTGTTGATGATGATTTGGGTCCTGATTCTCTCTCAGAAACCTACCGAGGAAGTTCGCGGAATGGCGGCTGACCCTGTTCGGCAGACATACTGGATTTACACTGATCAATCGTTGTTCGAACTCGTGGCCAGCAACGAAGATCGGGATATATGGAGCACGTATCTTGCCAAAGGTATATACGATGTGGCCTTGCAGTACACCAAGGTAACCTGAGGCCTGGTATGCCCTTCCAATGCTTACCAATGTGCAGACAGCCAAGCAACGAGACATCGTGTTGTCCCGTCAGGCTCAGCAGTTCTTCGATGATGGGCGATACTTCCAGGCCGCCCAGGCATATGCGGCGAGCTCAGTATCATTTGAGGAGGTCACCCTCAAGTTCCTCGATCTTGGAGAGAGGGACGCTCTCCGCTCATACCTCGTGTCTCGGTTGGAGAGGACCAAGAAGACGGTACGGACGGGTGCAACTCATCCATCGTGTAATCAATTGAGCGAGGCTTCAGGACCTCACGCAACGCATGATGCTTGCTACATGGCTGGTCGAGTTTTACTTAAGCAAGTGCAACGAGCTCGACGATCTTATCGCGTCCGAGGCTCTGTCTCATGACGTTGATAACCTCCAAGCGGAACGAAGAATTCTCGAGGACGATCTGCGGCATTTCTTTGAAACATACCAGGTCTGTCGTTCTATACTCCAGATGATGATACCTGTGTTCCGATGGCGCATGATTCACGATAGACAAGCCTCGACAAGAGCACCGTATACGAGCTTACCCAAGGACATGGGCGCACGGATATGTATCTGCATTACGCCGGCGTCGTCGGCGACCTCGACCGCGTTATAGAGCATTGGGTGCTCGAAGAGGAGTGGACAAAAGCCATCGACGTCCTCAGTCGCCAGGTATGGGGACACCTCTTTACGCGAAATGCATCTGATCTTTCGCAGACCAATCTCGAGCTGTACTACCGCTTCGCGAACGTTTTGATGCGCAATGCTCCCAGAGAAACTGTCGAATCTTGGTTGCGGCAATCATCTTTAGATCCTCTCCGCCTGGTTCCCGCGCTGCTGCAACAACAGCCACTCCCGAGAGACCCAACGAGCCCAAACCATGCCATTCGTTACCTCAACCATGTCGTATTTCAGAAAGGCAACACATCCGCTACTATTCACAACCTCCTTATCACCTTTCATGCCTCCGCCCCTCTACCGTCTTCTTCGACTTCTCCTCCCGCGTCTGAAGACGATGCTCCACTCCTGCGCTTCCTCTCCACAGCTCCCTCGGATCCGCTGACCAATAAACCCTTTTATGACCTCGACTATGCCTTGAGGCTATGCAAGCAGACGGGGCGGACGCAAGCCTGTGTTCACATATATTCGAAGATGGGGCTGTACGAGAATAGCGTCGATCTGGCGCTGGAGAAGGGCGACCTAGAGCTGGCCAAGATCAACGCGGATATGCCGGAAGACGATGTCCAATTGAGAAAGAAACTCTGGTTAAAGATTGCAAAATATGTCGTCCAGGACCAAAAAGACATCAAATCGTCAGTATATCTTTGGCAGCTCATTCTATGCAACGCTGAACCGGGTTGTGTGTAGGGCAATGCGCTTCCTTCAAAACACGGATCTGCTGAAGATCGAAGATATACTGCCTTTCTTCCCCGACTTTGCGGTCATCGACGACTTTAAGGACGAGATATGTACAGCGCTCGAAGACTACGCGTCGCAGATCGATGCCCTCAAAGGAGAAATGGACGAGGCCACGCGCAACGCTGACGCCATTAAGGGCGATATCGCTGCACTCCGCAATCGTTTTGTCACTATCGATGCCGGTGAACGCTGCGCGGTGTGCCGATTCCCGGTTCTCACTAGACAGTTTTACGTCTTCCCGTGCCAGCACTGCTTTCATGCGGATTGCCTCATCGGTCTGGTGAGTCGCAGCTGGCGACCGTCGAAGAAGCACACTGATGCAGGCATATAGGCCAAGGAGTATCTGCCGGCACATGCGCTGCGACGTATTCTAGCCCTACAAGGCGAACTGGTGAAGACTGCGCAGGTCGATCGGGGCAACATCACGGGCCCGACAGCCGCTGTGCAGAATGCCCACGTGCGCCAACCATCGACGCAGCGTACACTGCTCTCCGCGAATTTTGGGAACCTCGCCAATCCATTACAAAACGGGACACGAGCAGCAAATTCGTTGGGCCGCAACATACTGTCGGCGGGCGACCGTCTGCGGGACTTGATCGTGCCCGACGCCCTCGTGAGCGTCGTGTCCAACCCCTGGATAGGCATCACCGGTAGTGGAAGACGGTCGGGGAAGGATTCGAGCAAAGAGGAGAAGGCGAGCAAACTGAGAGCGGAGTTGGACGACGTGTTGGCGAGCGCCTGCCCGTTGTGCGAGAGCGTGGTGGCTGGACTGGACAAGCCCTTCGTGAAGGAAGGGGAGATCGATACGAGTTGGGCATTATGAAGCGGATCAGAGGCACGGAGATGCATCCGTCGACGGATGCCTGCACTCGACGTATCATACAGAGCGTGGTCGTCAATGGTTGATTTTTTTGGTGCGCCCTGCCTTCTTACGCAGTCTCGCCGCTTTTCGTGCGCCCATCTGTCGTGACGACCCGTGAGTGATGATGGCTCGGAAACGAAAGGCAGGAGGCGAAGCGGACCTGGGCCTTGAGCTCATCCGCTCGCCTGCGCTCCTCAGCTGCTTTTCTGCGGTCCATGGTGACCTGCCGTCTCCTGCGGTGTGCCATGAGGAACGGTGTTCTCGATAATGATGGTGTTACGCACCGAAGACGCTCGGCCTCCTTCTCCTCCGTGAGCTCCGCCTGGAGCTGCTTGATGGCCTTTTCCCTCTTGGTCTTTTCCATCCGGTGCTCGAAGGACGTTTTGACGCCGTCAGGGAGATGGGTCCGGCTGGAGAGGGGGCAGAAGATGCGGTCAGCCAAGCATAGCGCGAAGGGGCACAGCGGAGACGAACACCGCCGGGGACTTGTGTGACTTCCATGGCTTGCCTGAGACGCGGCCGGCGGCGGAGGATGCGAGGGGGACGGGCGGGGCGGGCGGGGCCATAGGGGGCGAGGGAGAGACGAGTGTGAGAAGGCGGGCGGCAGACGCACACTCGAACCTGGCGACCGTGCTTGGGTTCCTCCTCCGCTGTCCCCGCCGGGTCCGGCCATGTTCAGGTCGGCGGCACTCGACTCCCCCGCCACCGCGCACGACGAGCACATCCGTCGCCTCCTCGACCAGCGAGCCGCTCGCGCAGGCGCAGACGCCCACCCCGCCTTCGACTCCCTCTCGTCCCTCTCCGATTCACCCTCCATCTACAGCCACCAGTTCTCCCCTCGCCCCGTCCATGCCGTCCACGTCGACACCGCCGCCTCACCCAGACCATACCCAGGTCGCACGCCCTCCGAGCCTCGCTCGCCCATTTCCATCAAGTCCGACCGGGAACGCCTAGCGGACCCCTCGGCCAGTGGCATCGACATGGACGACTCGTCCGATTCGCAAGGGGGAACCCTCGAAGATGAGGACGATGGCGAGTCCACGGTCGAGGCGGACGAGCCCCGCATGAGTTATCTCGGTCCGAAGATGAAGGTTCATTCCAAGGCGCCCTGGGAGACCGACGATCACGACGCCGACTCGGACACCAGTTCGCACTTCCGCGGCACATCCTCGCACAAGCGGACGAAGACGAAGACCGCGAAAGGCGACGGGATCATGAAGGGTTTGGGATTCATGGGTCGCAACGTTCCGAGACCCAGTATGGAATCCAGTCGCTCGTCGTCGAGCGGGAACAAGAAGTCCTTCGAGACAAGCTCGTCGATATCCACTGGCGGAGCTCTTCAGTGCGTCTTCGCTCTTGTCTTGTTGATCTAAGCTCAGGACTGATGGCTCCTTTAGGGCGCTCGCCCAAGCATCCATGCCGACCTCGTCTCTGGCTTACGGGACGACAGGTCTGCGCCCGGCAAACGAGTCTGATTCAAGCCTAATACGCAACAGAGTGGCCTCCACTTCTACGCCGACCAATCCCTCCCTTCAAATTCCAGCAGTCAGCCCTCGCGCTGCATCCATACGCTCCTTTGATTCCTCCCCCCACCCCCAAGGTAGACGGCACATCCCTCCCTCGTTCAAACGTCAATATTCCGATGGTACGGACACCAGACCGTTTGCTCCGGCTTCTACGCGTACGTCAGAAAGTCAAGACGAATATGCGCACCCGTATGCCAATCCGGATTTGGCGATATATAACCGCGACTCCGTTAGGGCGCCTTCACCGCCGCTGGGCCGAGAGCGCGGCCCGAGTGAAGCTACGATCACTCCCAGCGATTCGAACGCGACCGTCACGGACTCGAGTTTGTTCTCACCTTCACGAACGATGGATCCGAATGTCCTCACACCTGCCACCTCCATGTCGTCCTCCGCCGATCAGGACTCGGACTCCCGCTCTGGACAGAGCCGCTTGTATGGCAAAACCATATCGCCGCCCATGGCTCTGAACACATCTCGTCGCTTGGATGGGTCTCAGGGCGACGAGCGTGATATGCTTATTGCCCCCGGCGTTCATGGCGTCCACGCATGGCAGGCTTCGCCAACATCGCAAAGCTTCTCCCTCATATCCCTAGAAGAAGCGCAGGCACAGGCCCGAGAGCGCTCACGGAGTGCGACAGCTAATGCCACTTTCCACGGCAGTTTCCCAGCAGCGGTCGCCTTTCCTGACTCGGATTCGATTTCCATTAGGAGCACCAACACTGCCGACGCCAGCCCGACGCTTTCGACCGCGAGAGCTCGCTCTCGCACGACGAGTGCCGGTACTAAGGCGAAACGCGCGTTCCAGGGCTTCACGTCCGACGCCAGTCGCGATGATACCCCGAAGGCTGGCATTCGTGACCCTGCGTATCCCGAGGCTTCCAGCTCCGGGCAAAAGGCTCTCAGACATAAAAAGAGCGGTTTCATGCGATTATTCAGGGAGAAGGCGGCCCCGATTTCTCTTGCGCCTCCTGTGCCTCAGCTTTCGGAGTTGCATTTGCAGACTAATCAGAACGCGGTCAGGACGATACCCCGTGTGCCTGTCCCATCCATTTCGCCCTCTTTGCTGGTTGACCCGGATCCTGGTTCCGCTTATATGCATCCGAACGAGTCCGGTGCGTCGCAAGGCAGCACCGGCTCTACCCCAACCTCGGAAGGCACCACGCGCAGAACCTCTCCTCGACCTCCCCCTCTTACCATCGTCACGTCCAATCGCGGTAGCTCCCCACGCACCGCCGACCCGACCAAATCCACCAGCCCGAATTCGCCACGCGATCGCAATATACCGTACGTCCAGAGTGCACCCGCAGATCAAACGACTTTCGAAGCGCTACGCCTGCGGCCAGTCTCTCAAGTTTTCAGCCAGCACTTCGTTGCCCACATCGGCTCTGCGAATTCGTCTCCACCCCACGGCGCAGAACTTGATACGCCGACGACTACCTCGGCAACCCTGGCTTCCCCTGTTTCGTGCGAACCCTCTCCGCACGCTGCTATTGCAGGCACCGGCCTCAAGCATGGTATAGCTGACGATTCCTCGTCGGTCATCCAAGCACTGCAAAGCCAGATCGCGAGCGCGAAGATGGAATGGCAGCGTCAGGTGTGGGAGCTCGAGGCCGAAGTGCGCTCTTTGAGGGCGGAGGTTGAGCACCTTCGAGGGGCGGAGGCCGAGTTGGAGTATTGCGACGTGTGCGGCCGAGGTTCACCTGGCTCAGTCGGGCAACCCAATGCGACGAGGGGAAGTGTCATCAACCGCCCGCGAGCCCGAACAGGCACCGGCGGACGGTTCACCGTCCGCGATTAAGGACCCCACGATTTCCCGTCTTCGTGTGGTGTGGTGTTTGTTATGCCCTCTTGGCGTCGGAGCGCCATTGTATAGACTTGTACCATCTGGGACGTTTGGATCGTCCGGCACTCTATTTAACCTGGTCACTTATCCCCATATTGCTATTGTACTCGATATCACTAGTCTCTTTGATTTCCCTTCCGATTCCACTGTTTGTATAATGGGTTGTTTGTATTCGCATTTGTAGACGACCCGAGCGTTAGGCTCTTTTGTCCTAAGCTTAGCAAAATCTACCCGTGCTGCTTGTTCCCTGAACAAACACCGTTCGGTCGAAACATGGTTTTTGTCAGGTTGGGTTGCACGAAGTACAAGATGGTTTTATCGCTGCTCTAACATGACATCACATTGCCGCACATCCTACAGAGTGAAGGGCGAGATTGTGCCTTATAAGATTAGCAACAATAACATGTGGGTCGAAGTTTCATGCATGCTAAAAACGCCCATCTATCTCGTCCTCCGATGCCGTGTCCGAAAGCGGTTTGCGCTTGCGTGACAGGTATTCATCATACGTAGTTTGACCGCCCCTGTTCTCTGAAGCGTAGCGCTCTCTGAAATCTTCCACCAAGGCATCGATTGTCTCCCGGTATCGACGGTAACACTCGGCCCAGGACTTATACGAACGTTGATCGTGCTAGCATAGATGGTGACCTTAAGCAGCATGGCGAAGTAGCCTGGACTAGACTAACCTTTTCATGGAACGGTATCCAGATTTCAGCCTGACTTCGTGAGCGTAAATCAGGCATCTTCGCAAGATATCGGGCGATGACGCGAAAGTCAGCCTGTGTGAATTCTCCCCCTGCGGGGCCCATCTTCCGTTCGTCCCTATCCGTTGATGAGCTCGACCGGGCTTCGTCGCCAGTCGAAGCCGCTTCATCGGACTCGTCTTCTGATGCTGAGGACTTGCCGTCGTTTCCATGGGCACGAATGGTAGGTATTCGATCTTTAGCCGCCGAAAAGATGGTATCGGGCAGGTCCCCGCAGTTGTTCCAGTAGTAGTTCCATCCCTGGTCAGGATGATGGGGGGCCTGGAGAGAATAACTCAGCGACTTGTGAGTCAGACCGTCTAATTGCTCACCTTTCTTGCAAGTATCCTGCACAGAGCAGTCTTGCTCAAACGTGGATTGCGCTCGAGTTCGAAGGTTATACATTTGATGAAGAACTCATGATCAGCTTCGCTGTATCGCTGTTTTCCGTTTGTATGATACACGAAGGTTTCCGGTCCCGGAGGTGTGGGGGACCTAGCGGTTTTAGGCGATCTGCGAGAGTCTGAAAAGCGCGGCCTCTTCACCGCCCTTACTGGCGCTGACGCGGCATCCGCAGGGCTCTGTACACTCTCGTGCTTATGCTTGGTATGAGGGTTGGCCGTCCCGACGGAGATGCTGTCCGAAATTTTAGGCGGTAAGCTCCTTTTCGCGTAAGACCCGCGAGGCCCATTGTGTTTCAGCCCATGCTTGTCGGATATAGGGGACTCCGGCGGGTAAATCGGCCGTCGCGCGGTCGCAGCTTTGTGCACTAGCTGAGGAGTGGAAGCGGTTTCGCGTAGTTTCGACACCTGAGCATAAATGTGATCATGGTGGTCGAGAAAGTAATCCTTCCATAGGTTCGCCTTGACCCGAGTCAGCGCGGGCTATCTATGCAATGCAAGTGGCATCGTACCGCGTGATGGTTCACCTGCAAAACCGTCGTCAGCCAAGCATACAGCAGTGAATAACATAAGACATACACCATGTAGTTCGGTTTCAATCGCTTGTTTGAATGATTTTCCACTGCTGTAGGAGCCCAGGAGCACGCGCACCAAGATTTCTTCATCCTTCGCCCCACCCACTGGAACGTTCATCTGAGACGCCATGGTAAATGCGGCCGCCATCGCCTGAGGATTCCAGGCTGCCATCATGTTAGCGCCTGCTGCGAGTTGCGACCAGTTGGCTGCGACTGGATTGGCCATTTGAGCTGCAAGCATGTTTGGAGGTGCCATTGCCGCAAAGGGAGCAGGCGTAGGTCCGAACATCGCAGCTCCAGGCATGCCACCGAGAAAAGGAAAGACGGCCGGGGGTACGCCGTTCGATGCTTCATTGGAGGGTGCGGTGATAGGGGCTGCGTTCAGGTCATGAGAGTTCCGCCTTTCGAGATCCATGGCATTCCGGCGTCGGAGGTTTGTAGTTCGCAGTGAGTTATGTAACGGGAGCGGGAACAATGGGATCGTTGAGACAAGGGTCACGCCGAGCCCGTATGTTTCAGAGTGAATGAAGGCTGGTAGAGGTGTGGCCGCGAGCGGTGGCACTGCGCGGAGGTCGTCCGCTCTCGCCTTGATCCGATAGCGACTCATCCGCGGGGTGGCAACTCCGACCGATATGATATATATTCTACGGACACCTGATTATGGGGACTGGTGATATGCTAGTGTATGGAATAATGTACAGTGCGGGATGCCGTCATATCGTATCGCTGTCTTGTCTTTCGTCCGACCGTCTTGGTCGCCTGGTGGCCATCCCGGTATCATCCACCGCTGTGGCATGACCCGCTGTGGCGACGCCCGTCGAGCGTGCAGAGTCATCAACAAATGGCTCCCCTTCACAGCCGCTGCTTTTTTTCTCCCTACTCGCGGTCGGTGTTCGGTTGCTGGCTAGATTCTCCGCCATCACAGCGCGTTCTTCGCCACTCGTCCTTCTCCGTTCCAGGCCGACTCTGCGAGCTCGTGCATGCGCAGGACCTTCTTGGTAGTTGCCGCCGGCACTTGAACTTCCAGAAGGTTGCTCTTCAACGACCGTCGCCAGATGGTCCGCAATGCCCAGGTAGAATGTTGCTGGCTTGAACTTGATCTCACGTCCCATAATCGAAGCCCAACGGTAACTAAGGCAACATTAGAACTTCCACTCTTCCTTTCGGGTTGGACTTACCGCGCGACATTCGTCCATCCTACGAGGTCCAGATGGTTCACATTCTCGAGCGTGCCCAGGTACGTGCCCTGCTAAACGAGTGAACCTTTTGTCCTGCCACATGTTCGGTCGTACCCACCCATTTCGAACTTTCGACGGAGACGAGACCGTCGTTGGGCCCTTCCTTCTCATAAACAACATCGTGGCTGTACCTATCGCCAAGATGTGAACAAAGAATTGCGCCGAAAGTCGGAATGGACTACCTACTTCCAGGTGTCTATCAGACCAGGTGTGTACGTTGCTCCCCAGCTGAAGTATTTTACACCATCAACATCGGGAGTTTCTTCGTTGAATTTCTTCATGTTCGCGACAGTGAGGCATTCGAAGGCTTTACCGTCACCGCCTCCGTTGGGTAGCATGTCAAGCAGCCCCAACACACTCGGCAGGCGGCTTGTACCCACGAGGGACAAGAAGTGGTCCGCAAAGTAAGAGCCACGGTGGGGACTGGCGATCGTAGTGATAGAGGCTACCTCAAATTTTCGGTGCGTCAAGTGCGTAGTGAGATAGCGGCAGTCCAAGCCACCCTAATGGAACCTCCTGTCAATGTTATTCCAGTCACGACCGTGGTCGGGAGCCCCGGCAGACTCGTGCTCACCATACTATGCCCTGAATATAGTGAACATGAGTCACACGCGAATATCGTCCACATGGCTGAGCATACCTATCAAATGAACCTTGCGGCCAGGGTAAATTTCAGATATCCGCTGTTCGAGCACTTTCGCTCTGTCTTGAGGACTGCTCGTAGCGGGTACCCGGGTTATGAGAACCTCGCAGCCATTCGCCTCCAGAACTTCTTTGATTCCTCTCCAATGCGTCACCTCCATAGGTGCTATTGATGGGCCAATAGATACCGAGTCAAAACCTAGCAAGCCGTGGCAGAAAACGAGCGGGTGGTGAGGGGTACGATCTGCCGACGAAGTGGTCAATGCCTTGGCACGAACGTGTATCGCGATTGAGATTGATGGACTCGCATTTCTTATTGATATGTTCCCGCTCTTCCTGGTCAGAGACTTGTTGATCCTCCTCCGAGAGCAGATGATCCGTTTGCGCCTTGTTCGACCATTGGAACCAGTTCCATTGAGATGGCGGCGATTCTTGAAGGCGTCGAGTCGCAGACGTGTGCATGCCACGCTCGTGGAGTGATTTGAGAGTATCTATCGAGGAGCGCCGCCTTCCGTGGCCATCATCGTTCAGGAATATCGTGTCGGGTGACACCGCGCTTTCTGGTGGGGAAAGAGAAGCCGTTGGCAGCGTTGAACGCGTCAGGTTGTCGAAGTACGGCGGGTGCCGGGATAGTTGGGTGGAGGGGTAGAACCCTTGGGGAAGACGGGCGGGAACAGGTCGCGCTGGTAGCATATCCTCGTTGAGAGCTTCGGAAAGAGCAGAGTGAGATGACGACGGAGAGGACGGCGAGTCAGGACGGGAAGATGAAGGTGAGTCGCTCTTTCGTTTGCCGTTGAGCCAGCGCAGCACGGGAGAGGGCAGAGTTTGGGAAGCCGCGGACATGGGGGCTGGCTGAGGTGGAGTGGGGTGTAGACGAGGCGGTATTGAGTGCTGAGCGCGTCTATGAGTCTCGAAGGACCGTCCAGCGGCGCTGCCGGGGCGCGGAAGCGGCATGTCGTCGTCAGAAGGGGCAGGAGGTTGGCGCGGGGTGCTCGACCCTGACTGAGGGAAGAGGCCTTCGAGTCTGCTGGAGACGGGTGTACGGGTGCCCTCCGGCTGCGTCATCGGTCTACGGAGGGACAGTCGCAGACAGGTGGGCAGGCTATGTGCGCAGCTCCGAGCACGCAGCAAGCACAGACGCGGCGGAATGCTTTGGTACTCTCAGGTATGTTATGTTTTGAGCGACGTCCCGGTCCGAGGTCTACAACCAACTCGCAGTGCGGCGGCAGCGTGACGCTCAGGGCTCTCTCCATGCTTGGCCATGCCACGTGCCCTTGCGTAATGTCGCTGCGGACGATAAGATTAAGCAGCTAGCTAAGATCGGCACCCCGTCAGATCGGTGTCCCGTTGACCATCATGTCGCTCGAACAGGTGTCGTCCAACAAAGTCTGCGAGGGAGAACTCGTCAAGTACAAGTTCCAGGTGATCTCAAGCTCTCTATCGTCGCTTTCTGGCGTCCTGAACCGCGCGACAGTCCGCAGCGTTAGGCGGGTTGACCGCACAGTTCAACCTATTCCTGCCTGTGAACGCCAAAGAGGGGAAGGTGCCCCTGCTCACGTACCTGGCTGGCCTCACCTGCACGGAGGACACTGGGTGATTCTCCACCGCCCGTAAGAGATGTTCAGGCCTCCTGATCCTTCGTTGCAGCGCCCAGAAAGGTGGATTCTTTCGCGTGGGTATCCGTCCCGTTCCACCCGGAACATCATACCAAACCCACACAGGACGCAGCAGCGGAGGGTCTTGCCCTTCTCTTTCCAGATACCTCTCCCCGCGGCGCAGGAATTGCAGGTGAAGACGATGACTGGGATTTCGGTACTGGAGCTGGATTCTACATCAATGCCACAAACGAGAAGGTTGGTTCTGGCACTTACGTGGGGTACTATTCAACATCCATTCAGTCTCGCTTTCTAGTATGCAAAGCACTACCGCATGCTTGAACATATCACCGTGGAACTTCCCCGAGTCATTGAGAAGGCCGAGTTGCCCATTGATTTCACTAGGCAATCGATCTTCGGTATGTGAATGATCGTGTCTGAAACGCTGTACCAACAGCTTGTCGAAATAAATAGGACACTCCATGGGTGGACATGGCGCGCTTACGCTGTACCTCTCTTCTCTTTTGAAAAACAAGCAATACCGCTCTGCTTCCGCTTTTGCTCCCATTTCTAACTCGACTAAAGCACCGTGGGGCGAGAAGGCATTCAAAGGGTTTGCACCCTTGTATTTTGCACTGGTTGAAAACTCACGCAAAAATACTACATATCTCTAGATATCTCAAAGGCGGCATTGAGGAGGCCAAACAAAGCGGATACGATGCGACAGAGCTGATCAAGCAGCTCGGCAATAAGGAATCTGTTCACATCCTCGTCGACTTTGTGAGTGCACATACTGCATGATAGTCATCACTGCCCCATTACTCTTTGTATCCGTACTATAGGGTACGGCCGATAAGTTCTATAACGACGGTCAGCTCCTTCCAGAAAACTTCCAAGCCGCCGCAAAGGACGCAGGATACGATGACGTACGTGCATTTCGCTTTGAAAATCAGCAAGGCTTGTCTGACGACGCTTTTAGGTGCAAGTCCGAGTCCGTGGACACGAAGGATACGATCATTCCTACTATTTCGTGCGTGTCGATATCCCTCCTGTCTATGAGATCGTTGATATTAAAGCCGCCACATAGATTTCTTCCTTCGCCTCAGATCACATCCATTGTATGTAAATCCTACCGTCATCTTCCCACTCTATCTCAACCTCTCTCGCAGTCCACGCAAATTTTCTCAAGGCCTGACTTCTCATCGAGACACCTTCTGGCGTGGGGGATACAGCAGATTGCCTGGTTGATCGAATACTTCGTTGACGTGTACGAATAGTTAGCTCAAGGCGGGACAGCGTACCACCAGAGACATGCTGAGATAGGGTACAAGGGAAATTTTACATGTTTACCGATAACAGACTATCGTTGTTTCGGTGCCAAGTGGCCCGGAGAGTGTTCGAATCAGCCGCCGCGACTCGCCAGAGCCTCTAGCCTCTACCACCAGCTATTGCTTGTTGAAGCTAGAGATAACACGCTCTTGGTAAGCTTGCTCCAGTGAATCGGCGTTCGACTTGATCCAGGCACATTCTAAAGCTTCCATCACTGTCGCACGATGCAACGGGTCTGAATGCATCAATCTTTGCACCAGATACTTGGCTGGGCGGTAGATGAGTGAGTGCATGATTCTTGCGGTGCCGATTGTTATAAGAGATGCATCGCACCGTCCGGTAGGTCATCCCAAATGTCTGGATAGAGTAAGATGCCTCCTTGGACGATCCGACGCTTTACAAGCTGTTCGCTGCATGTTGAATTCTGTGAAAATGGTGTGGAGAAGCCGTTGGACCAGTACGAATCCGGAGGCGATGGAACGTAGTCTCCGCTTCCAGCCGCGCCGTCGAACGGGTGGTAACCGCTAGGGGGATTCTGACGTTATTACCTGCCGGAGTATACGAAGGGCAGCTTACGTTAACATGATGAACATGATAACACCTGCACTCCAGCAATCCGACGGCATCCCCACATACCCACGGTAGAGATCGTCGAGAGCGAGTATACCTTCTGGTGGTAGGTATGCGACAGTACCAACAACATGCAGGGTCTCCTGATATGCATTTGCTCTTGCCAAGCCAAAATCGGCTATCTGGATGCGTGGGTATGGACCTGGTTCACATAGCAAGATGTTTTCCGGCTGACTCAAACAATCAGCCTGGAACCACGGATCAAAATGGCGAAGAACCTTAAGATCTAAGTAATTGAAAGCATATAGATCAGTATATAGCCCGTATCTTGCGAGACACGTACCTCGATGCGATATGTGTTTGTCATGAATGTATTTCAATCCACGGAATAGTTGATACATGATGTACTTCGCCTCTCCTTCGCAGAGCCGACTGCTATTGACGTTCGAGCTGATGTACGTAAACAGATCACCTCCGGTTGAGAGTTCTAGGAAGATGTGGCTGGGCACCACGACGATCTGATTCAAGATCCTAAGGAGACCAATAGAGAGTGACTCACAGAAATCGGCCATTGATTGACACGTCTCTGATCTTTGTGACGTTTGGCTAATTCAGGCTAAAGTCAGATATCGTAAGGTAGCAGGCCGCCAAATATACGTGGTGCAACTTCATCAGGATCTGCACCTCCTTCTGCACCTTCTTCAGATCGTCCTCTGTCTTGGTCCTGATCGTTTTACACGCTACTTGACGGTACTTGTTCGTGTCAATTGCGAGATTGACAGTTGCATAGCTACCGCTTCCAAGACAGTGCGAAGTTACGGCCTGCGACACATAATGCTGAACAAAATCATGCAATAGGTAGTACAAATAGACGAACGTAATCTCCGATTTCCTGTGGCTGGGATTCAGCGCGCATCACTATGACGCAGTATGATAACACTCACCCTCACGGACGGAGTTTGGCGGGGGGTGGGGTCGAATATATGCGCCTTCTCTTGATGTCCCTTCCGCATATGTATACATGTAAACGCTGTAGGTTGCAAGTCGGCTCCACGAAGGCGAAAGATAACAAGAAGAAATACTTTGTGAGTGAGGTATGGTGAGAGTATCTCCATCCATGAGGATGATGCTGGCCTTCCGAAGGCGATGCCGCCCATTGAGTATTATACCATTAGTAGAAAGATCCTTTCATAGCGTGAGCTCTGTTTGCCCTCCCATCAGGAGGTACGAGATACTTTGCAGGAGAGGATGATTCCGCCATTTCCAGCTGGAATGCTGCACATAGAGACATAATATAGTGAGCATATGAGCGTGAAAGGCATCGGCAGTTGTACGCGTAAATCTTGCAATGGATATTGGAAACAACCGGGTCGGAAATCACGTATGAACTGCAGGACACTCCGCCGTGAGCAATCTCGTGTCTGCTGATTATTCGTCAAAGTTTACCATGCAGAAGGGTTACGACCTATGATCGCAGGTTTGTTGAGAAAAAGAACAATAGCTGAAAACGCCTGTTAGCGTTATACCGCTCACAGCCGGGCATCCCGGAAACTTTACCATCCCTACGACCACCCCTCCCCGTGGTCAGCAATTTGGCGCATGTATCCCGGTGAGTGCACATGGAGATGGGAGGATGCGTCGTCAGGTGCGATATAACGAGTGACACTCAAAGGTACTATTACTCTTAGAGGGCATGTGTGTTTATAGCCGAGGTCACGTGTATCACTGGACTTTCGGGACGAGTGGGCCGGATTTTCTTCCTGCACGTCAATTTGCGAAGTCCAGCCCTAATACAATCAATACCACGAAACAAGTCGCAAATATGTCATATACAGGCAACGGCTGACACACATCAATCATACCCTTTTCCGCTCCTCTGTTTCACTCGTTTAGGTTTCTTGTGGCGCTTCCCAAGGGGCGCGCCGTTATCTGCACCCGCACTGGCAAGAACAGATGCGATTCGCGCTCTCCTGCCTGTCAAAGGTTGCCCATCGTCTGCAACCATATTTTGATGCGGGTAAAGTTGCGTCCTGGAGAATTCCTTGCCGTGACGAGCCGTGCCCTGTACGAAGGCTCTCGAGGACATTGCAGGACGGGTGGCAAAGAAATCCTGATCGAGAACGTTTGATTTGTGGCCGGCGTTGGTAGAATGAGGAACTTGACCTGACCCGTCAGGGGCTGATTGGTCGACGGGTATGAAGGTATCTGCCCCTTTAGTGACACGCGTCGTGGGCGCTCGCTTCTTCCCTACCGCTCGGAGTAGGGCCATGGCATGCATGTCCGCATTGAATTCCTCAGAAGAGTATCCGGGAGGTGGGTGACAGAAGAGAAGCCTCGCGTTAACGTAGTCCTTCAATATGTACCTGGCAGCTCGTGCTTCGTCCGGATTTCCCTGGCCCGAGCGAGCAAAACCACGAGCAACTGGGGAATGCACGATCAGATACGAGGCGAATTTCCTGTAAAAAGACCATTACCGGCGTAAGGGACAAGCAGATCTTCCCCTCGAAGGCTACTATCACCTCCCTCTTCTGGTCCACTACTGCGTATAGTAAGGCCGTACGTAGCTTCTAAGACATCGCGTGGAATCCGCTTGACAACCAACGCGGTGGGGGCTGTATATTCCCGCAATTGGTCAATCGGCAAGACGCCATCACAGACAAGATCGGCTCGCGTAGTAGCAAATTGAGGGAATACCAATCCAGGACAATCACAGAGCATGACCGATGGCGAAAGCTGGATTGTTTGAAAATGTTTTGTTTTCCCGGGCGTGGCAGACACGCTAACTTTCTTTTCGCCAAGAAGAGCGTTGATCGTGCTTGACTTGCCAACGTTAGGATAGCCCACAAGACCAACGACTAGCTGTTGCGGGCATTCACTAGATGACGTCGCAAACGCTGAAGGACATAGTGAGCGACCTGTGTATCCTTTGATCTAGGTTTCCGCTGTCGCGCACCTTGCAAGTCAGGGGCACTTCGTACAAATAACTCCTCAAGCTCCAAGACGGTGAGCACGCGCGCTCTGGGATCATCCGAATCATCTGCGTTGTCTGCTACCCCCGGGGTGTTATCTCGCTCTTGCTCTTGCTTTGAGAGAGAATACGCTGAACTCGGCGAGGAAGTCTGGGATATGTCGGAAGATGATCCAGCATCGCTATTGCTCGCTGATAGTTCTGATACTGAGTGCACGGCGTCTCCCTCGTCCGTGTCCGAATCTGTACGATCAGCCGCTTCTTGTGCAGCAAGCGCGTCACGACGTGCCTGCTGCAGAGCCGCCGCATTCGCTGCCGAAAAGAATGCATACCGAACACCCAAGCTGTCAAAGTAATCTGCCCAAAGGCGTCTAAGGAAGGAAATGTTAGGAATACGCGATACATGATGATAGTTGCTCACCTTTGCTTCGCAGTCAGTAAGTCGGATTTGTTGATCAATAGTAGATTTCTTCGAAGGCCGCGGGGACCGCTGTCCTTCTCGCCTTCGGCTCCTTCGATATCCGTGACATATGATTCGAGATCTTCACAGCGAAATCGAAGAGGATTACGAGCATCGACAATTTGAACCACAAGATGAGCTCTTTCAATGACCCTCCACAATTGCCTCCAAACTTCGAGATTGCGTTCGAATGGCGTCAAAAGAAACCGATCACGATCCTGGAGACTATGGACATGCGTGTCAGTGGCAAGATCCTCGGATACATAGGGCGGCAAATGAACCAACTCCGCTAGGCCTCGCCGCCATTCTAGGAACGCGTTCTTTTCTTGCCGATCGAGCTCGACCGTGGGCATTCCTTTCTTCCAGGGTGGTCTTCTGGGAACACGGAGCCGCTGTCTGTTTTCTTGGAATTTCTGGAGGGTGGCTCGCTCTTCGTCCTCTGACAGCAGGTATGGGTTACGGGCAATAGGTGATTGGGAGCTAACGATTTTGATGTTCCTCCTCTCTATATATGTTAAAGCAAAAGGTAGAAAGAAGAAGACAGGGAGCAAGCACCTGCAGTGAAATCAGTGCCGGCAAGTGTCGCCGTGCTCAGGAATTCGTCGAGGTCCCGTTCTTGAGTAACCGATTTCAAACGGTTGGTAGCATCAACGTCCGTGGTGTACTGACCCGTATATTAGCCGTCGCAGAGAAGACAGAATCAATAAGCCTTACAAAACCCGACTCCTGTGCGTGTCGATTGTCCTTCACTCTTCTGTTCATGATGGCGTGGCCAAGTCCGCTTGGGTTGACACTCTTTTTCGGAGGCGCCTATGCGCAGGTGAGCATAGAACAAACGAGGATAAACTTTGCCTGCAACCTACCATTCTTGAGAACACCGATTCTGTAAAGGATGAATGGGGTGAACGGATGAGAGGCGTCAAATATTCGGCAATGGTAATCTAATCAAAAGGGATTCAGACAGTGATCTGACTAAGAATGCAGGTCATGTGATGCTACGTTATCTTGAGAAGTTGAGTAGGTAGGGTATATTCACAGCCAGAGTATTTCCTTACAAACTACATTTGTACAAATTTCTTTATGTTGATTTATACTTCATCCTCAAATTGCTGTCCAAACACGTTTTGCATTTACAATAAAACATAAAAATATATACATCTATGGTAGGTGACCTTCCATATATAAATATATTGCTACTTCTCTACTCCAAGTAAAAATTTAATTTTGACGGGAGTTTTAACAAATGATATAGATTTTCATAAAAAAAATGTCCAAACGTAATTTGTAATGAAAGACTCTGGCTGTGATTACCGGGCACGGTCCCTAATAGTAAACAGGATCCAGCCCTGCACTCCGGGGTTTGAATTCGCGTCTTTTTGTGGACCACGTAAGCCGACACACCGCTAAGCACCGGGTGGATAAGTATTTCATACATGTAGTAAGTACTCTATCTCGTGAGGAGATTAGCAAAAACAGAGCCGTGACTGTCCAACTGTTTACTGTGACTGCATGGCGAACTCGGTCCGGATACGATTAAGTAGGCTGTATATGCGTTCTCAGGGGCGACGCTGCCTAAGGTGTGCCGGGGCCTTGATGTCTTTATTTGAGAGCTGAAAGGCTGACGCATTCTAGAACGATATATTACGCAGATACAGGCTGATCCATTTGACGTAAGGACGACAGGGACAGCGATCAGACATGCGCAGCTCAAGGCAAGTTCGGCTTCACTGAAAAAAATGCGATCAGTGCTTGAGTGCGGACTAAGCGATGTTAGTATGAACCTGCATCGACCCAAAGGGGCTGGTCGGAGCCATCTATAGGCAATATGA